GGTCGCCTGTCTGTTGAATCGTTACGTTCCAGAATCGTTTTTTTGGGCAATGGCGTTGTATGCGCTACCACGTCCGTGTTAGAAACTGGAGCACATCGCCGGACATTGCCTGCAGCGGCTGTGATGGCGCATGGCAGACGGGCATTCCAGTCTCAGGTGAGAGCGTCGTTCTATCGACCTGCAGAAGAAGATAAAATGACTGACTGAATGGTGAATTCTTGGCAAACCAGGAGAAAGATGCTTTCGTGATCGCTGTTCGGCAGACAAATGCCAAGCAAATACAGGTTGTCTGTCTGGCTCAGTAGGACGGGTAATCGTCCATTGACAGCACGGCCCCATTGCTTGACGTTCATCCCCTCTGGTCTGCCGGCAGGCCCGGCCCCGGGTACCGGAGGGCGACGTCCGTTTCAGTCCCTGGAGGTCCCAGGAATTCCTCTTCATGACCGTCACAATCGCCCGGCCAAGACGAAGTCAAGACCACAACCAAGGCCTTCCCGTCTTGGGGTAGGAGAGCTCCGTCGATATCTCACATGTCGCATGAGCTTTCTCAACCACCTCTGGAGGGTTGCGCCATGATCGCGTGTCCTGTGTGCAACGACAGCCATAACTTGCCACATCCACACTCAAACCTCGCCCTGTTGCACTGCGTGCCCGAGCATTCCTACCGAAGGGAGGATGAAATTGAAGAGATGCTTGGCCTCCCCGCCAACCCACAAGGGCCAGTTGGCGCCGAGACTTGATGTAATCCAAGAGTCCAAGCCGTTGAAGCTGATGGACCAAGAAGACCAAGACGCCGAGAGATTCCCAAGAGCGGTCGCACAACGTGTTCCTTGTCGGCGCGCCTCGCAGTACGGGTTTGGCGCCACCTGAGGAGGGTCTCTCAAAAGTCTGGAGCTCGTGAGAGAAGGCCAAGAGCGCATGGGTTCCATGAAAATGGAGCAAAGCCCACTCTTGAATAAGCCCTACTGGCATCTTGGCTTGATCCCGCCGAGCCAGGAATGCGGTGATCACCCTCTTGGACAGCCTGCACTGCCTGCAGAGTCCTTCCTAATCTCGGCCTGGCGTCCGAGCATGTGCCACTCCATTCGAACCTCCGCATTGGGAGCTTTCGGTGCCCCGTCCCGTGCTCAAACTCCCGGGGTTCGTCGCGATCGTCTGGGGGAGCGCACGATGGCCTGATGAGCACCCGGAATAACTATGACCAAACGTGGTGGGTTCCAGTGTGACTGAGGTCGCCGCCGATGCCGTGCCAGGCAGGAATGATATTCGCATAAGCGGGATTACATGATGATGTAGGTGTTGCCACGGTACGGATACACGAGGACAGCTGCGTGCTTGTTCATCCCCTTCGTCCAAGGCTCAGCCGGAAAGCTTGGTACGATTCCGAGGCATGGCAGACTCATCAGACTCGCGGTGCTGAGAGCAATCTCGCAGTGTAGCCAATTGCAGCGCCGTGCAACGCAAGGAAGGCGGATATCCGTACTTGAACCTTAATTCCTCGGGGACTTGTCAGTCGCAGTCTGGCGAGCTAGCGTAAGAAGCCAAGGAGGCATCCAACGAGGGTGGGACAAACACTGACCGATGCGGATAGAAGAAGTTAATTTGGTGATTGACGGGGATTGGGGCTTCGACGTTGAGACGGCCCAAACAAAGTCACAAATCGCGCAAATGAAAGACAAGTGGCGGCCAAACGTGGAGAGAGGTCTGCGTGCCAAGACTGCTTAAAAGCCTCGTTTTGATTGCACGTTCTGCGGGTTGGTGAGGTGGAAGTGGTGGCTAACCCCCTGAAGGTCGAAGTGAACGGGGGATGGGAGAGTTGAACCCAAGTCGAAACGACGCATGCTCGAAAGTCTTGGCATTGCTTGCACAGCCTCAATCGCACGGCGACTTGACGGCCGCAACAAAGGTAGACTCGACTGGTGTTTGGCGACTGACTGGTGCGTATTTGCACATATCGAGTATTCGCAGAGTACAGGATACTCTCTGAGCTGTGCCTGTGCCGCGCGAGAAGAATACAGATACAGGCTGATGGTGCTTGGTATCTGCAGCCAAGACCGCCCAGGATGCCGAGCGTGCCCAGTCTTGCCCAGCTTTGCTCTGGCTGGGCGACGAAGCGGCAAATTCTCAGGTCTGGCTGGTGGTTCGTCGCGAAGCCAAGCAAACCTGCAGCGACTTCAGTCTGCAGCGATGCACTGTGCCGGCAGCAGTACGTGTCCCTCTAGACGCGGGGGATGGATGATGCGATGGCATGGTTTGTGAGACGGCTTGGTCGTTTTTCGGAGTTGATGTCTCTGGTGTTGGAGCTTGGCACGCGGTCGTCGGGCGCATTGGATGAAGGGAGATCAACACGATAGCGATGCAGACGAACGGGGACGCCTCACGACGGCGACTTTGTGCTTGCTTGGGGGTGATTCTGACACCAGTTGGCGTACCGTCAGCGTGGGTCGAACTGCCAAGGTCGACGAGCGACCCGCCGACTTGAGTAAAGACGGGCGTCGACGGCACGGGCACGTTGGATCCATGTTTTAAGGTATGGAACGGATTGTCAATCGCGTTGGATCGAGGCTATGCTGCGTTTAATCTCGGGAAGAGTGTGTGTGAAGCTGATTGAGATGGCTGCAAATACCGACAACGAGAGCCAAATGGTAAAGGTAAAATAAAGGTGGGATAGATAGATGCAGTCTGACGGAGGAGGAAGGAGGGGTCGTCCTTTCTCTGAGAGAAGCCGAAGCCCAGGCAGGGGCAGGTTTGGTTGCACCAGGAACACTGCACAAGACACCTACCTAGACACCTGCCGGCGCCAGAATTGGCACCGCGGTTTGGCATTCGGACGGCCCAGGTCGCGGTGGGAGTAGTAGGTAGGGTACGTATCTTTTCCTCATCGGACCCCGAGTGCTGCGGTTGTGTATCCGGTACGTATCTTTTACAGGCAACTGCCTCAATCTCGCTCTCACCCAACGCTCAACGCTGCCTCGCGGGTCTTGGCAAAATCCACCCCTCACACACCGAATGCGAATGGACGCATGTAATAAAATCAAACCAACGCGACCTGACTGAAAATGGCCGGCACATCGGCTTCCCTGCGTGGGCCGCAACTGGCGGTATTGCGCAACACTTTTTGGACGAGCCGGTTCAACGGCGTCTTGATGGACCAATTCCATCTGTCATGAGTATCGCCGTCATGTCGAGAAGAGGGGACACAACAGGCGACTTGAGTTGGGATTGCGCGTAGCCCTTGGCGCTAAGATCTTGGCAGTCTTGGCTGCGGCGGAGAGGCCAAGCAGAGAGGAGCGGAAAGCTTCTTTTCTCGCACTTGGCTTGCCAGAAAACCGAAAAAGTCACCTGCACAATCATCCAGTGTCTCCCAGGCTTCCCTGCTTATCGAGGATGTCGAGTCGAAAAAGGGAGGTGGAGACTGATCGGTTAAACGATTGGGCGACTGTGATTGGTTGTGATTCCACATCTGGACCAGCCTGCCGTGTGCTTGCGGATGACGGGCTGGCTGCAGCTGCATCTGCTTCTCCGGCTGGGTCTCTCCACCTCAGTCATGGCCCACTGGGGTGTGCCCACAGCCTGCCAGTGTTTCTAATGATCCCATTTTGTGGACTTATGGGGTATGCGTTTATCGGAGCACCGGTGGCCCCGTGTTTGGAGTATTTCCTTGGGACTTTCTTGGGACTCTTGGTTTCTTGGGAGAGGAAGGCTTGTACCTCCCAGAGTCCCAATCATCGCCCCCTTCCCTGTCAATCCTCACTGGCACTTCCATGTTCCCCCAAGCCTCCTGTCAGTCGTCCTATCTTTGAAGATGAGGGATTGTAGCGGGATACGGCAGATGGTCGCGTTGTTGGCTGTGACATCAGGTATTCGGTACCAGTGCTGCAGTTCTCTTAGGTGTGGTCTTGTCCCGTCCGGTCACACCTGAGCCCCAAAAATACTCGGCTCCAGCGCGCCGTACTTGGCTGGAAACAGCTTCTCTCCCATCTGAGACGGTCGCAGGCCTCTTTTGGATTTCAGACGACACAGACGTAAATAATCATTACCCAAGAGCTTCATCGCGGCACGTTGTAATTCATAATAAACGGACCAGACGGGACGGGCACCATGACAAGGAGTTTTGGAACGGCCGCTGGATAAATGAAAAGAGAATTAAACGCCGCGCTTGCGGTCATCAGCTGATGGCGAGCTATCGGCCAGCACAACTGGGAAAACGGGTGCTGGCAGGATGAAGCAATGCGCGCCAAGGACGAATGCCAAGATCTCGGCGAAGGGAGAAAGGTGCAAAATGGAGATTTGCCAAGACTCCCAAGACAGCCAAAAGTCTTGGCATCGTATGCGCCCGGATGTCGCGGTGTTGGCGAGTGACTTGCGGAGTCAGTGTGCGGTGACTGTGTTTTGGAGAGATGCTCACTGTGGCGTCAGCCTCACCTAACTCTTGCATTGCCATTTCTGCAGCATCGGAGTTAGATGACAGACCAGCTACGTACTGTGCCAATTGACGGACTCTCGGGCGCACTGGTTTGCCCCATTGTCTTCGCCCATCTCCCGCAACATCAGCTCGGAAGCCCTCGCCACCACGGCCCAATCACAAGTCAGCTGGTCTCACAAGCCCCCGGTCGCCAAGACTTTGCCAAGACTCTTGGGAGGGTAGGAAGAGCGGAGAGGAAATGTGATTCATGAATAAAGAGACAAGCCGTCTGTCCATGCCCCCCAGATCAGGCTGATCAATCCCTCTCGAAAGCAACCGGTTCTTCTTGAGCTTCGACAAAAAACATAAAAGTCGTTGCTGACCGTCCTTTTTTCTCCTTTCCCGACTGCTTGATCCCAAGTATCTTCTCGCCTGTCCTCGGCAATCGGCCATCCACTAGCTTCAGCCTAGATCTCCACTTACACAGCATCCCACGCACCTTGTTTTTGGTGTTCCAGCCTAACGGAACGGATCCCGGCCGAACTCATTCTTCCGCTTTTTCCTCACCGAGCTTGCTCGGTCAACACTCACCAACATGTCGACCAAGCAAGAGCACGAGTCGTCAGGGAGCAACTCCCCCAAGAGCAGCACTCCCGCTCCCTCAACAACCACCAGCAACACCTCCCAGAGCACCGGCAACGCCAGCGCCGATGACAACCTCATCTGCAAATGGAACAGCTGCAACCTGAAGTTTGTCACGCCCGAGGCTCTCTATGTAAGTCGTCATCTCACAAATCTCACGTGAGAGGCTTGTGACTGATCGTTTTTCCAGGAGCACATCTGCGAGCGCCATGTCGGTCGCAAGAGCACCAACAACCTCAACCTGACTTGCCAGTGGAACTCCTGCAGGACGACCACCGTGAAGCGTGACCACATCACCTCTCACATCCGTGTCCACGTTCCGCTCAAGCCTCACAAGTGTGAGTTCTGCGGCAAGTCCTTCAAGCGCCCCCAGGATTTGAAGAAGCACGTCAAGGTAAGCCTTACCACCTCCATCGTCACCGACATCAACGCTCACATCCGCAGACCCATGCCGACGACTCGGTGCTCGTCCGATCACCTCAGAACCAGGGCCTGAACGGCTATCGGGCGCAGCCTGGCAAAGGTATGTACAGCTCAGTTTGCGCATCCAATGTCCTCTCGTTTTCTCCCAACTAGAGGCTAATGTGCCTCCAGCTTCTTCTAGCTACTATGATCATAATGGCCACATGAGGACTAACTCGGCCGCCTTCGCACACCAGGCTGGGCATGCTAGCTACTATGCACCCCAACCATCTACAAACTATGGACTGTACTTCAACCAACAACCCTTGAACCCTCCCCGAACTGAGTACATCGGCCACCACCCTGGCGGCTACGACAACCGGAAACGCGCCTTCGACATGGTCGACGATTTCTTCGCACACGCCAAGCGTCGCCAGGTCGACCCCACCTCCTACCAGCAGGTTGGCCGATCCCTTCTCCCTCTTCACGGCGCCCTCGGCCTTCACGCCGGCCCCATGCCCGGCTCCGACTACATGGCGGCCCCTCCCCCGCAGCACGTTCAGCAGCACCACCAGCACGTCGGTGGTGCTCCCTCTGGTCCTGGCCCTCTGACCCAGCAGTACTACTTGCCGCCCATGCCCAACGCCCGCACCAAGAGCGATCTCATCCAAATCGATCAAATCTTGGAGCAAATGCAGAGCACCGTCTACGAGAACGCAAACCAGGCCACCCAAGGAATTCACATCCACGGCCAGAACACGTTCGACCTCCGCCACAGCCCCTCGCCCCCTGGCGGCCACAGAGGCTCCGCCGCTGGCATTTCGGTCACCCACGGAGGCTACGATGCCGTGTCCGCTGCTCACATGGCGTCGCCTCTCACTGCCATCTCCTCCACCGGAACACCCGCCGTCACTCCCCCCTCAAGCACCATGTCTTACACTTCTGGTCACTCGCCCAGCCCCTCTTCTTCCGGCATGTCTCCTCAATCGAGACACAGCTCAACCGCCTCCTCAGTCATGTACCCCAACCTCCCTGCCGTCAGCTCCGTCTTCCCCGGTCAGTCAACCACATCAACTCTCGGACCCAGCTTCGACAGCAACGAGCGCCGACGCTACTCGGGCGGCATGCTCCAGCGTGCTGCCCCCTCGTCGCCTAGGTCGCCTCGCATCATGGAGGACTCCTCCGGCGTCACCACCCCCAAGGCGGAGTCTGTCGCCTCGTCTGTCGGTTCTCCTTCCTCCGAATCGGACATGAGCGAGGGCGCTCGTGACCGCGAGGAGAAGTACGACCAATGGTTGGAGAACATGCGCACCATCGAGGCCCTTCGCGAGTACATCCGCGAGCGGATAGATCGCAACGACTTCGCCTCCGAGGAGGCTGCTGCCAACCGCCTCAAGTCTCCTGAGCCCATGGAGGTTGACGCGAAACCCGGCCCGGCGGCGCCGCTCTACCCCGTCCTGCGCATGCCCAACTGAGACATCAAAGTCACCTTGAGCCGGTGCTGAAGAAGAGAGCCCCAGTCGTTACCTGGGCGCGTGTACCAACAGTTGTTCTTCAAGCGTGTTTCGAGAAAAGTTTTCTTCCAAAAAGGAAAGGGCAAAGTGATCGGTTCAATCTCGGTTCGTATTCTATTCTAAAGCATTCTTTTTTTATCGCCTACGAGGCGCTTCCGGCACGAATACCTCCCAACTTGTCGAAGCCCAAACACCTCTTTGCTACGTTACATACCCTGGTCGGTGGAAGTTGAAAGGGGAAGTCGGATTTGATACGCAGTCTCCCAAAACGCAGATGGATTGTGGTGGTTTCATCCCAGGGACGCGCACCCTGGGTCAGCCCCAAACACAAACAACACAAATTACGTCTCTTGATTTTTTATTTCACTGTCATGACAACGAAGAGGAGTGAGAAGAAGGCTATTTTACATTCAGGAGGGCTTTGCGAGCAAAGCACACAACATATTGGTGCGAAATCACTTTTTTTTCCAACACGGTCGCGGAACACATCGGATACTGGAACGGGAATGAGATCATGAAAACAAAGTCATGTTGGTTCGCCATTATGTAGTCTCCTTGGCTCGATTGAGGGTCGAATGGAAAATGCTTATTACGCCTCTGAATACTTGCCTCATCTGAAATCTCTACTGTGATGTCCCCTCTACTATCATCGCAGGACTAGATCGTGGTTTATCATGCTAACAGCACCGTGGCTGAGGGTCACATAGCCGCCGCCGGCTCCGTCACCTTGTTGACTGCGCCTAGCAACGGAGTCCGCCTCCCGCGGCAATCCGAGAGTGGGTGTGATTTCCCGGCAGTTCGCAGAACGCCGGATCCGGGGACGGACGTCATCAGCAACGTCTGCCCAGCGCGCTCACAACGCAGTCCGCGCGACCAAGGATTCCAGTCGGCCTGGCTATTGCCGGACGAGCAAGATCTTCTTGCGTGGGCAAAATGAGACCGAGAAGACACGGCACTTCTGGAAGTTCCGACCCTGACCGGCCCATACGCCTCGTTCGGGCGAAGACCAAATTAGAGGCACCAAGGGAGACTGCCCGCTATGTAGATGACAACGGTGGTACGGGCACCGGTGTTTGCACGGCTGAGGTGCCATATCATACGTACGGGAATGACACACTCTGGACGACGCCGGCCGTGACAGTCGTCACATCAGTTCAGCACGGCAGCCGCGGGTTATTCGCCGAGTCTCGTTGCCCATAACCAGGGAGTCCGTTGATCAGTCGAATTACCCGAGCTGAGGCGGAACTCTCGTCCCCGTGTAAGACAAAAACCACAAAACGGCACTCTTGGCGAAAGCCACCCAGGCCCGTATTACAACCTCGATTTACCCGTTGAAGTCAGAGCTATCATCCCTTTCCACCACCTCCCAGCTGACGTTTGTGTCTTCACCCCAAAATGTCCAAGACATGTCAGCCCTGTGGTCGGCCCTTCTTCCGAGAGCCGAGGGACACCAAGGAAACGTCCCAATTGGACAAGCTGGTGTTCGCCGGGAAAAGGGGTAACGTGACATCTGCGCCAATCAGCTAGCATCCTTCGTCGAACAGAAAAGGCCTTGACGGGACCGATCCCACAACCGGGCCGCCAAGCACGCGGTCCCAACTGCCAGGTAGACAGCAACTCGAAGCTGCCCCGTTTGGTTATATCTCAACCATACGTCAGATGAATCCAAAGAGGGAAGAGGGCAAGTAGGCAAAGCAAAAGAAAAAGTCTCCGTGTTGCTTATGCCAAGACGAAGGGCTTAGTTTAGGGAGGGAGCCGGGGGCCCAACATACCAACCGAAGGCGCCGACGATCAATCCTTTGCCCGGACGCTGGGGGAAGTTTAACGGTTGGTGATCGGCGGCCCCCGGGATTCCTGAACACTGAACACAACTGTAGGGCGCCTCGTGTTATTTTGGTGGTTTCTTTCGAGACATAACTTACCGTCACCGGGTCCTTGTGTAACTAAACCCCGTAAGCAGAGTAGTTTCGTTCCGTGTTCCCGTTCGAAGAGCTTTGCTATACGATGCTGACGATGGAGATGGGTGACCTTGGCAAGACTAGCTGGGTGAGATTGGTGGAGAAGAAGATGTTGTCATACTTTACAGAGCGTTGTTGCACGAACTACTTCTCTCGATGATTATGAGTAGTTCGATACCATGGTGGCTGTGATCTAATGGATATATAAACCACCACGAGATCTCGCAACTGGGAAACCAACAACCCAGCAAAACAACCAACAAGACACAAGCATCCCAAACGACCCCCTCGAAACAAGACCAGCAGACCACATAACCAAAGTCCAACCAACAACCTCCCCAAAATGAGATTTTCCGCCGCCAACCTCGCCCTAGCCGCCATCGCCGCGCTCAGCACCACCGCCCTCGCCTCCCCCGCGGGCCTCGACGCCCGCCAGGCCGCCAACGACGACGCCCCGAAGCCGGCGGCCGACTACTGCTGCTGCGACAGCCGGACCAACAGCTACAACTGCAAGGTGCCCGCGGCCGAGGGCGGCGCCCCGGACCCCTTCTGCACGAAGCAGCTGTGCCCGCACGACGTCGAGACGCAGAAGCAGTGCTGCTGCTGCTGGCCGAACGACGAGCCGTGGACCGTTAAGTGCAAGGCCGTGCCCAAGGACGAGGCGTGCGCGTGTCCAGCGATTTATTGCCCGTTCACGTGGGGCGAGCAGTACCTGCCCGGATACCCGTGGACTTCGCCTGCTTAGGTCGATGGGTTGGGAGAGTTGGTGACAAGACTTACGAGAGAGATGTCTTGGTTCTGAGAGGGCTTTGTGTTGAGTGGCTCTCTATGATATGGAATAGGGTTGATTTGCAGTCGCTCTTTTGGGTTCATATTTGAGTCTTTGGGTTATTGATTTCCATTTTTGAGGACTTCTTAGGTACAAGAATAGGTTTAGCGATTAACATAAACTCTTCTTGGACCCTTGGAACTGTTTAACTGATGTCTGTCATGGTTACAAGGGGTTTGGCTCTATGGATCGATGCCGCTGATATCTGAGCATCAAATTCATGCTTATAACAGGCCATTTCTGTTCCCTCTGCTAGGTCTGCTGTTCACAATGAGTTGTCGAGACCGCCATATGCGTGTTCCTTGTACCCGGCTGTCGGGTAATCGTGACATGCATGGACATGTAACAGTAGCGTCTTGCTCGGTGGTCTATTAGCATTCTTCTTTCTGTTGAGCCATACTCATAAGCTGTGTGTCCTGGCAGACGTGATTGCGCTTCTTGATATCCGGTATGCTGCGATGTACATCATTCTAGAACGAGCCCAGTCCATTGTTCAGTTCATTCATTCCGTTTGTCAGTGAATATTCGAAACGGGGCCAACAACTTTGCTGTATTACAGGCAATATTAACTGCCTCAAACACTCGTCACATTCACTCTATTGACAAAAACAAGACGCCCGCCTGTCCGCTTATATATTTTCCGCTTACATAGGGCGATTCGTGGCTGCCTGGATACTCGTGGACCTCGCCTGCTTAGAGATGTTAGCTAAGTATATAATAGTAATGCCAGTAATCTCATAGACAGCAAAGTGATTTATTCAGAGGGATTTATTCAATACTAGGAAGTCTCCAGCCCCTCTTCTTTCTCTACTCCTCGTCCGGCAATCCGACAATCTTGAGCGAGTCGGTCCACAGCCTCTTCGCTTGCTCGATGTCATAAGCGAATGGGGAATAGCCCGGCGCCGTAAACTTGTCATCTCCTTCGACGTACGGCTCGGCCACGGCGCAGTTTACGAGGTACTTGCCGCCGGTACGTTCCCACTCCTTGCCGACAGCCGCCCACACCGAGGTCGCGGCACCCTGCTCAACACTCTTCATCGTGGGGTATAAGTGCTCCATTCCCTTGAAGGCGTCAGGAGGCATATGCCTAGTTAGCCCGGTCGAGACGAGGCCGGGATGGACGCTCGTGGCATGGAGGTGGCGCGCGCCGTAGCGACGCTCGATCTCGTTGGCCATGTAGATATTGGCCGTCTTGGACTGGCCGTAGGCCACACCGGCATCGTAGCCACCGCGTCGGAAGTCGTAGTTGGCGGAGTCGTTGAGGCCGTGGACGTTATGGGCCGAGGACGCGAGAGATACGACGCGGGACGGCCGTGCGGCGGACGCGGCCGCCAGCAGCGCGGGTTCCAGCAGCTTGTAGAAGAGGAAGTGCGAGAGGTGGTTCGTGCCGAACTGCAGTTCGTGGCCCTCGGCCGTGTGGCGGAGGTCCGGGATCGCCATGATGCCGGCGTTGTTCACGAGGAGGTGGATCTTGGAGGTCCTGGCGAGGATGGCGGCGGCGGCGGACCGGACGGACGACAGCTTCGCCTGGTCCATATCGATAATCTCCATCCGCGCCGGGTCCAGGATACCCGATAGGGCGGACTCGGCCTTGGCGACGTCGCGGGCCGTGAGGAAGAGGGTGGCGCCCGTGGTGGCCAGGGCGCGAGCGGTTTCGATGCCGATGCCGGACGACGTGCCGGTGATAACAATCACCTCTCCCTTGAGTGTGCCTTGAGCACCGTTATCCTCAATGATTTGTAGGGCCGTCGGACGTTCATCGCCAGGGCCGTTAGGCTTAGCGTGGACGTCAGCGTAACGCGACATGATTTTGCTGGCGAGGGACTCAGATAGAAAGAGAGAGAGAGAGGGATGGTGATGAGTAGCCGGGCCTAAAACAGCTGAAGTATCACGATATAGACTGATGTGATAACGAGAAAATAGATGTTGAAGTTGGATGTATTGTGTGGAAGTGAAAGTAAGAGGGGACAGTAGTTCCCTTATATAGCCCACTCACTCAAGAGCAACTGGTCGACATGACGCCCCGGGCTCATGGCGGGAAAGCATTAACTTCTTGGAAAGATCACGACTTACGAATCTCCTCGCACTTCAATGACCCCGTTTCCGGTGTTATAGACTAAACTCCATAGCCATGTTACCCATCGTTGATCCACCGCTCTCGCCGTGATGACCCTTTTCCCACTTTCGGTCTAGTCACCCTCCCCACCTCGGGCTTAGAAATGTTTAAACATTGCAAATGGTATGAAAAACAAACGACAGCGAGCAGTGAGAACTTGTTCATGACAGAGAATGTACGGAGCACTGTACGGACCTTGTACACACCGGCTATCTCTCATTTGTTCTCGGGCTAATTCGGCGTAGCGACTGGCTATCCTTTCGATTCAGAAAGACGCATAGGCTCCTCTCCTCTTATCAGCCTCCAACGGTTACTAGATTCAACTAAATCGTCGCATCCCTCCACAGCCCATGACCACTTCGTAAGAAAGCCGGGTGTGATCTCCCAGCTCCCAACGTCGTACGGCTCACCCCAAACTATAAGTCCCTTACGCCCCGCGGTGACTTCATCCTCGTCACGTCCTGCTGTGAGGGACGGTGTCCACGTGGTCTGAGGGTCGGAGACGGTGATGGCGGGGCTTGGTCGCTGTCGAGCCTGCGTGGCATTCATAATCTCACCAACGAGGTCCTGCAGCAGCTCCCAGTGATCGAAACTGCCTTCGTGCCTTATAAGGTTGTCACGAACTCGAGGGAAGGGAATGAGGTTGATCCAGGAGGAGTGTAGGCCGGTTTGCTGGAGGTGTGTCGGGACGAGGGCGAGAGGGATATTGGGGTTCAGGGGGTAGAAGACTGTGTCGTCACGGTAAAAAGGAGCGCCAATGGGACAGATGGCTCGGGAGGGAGGGCTGTCGTCCCAGCCCGTAAGAAGGGTATTGAGAGTGCGCTTGTTGGAGACGAAGGCGCGGAATACATTGTACTGGACGAGATGAAGGAGGTGATCTGTTGAGAGGGGAAAGATGAGGGACGGTGGTGTAGTGTTCCTGGGCATGAACACTGATTTACTGATGTCAGTGTGAGGAGGTGGTCGAGGGGAGATGATGCACGTGGCGGTTACGCCTTTCGAGGTTGATGATGTGCCCGGGGAGGGGCAATCATCGGGTTCGTCGACACGCCAGCGAGTGACTTGGAACGGGCGCGATTTCTGAATAAACCCCGGATCCTGCTCCTTACTCCGCAGTCCTTCAAAGTTTAGAATCTCAGCGGGTGGTGAGGCATCGAGGAAAAGGCTCACGGTGTGCTCTTTGATTAAGCCGATTTTGAATCTTCCTGCGCTGCTTCTTGGCCTTGGCCTCGACCTCGGCCTCGCCGCGGGCGGAGGAAAGCGGACTGACGGAGAGTTGCATTGTCCTGAGTTACCGAGTGTCCCGTTCGGTGTTGTTGCTGTTGTAGATGGAAGATATTGGTAAGTCGTGAAGAAAGTAAAACCGACTTAGACAGAACGACGTTCACCAACGCCGCTAGACAAGGGTGCGGTTTAACAACTTCCTCAAGAGGTGGGCTGCGCTAGGCCGGAAAAGGAAAAAAGGTCATCACAGCGAGTCATATCTCTCAGACGGGGATGATGAAAGTCTGCTACATTATCTTGATTGCATGATCTTGGCCTTGAAACCTCACGGGATGGCGTTAACAAATGGATTTACTCCTATGGCCGCAAGGTAAGAAGGTGGACAAAGTTGATGAGGGATTGTACGTAGATTGTCGCGTTGCGCGTGGAATATTTAACCCGCTGTGATATGCAATCCTTACTCTGCTTTTCTGCTGCACTACTACCGTCAAACACTCCCTGCCTGACTTCCCAAAGCCTCCCAATAACTTGCTTCATCATGACTTCCGATCACTTCTCCACGACCATTCGAGAGCGCATTGAAGCCACAGCCCGAGCCTTCTTGTCAGCCTACGAAGAAGGCGGGGCCCAGGGCGATGCCTCCATCATCAACCGGGATGTGACGGCCGACTGCAGCCGGTACCTGCTTCCCGCGTCCGTGCCGCAGGCCTTCGGCCTTCCCGCAGACTTCTTTTTTCGACACTACCAAGTACCAGGAGCTTTTTGCGAAGGATATCAAGGTGTTGAAGTTCACCAACAACGTCATGGCGAACTTGATCATCGATACCGAGGCCCGCCGGGCTGCTTTCACATCCATCGCAGAGGTGCACTCCGTCGGCGGAGAGACGTACCCAGCGGAACTCGCTTGGTACTTGTACTTCAACGAAGACGGGTCTAAAGTTAAGAAGGTGGTTGAGTTCTGCGACAAGGACGTTATCTTAAGGATGGCAAACACGTCTGCCTAGCTTTGGGTCTACAGTATACAGAATTCAAGAGGATATCTATGGCTTGGAATTGGTGCCCGGCTTTTAATAAGCTTTATGGCGGTTTCCAATGCGTGTTCCACAGTTTTGTGTCACAATGCAGCACTTTAGCACGTACTATCTCTCAATAAAACAAATGGATTCAAACAACAGCAGAACTACTAGGGGAATATGCCTGCTATTGTAAGCCCCGAATCAACCAGCCCACATCTGCCATTCGATCCGGCCGCGGCAGATGCTGAAGGATCCAGGCACTTCACTCTCAGCGGAGGTGGAGGCGGAGGCGGAGTGAAGGCCGCGGGCAATAAGGGATCCTCCAGAGAAGACAAGTGGAGATGTTGTCTGCCGCTTGTCATCGTGCGGAGCTCCGCTGGAGACAACTGAGAGCGCGAATGATCGCGGAATACGCGGGGTATGGCGAATTATAGAAGACATTGCAATAATTATAGAATGCTATATAAGAACGATGACCCTGAAGATGAATATGTTATTCATTCAAAGGGCATTCTCCCAGCTTCAATCCACCTCAACTCAACCATCAACTCTGCACCGTCTCCCCACAACCCCGGACCAACTCATAACCACCCCTGTTCAACTCCAACTCAACTCTCAACCCCGGAGCTGATAAGCGCAGCCAAACATGGGTTCTCTCCCCGCCCCGGTCAAGCCCGAGTACCAGATCTTGGAGAAACCGAGTCGCAGCGGCCGCAAGCTCCGCATCGTCTGCCTCGGCGGCGGCGCCAGCGCGCTCAACCTCGCGCACGAGATCGACGCCTGCAAGACCCTCAACCTCGAGCTCGTCTGCTACGAGAAGAACCCCTCCATCGGCGGCACCTGGTACGAGAACCGCTACCCGGGCTGCGGTTGCGATATCCCCTCGGTCAACTACCAGTTCTCGTGGGCGCCGTCGCCCGAGTGGACTCAGTTGTAAGTTGCGGGAATCGGCGAGGAATGTTGCTGTTGTATACTGACAAGATCGTAATCAGCTACTCGAGTGCTCCGGAAATTCTGCAGTATTTTAAGAATGTCGCGGAGAAGTATGACTTGAACAAGTACATTCGCTTGAACCACAAGGTCGTGGGCGCTTTCTGGGACGAGCACCAGCAAAAATGGAACTTCAAGATCGAGAGGCAAGATGGTACGATTATCGAGGACTCAGCCGATATCTTTGTCAATGCCAGTGGTGTGCTGAAGTAAGTTCCTGTCTTTCTCATTGGTTCCATCTTTCCGTGTCTAACAGGCTTCTCAGTAAGTGGAAATGGCCGGCCATCAAAGGCAGAGAGACCTTCAAGGGAACCATGCTTCACAGCGCGAACTGGGACAACAGCATCGATCTCAAGGGAAAACGAGTTGGAGTTATCGGTTCTGGCTCCTCAGCAGTTCAGATCGTCCCCAACATCCAGCCCAGTAAGTATTACGTCCCAACTCCAAGTCTTCATTTGAAACGGTATTCTGACTCTTGCAGTCGTCGGAAGCATGAGCTGCTTCATACGAAGCTCGTCGTGGGTTGTGGGCGGCTTTGGCCAGCGTTTTGCCGGAAAGAATGGCAGTAACTTCAAGTGTCAGTGAAAACATGCCCACCTACCCCTATCCTCGGCGGTTTGACTAAGTTGTTTCCAGACAGCGAGGAACAGCACGAGATTCTCCGCAACGACCCTAAGAAGTACCTCGCCTACAGGAAAAAGATCGAGTCCGAGCTCAACTCCCGCTTCCGCTTCATTCTGAACGGGTCCCAGGAGCAGCAAGACGCCAGAGCTGTAAGCCTCACTCAGGAAATCCAACAGCTTCAAGAACGGCCAACTAACGATGTGTCTCTAGTTCGCAGAGAAGGACATGCGCTCAAAACTCGCTCCAAGACCTGACCTCCAAGACCTCATCATCCCGAAGAACTTCGCCGTCGGCTGCCGAAGACCGACGCCCGGCAACGGGTACCTCGAGGCCCTGTGCGAGGAAAACGTGACGGTGGTCTCGTCAAGTATCCAAGAGATCACGCCCAACGGCATCAAGACGGCGGACGGCACCGAGCACGAGTTCGACATCATTGTTTGCGCAACCGGTTTCGACGTCAGCTGGCGGCCACACTACCCTACCATCGGCCGCAATGGAGTTAGCTTGAGCGAGTATTGGAAGGAGACGCCCAACACATACTTGTCTTTGACTGTGGCCAACATGCCCAACTACGTCAGTAAGTTGCATTCCTCTCCACAATCAGATGGTATGAAGCGGCTAACTCAAGTCCCCAGTCTTCAACGGCCCCTTCGGTCCCTATGGCCACGGAAGTTTCCTCCCCATCACCGAGGCCGTGGCCAGATACGTGATGCAAATGCTGCACAAGATGTCAGAGGAAGAAATCGCTTCGTTCTGCCCGAAGCAAGACGCCGTGAACGACTTCGCCGAGCACAGACGGAAGTTCCTCCCTCGCACCGCGTGGACGTCGCCCTGCCGGTCGTGGTTCAAGCAGGGCACCGTCGACGGAGAGCCCATGATGTGGCCCGGCTCGCGCATCCAGTTCTTCGAGACCATCAACACCCCGCGATGGGAGGACTACGATCTCAAGTACACCACGACCAACCGTTTTGGGTACTGGGGCAACGGGTTCGCAGCTCGTGAGACGGACGGCAGGGATTTGAGTTGGTATCTTGGTTTGTTGGACGGCGTTGATGAGCAGCCTGCGCTGCCTGATGAAGATTTTGAGGACTTCTTTATGAATAAGTAGATACAGCAAGACTAGAATCATCCGTGCAGATATTTGTATTTTAAATGCCCGAATTGTTGAAAAAGACTGGTGCTCTTGGTCAAGTTGGTTCTTCGAAGTGCGGCTCTAACCGACGATATCTCCATCTATTAGAATGTCTATGATCTGAATGCATACAAGCTTGAATCAGTACACCCTCTATCTGTATATCTGTAAAAGTAGTTAAACTCAATGCAACCTGTATATATCAGTCTAATTCGTAGTCTCGACCCATTCCGGGACCGACTTCTTCAAGAACCTCATGAACTTCCAGAATCCAACTGCATGTTCCACGTTACCAACGGGGTCTACGACACGCTCCGGAAACGCGATGCCAGCCCCAAACAATCCAGGGATATAAGTACGACCCTGGGTAGTGGCCTCCAAAGGTTGTGAAGAGAACCGTCCGTTCGAGGCATCATGATGAACATCTAGAGGTTGCGCCTCTGCCCCTGCCTCCTCAGCGACGCTAAGGTCAGGTAGAGGATTCCGTTGATAGCCGATGGCTTGGATTAGGTGGGAGCATCCAGGGAGCTCGGTTTCGTAGGCCGCTTGTTCTTCCTTGGGCGGTGTCCATAGTTTGGTGACGACCTTGCTGACAGGGCTTCCTCCAAATGATGCCTCTTCCAAGTTCTCGCGGGCCCACTGGGCTGCTTGGCCCTTGAGACCTGTGTTGTCGTACAAAATCCAGCCATCCTTGTACTCAGCATAGCGTAAGTCTTTGTGCCTGGTGAACCATTTGATTCTCAGGTCCGGGTGCGTGGTCGTTGCGAGGTTGTACAGGTTCATGAGCACCAGGATGGCCGAATGCGACGCGCCGACTACGGCGACCGTCGCATCCTGGCTGATCGTTTGTCCCAGCAGCGGCGGGTTCAGAGCAGTGTCCAGATGCACCATCTTGAGGTTCTCCGGTAACTTCTCCGTCACGAGCTGAGGTCTTGAGATCGGGCTGGATCCGGTGCTTAACACCAATCTCGACGTTCTCACATGATTCTCTCCATCCAGGGCGACTGTCCAGTGCTTGGTTTGCTACAAAGACGCAATCAGCTTCAATGTGTTTCAAGACTACCAAGATACGCAAACGCACCTTATCCAGAACGGCAGCAGTGACCTTCCCGCGCTGTTGCTGCACGTTATCAAAGTGGCGAGGAACGCCTTCGCTCAACATCAGACAAAGGTCCGCCGCGTACCCCAGCTCGCAGCCCTGGTCCTGGGGCAAGCCCTGCAACGTAGTAAATGCGTTGGGCTTCTCCGCGGCCTCGACGATGTGGCGGAAGGGCGCCACGGCGGTCGCGAAGTTGAGGAAGAGATCGACCTTGGTGTTGCTCGGGACCCGACGGTAGTGGGCGCCGACGCGACCGGCTTGGAAGACGGGATCGACCCAGAGTTGCCGCTGCCGAGGCCGGTGCTCCAGCAGATTGCCGAGCACCGCGAGGCCGCCAGGGCCGCCGCCGACGACGACCGAGTCGAACACGCGGGCTTCGGGAATCGACTTGGTAATGACTGAAGCCATAATTGGGGTCCGAGAGATGCTGGAGACAAACGAGTGAGAAGGACTGGATGCAGATTAAGTGGTTGTCCAGCTGACGTTGGCTTGAGTCACTTGCCACGCAAATTAGCTAAATGAGTACTGTGCACGTCCAGACCCATCGCCGGAGTATTCGCCGGAGTATTAGCTTCGTGGGGCTTTGGAATACTTCTGACGGTGCCAGTAGCATGGCATTTACTGTCTTAGTTTGGCGGTCACCTGCCCTGCTGAGATGATGGCAGCCATATTTCATTAGGCCAAGTGAAATTTCCTATTCGATGTCAGAACATCTAAGGAAGTTAAGATACTCTGCAAAAGCCCGTCACTTGAACGGGCTGTCGACGATGGAGCCCCCTAAAGTGGACCTAAACTCAACAGCATTTTCCAGCGATGATGCTCAACTTGATTGGCTGAACAACTAATTGGTCAACTACCTAGGTAGAATGTTAAGTCTGGGCGATCTTCAGCTCATCTCCAACAAACCTAACACTTCGTTGAAACTTCCACGACTCCAGTCAAAAACGTCGCGCGGTATCTCCATAATAGAATGTAGTTCTGTGATTTGTTCTATGAGAAGACTTCTCAGAATCGCCACCGTCCGTCCCACATGCCCGTGCTATCGCCGCATCACGCAATCGCTGAGTTTTCAGTCACCGACTCGGTCATGATACTCAGCGACTAAAGCCGAAAGCAGACTCCGGCTTTCCGGCCGCATGGCAGTCTTACGGCCACCCACTATCGTCGACTCCAACTACCTTGTTCAAATCAAGCAGTGAAACCTGTGAGTGAGAAATTTCTTGGTGTAAATGTTTCGACTTCGTCAGAGTATCCCACTCAGTTCTCATCTATCGAAAAGAAGTTGATGTACTTTGTTGCTCACGAAGTCGGTTGACTTAATCAGCACAAGTAGTATCCATGATACATGCAGGCCTGTCTATCTTACAAATTCGCTGAAGAGAATCATCTAAGAAAAAACAATATGCTGAATAAGTATGAGTCGGAACGAACCGCCCATCTTGCGACACACAGTAAAATACGAATTACAGAATCACCGCTCGCCCTCTTTATCAAAGCACGTATCTGAAGGTAGGCTGCTCGAAGTCCGTCAAGTCCAGGAACTCGGTCCCTGCAGCAACAGTCTCTGGCTGCTCCGCCGCCTTCTTGTCGCGGCGCTTGTTCTCCCAAACGTTGACAAACCGGATAGCGGCGATGGTGCAGGCAGCGAGGCCGTACATGATGGCGACCATAAGCTTTCCGTTCTTGTAGTTGGGCGCCTCGTTGGAGCGGAAGGTTTGCGGGCCGATCCAGTTGCCCGCGCCGTAGGCCAGGATCTGGAGACCGTTGACGGTTGCCTTTTTGGTGTAGCCCAGTGTGTTGTTGGAGATCATGACCATGACCAAACACCAGCTGGCTCCTGCTGCGCCGATGAGATAATACCCAACCAACTTTTCCAAATGAATTAGCTTGGGAGTTAAATTAGTTGATTGATTCACTTACCAAACCAGCTTTGGCCGACAACGGGATCACAATCATCATGATGCCACCGATCATCGGGATGAGGATGGCGATAAAGGCGAAGATGGATCGGTCGAGGAACTTGTCAGACAAGTATGTAAAGAGCAACTTGCAAGTAATGTCGACAGCACCCGTCGGCATGTTGAGCAGCAGCGAGAGCCGGGAGTTGAAGCCGAAAGAGTTGATGATGATGGATCCAAAAGCCGTGATGCCGCCGTTAGGGATGTTCATCAGCAACGAGAAGAGAACGTAGAGGTACGTTCGGGGGTCGCGGAACGCCTCAAAGAACTGGTCCCACTTCCACTTGCGACTACCGATACCCTGGAAGTTGCCACGGATGCGTTCAATGGCTATGGCTTTTTCTCTGTGATTGAGGAAACGGGCGTTGGTCTGGTTGTCTGGCATGAACCACCAGCAGTAGACGCCGGTAATAATCGTCGGTAGGCCGAGGACAAGGTACAAGATCTTCCACGTCTCCAAGGCTGTGCCTTTGGCGCCGGAGAGACCATATGCGATGGGGCCGAGAGTCAGCAGGGCAACGCCGTTACAGCTGAGCCAGAAGCCCATGCGCTTGGCCTGCTCGTTCTGCCTGTACCAAGCCGAGGTGAGGATCACGAATGAAGGCGTCACAGTAGCTTCCAAGGCACCCAGGCTTGGGAAGAAGTTAGTGGAGGGCGTCTTTGAGGATCATGGAGTATTTTGCTCACAAGAAGCGGACTGAAAGAAGACCGGCATAGTTGAAAGCGAAGATGTGGCACACAAGAACAGCTCCCCAGAGAGTGATATTGGCGGAGGTGTATTTGCCAAGGGGCAGGCGTCGGAGAAGGTAAGTTGTCGGAAATCTGAGACGCGTTAAAAACTCTCGAACGTGATTATGAGGGGCTGGGAGACGTGTACTTACTCCCATAGAATGTAACCGGCGTAGAAGATGCTTGATGTCCAGCTGTACTCCTGACTCTGAGGATCCAGGTTGGTATCCTCGCGGATACCCATGAGAGAAGCATAGTTGAGGGAGGTCTTGTCGGCGAATTGCAGAGCATAGATCCAACAGAGCAAAGGCATCAAAGCCCAGTCGATCTTTCTCAGAACGCTAGCCTCTTCCTCAGGGGTAAACTCAACCTGCTCCCCGTTGACGAAAGCGAGGGCAGGGTCGACCTCTCCGTGGGCGTGTTTGAGCTTCTCAATGTTGCCATCTTCGTAATCGGTTTGGGTTCGTATCACATCACCGCCATCTTGGTTGGTTGCTTTGTCTTTGTTGCCAGGAGAAGACATCGTGCAATGTTGTCCGGGGGTCAGTGCAGTATGTTCCAGTTCGCAGGGCGGCGGCTTTGGCAACAGCTCTCAGTTGAGCTCTAAGAACGTGAGGCCACAATCCGAACAGCAACGTCGAAAAGAGTGTATGGAGAAGGTCAGCAGCCTAGACGTCCAGCTGGATTCGGATGTGACAAGACGGACGGAACTAAGGGAGATTGGGATGTCTTCGGGGCGGATCCGTGTTTATACACGTCCGTCTCTACAAAGTAGTTGCGGTCAAGGTACATCTTAACACGAAGCTGACTACGGTGTATTCGGCAGGAAGGTCCTTCACCCGGGAATCTGGGATACTAGACCAGATGTCACACTGGCCATGGCAGATTATCTCGTCAGTCTGGGGCGCTGATAGGGGATTTCTGTTTTAGTCTGGTTGCTATCTTGGACCCATAACACATTGTCATGCGGATTGACGGAGCTCCGCCCCCGCATTCTGAGGTCGCCTCGGCCAACTCTCCGCATTATTCGGAGCTGACCAGGAACCCATATCCTTGTTCATTCCGACAAATGAGGCTTATCCGCCCAGTATTGAAATGTCATTCTGATAGTCGAGTGGACACGAGTTATTGGGAAGTCTCGGATCTAAGCTTCCATTGATCATAAGACCGACAGGAAGAACTCTAGCCCAGGGCACAGTTTCCTGCGTGTGGACGGTTTGAAACTTCCTGGGTTAGTAGCAGCAGTCTGCCTCTTTAACCAAGATCTATCATCTAAGATGGCCTCTGCAGCGATGATGTTGATTAGTGTCAAGGAAATCAAGTTGATCACTGAGTGACTTTTGGGCCATATGATATATCAGGGTTAGGTTTTCAATGTCTACTTCAATTTGACTGTCTGCTATTTTCGTTCCAGAACGGCAGTCCAGCCTCGAGCCGAGCGGCCCCGTAGACTGAAGAGCTGTCAAGAGAATCTCCAGCATACTTTTGAGCAGCCTCCATACGAGACAAGGCCGTCTCGATGGTTGGAATTCGTGTCCCGTTCTCCTTAGCTATCTTGATCGCGTGCCCGGCGTCTTTAGTAGCCAAGGTCACAGAAAATCCCGGGGCGGTTCCCAAAGGCGGTGCGTAAGCGCCTGTCGTCATTCGCTTCGAGTAGCTCTCGATGACCGGGCCGTACATATCGCTGATGAACTGTTCCATCTGGCGGGTCCCCAGTCCCGTTTTCTCCGCAAATACTTGTGCCTCTGCAGTCAGTTCCTGGAAACCAATGACGAAGATGTTTCTATCGAGACAAATCAGTGAGCCTTGCCGAACTGGAGACGAAGGTGGGACCAACCCAGATATCTTGAGCAGGCTTGACTTGCGCACATCTTCGCCCATGTCGATGATACTTCGACCCATGACATCAATAATGTATGGTCGTACCCTCTCCACGGCGGTTGAGGGTCCAGCCATAGCGAAGATAAGCTTGCCGGCAGCTGCCATTGGACTGGCGCCAAAGACGGGCGAGGATATGAACATTGCACCTGCTTTAGCCAGCCGTTCGGAACATCTCGCGCTGGTATCGGGATGAACAGTTGAAGCGTCCATGAAGATCTTGCCCTCTAGCAAAGCACCGCTCCAGCTGTTCAAAGCTTTGGAGATTAGGCTTTCCAGAACATCATCGTTGGAAATCTTCAATGGCCAGTCAATGTCATCCGTTTATGCAGCTGTTGTTTGATGTGTGGAAGGGGATTCCTGGTACCATTGTGAAAATGATTGTGGACTTGAGCACCAGCGTCTCAAAGTCTCTTTCTGGCAATCCGCCGACCTCTCGTAGGGCGTCGCCTCGGGAGAGCGTTCGGTTGCTGTACCGAAGAGGTGGCAGACCATTGGCTGCGAGGTGACCCTGGAGGTTCAATGCCATGCCGATGCCCATGGACCCCAGACCATACTACGCCAGTTGTAAGCAAGGAGGTTTGATAACAGCCAGGAACAGAGAAATTACCCAACCAAAACTCTCCGCGGTAGCCATTTTTCTTGGCAGCGACTTATCCTTTGGCTTCAGCTGATATCGGAAAAGAGGAGCAAAAGATTCCCGAGCGAGGATATCTGGGTACGCAGAGATGATTCGGCAAAGTCGGAATGTTACAGAACGTAGCAAGTGGCTTTGCATTCGTGTCCTTGGAGTGAAGATATACGGCTCTAGGTTGTGGAGGCGGAGGCAGCGGAGCTCCGCTGGTCCCATCGCTTCGGCTGCCAACCCCCTGACCCGGTCATCCCCGCGCTCTTCACTCCGCGCCCCTTAATTCGTATGCTAGCCCTCCAGCAGAGATGATCTCCTCCAACACGGTTGTCATGAAGGATCCCATGGGCCAAACTGGCCTGTTCTTCCAGAACTGCAGTACCGTCTCCCTGAACCGTGCCTCGCTGTCCTCCGAGGCCATCCCCAATGCGGTAGTCTCCCGAGTCGGCATGGAAAGACGTCGGGTCTGATCATCGACTCCTTCCGGTGAACTGATTACCTCCAGAATGGAGTTGAAGACTATTGTTGAGGCCTCAAAGCGGCTGCGTACTGTCGGTTGAGACCCTGCCTTTCGGCGCATCTCCCCGGCCGCCCAGCGTAGAAGTCTCCAGATGGCCAGGAGAATCCTGTACGTGGCCACGGTGGCCCATGGTGCCTCGCTTAAGGGGTCTTGTTTACCGAGATTCGTGACGCTTGATAGAACATCCATCAAGTCATCGAGGAAGACCAGCATACCGTCGTCTCCGGAATTGTAGCGGAGAAGGTTCTGTAATGATCTTCGAGCTCCGACTTGAAGCCCGAGTGTGAGATGTGTCGCGGTTGTGAGTCCAGCAACCACACTGTTTTCAACAATGCCCCCAATGATAAGATCGTCCGGTTTACATAAAGCAAGCTTAACGGATAAAGCTATGCGGTCGGCAAATTTCAATATGTGCCAGTTCGAGCTATTTGCTTCGGCGAGTTGTGCAGTTATGATCTCGGCTGCATATCGCAGAGCAGCACTAACTTGCCTGTTCTGAGATTGCGTGAGAATATGAAAAGCGTTTGGGTCGGCCAAGGCGGGAGGCATCTGGTAGTAACATCGTGTGAAGTCCCTGACGAGACCTTCCAGACTGGTCAGGATAAAAAGCGTTGCCAGGGTAGAGGCCTTCAGCGCTTCTAGCAACTGAGGACTCGGAGAGTCCGTCATGAGCGATTGGATCGCCAGATTGAGAGACTTCGTCGTGGGGCATGGCATGCCTGGGCCGTCGTTTGACCGAGTCAAGCCGAAGGTGCGAGGCTCATTGCCGAGCCTTTGGGCCCAACTCAGTGAGGTATCCGCTTCCCAGAGAGCACTAGGCAACGGCAGTTCCCAGTCGAGCTCGATTGGGGAAGTAAGTGGCCGAATATTGCACGGAGAGAAGATGTGCGAGTCGAGGAAGAGAATGGTGTACATGCATAACTTCATCGACTCTGATTCCACGTAGGATATCCAATGGTCATGGAGCGTTTGCTCTTCGGCCCCATTGAACCTAGTCGTTGACGTAAATACGTTCTGTCGTAGAAGGCCGAGATCTCGAGCAGCCTAAAGATTCGCATAAGCATAACACCCTGATCAGTTTTGGCGTGAATCTTTCCTGACATCAACGACCCATCGCAGCATCTTCTTTGCTTTATCGAAGTCATTTGCGTTGCCCGTGAACGCTCCATAGATGATATGCAGTAACCAAGTCTGCATTAGCCATGTTCTTCGAATATCTCTCCAATCCGACTCCACCTGGAACCAAAAGATTAGACGGGATCATGCATATGCATACGGCGGCGCACTCACCATGCGCCATAGCTGGTCTTGACCCATTTCCCAGATATCATGACTCTGCCGCAGTAGGACATGAAATGTCGTGTTGTCATCAGCAGAACATCTAGATGAGTACAGCATACCGATAGAGACAATGATTTGTCTACACAGTTTTGACATGTCTCTAGAGACACTTTGACGATGTAACAATGGAAACGAAGGATGGAAGCTCTCGAAGTATGTCAAGATATATGGCTCCACGTTTTGCATCATGATGTTGCTTGAGTCGATGATTATATGAGTCTCGCTGTACGTGCTGCTCGAGAGGGAAACAAGCGGAGGAACATACTCTGCTGCAAGGTCCTTCGAGGGGCTCCCATCGCCAGTCCCGGCAGGACTTTCAGAGTAAGCTTCGGCATCTTCGGCAATTGTGTCGTGTTGTATAGCATCTGAGTTGGGCGAGCTGTCCCGCTCATCTGATGCTAACGTAGTCTCGTCGAGAGTATGCTCCGTCTGCCCAACGTCGTTCCCAACCTCGGGCACTACAAGAACGCGATTGAGGACACCACGACATCTCTCAGTGTGACGCTTGCAGACGTCCTTCCTTGTGAATCGCGCACGACAAGTTTGGCACTTGAAAGGTCTGCGACTGTCGCTTCCGTGTCCTACCCCTAATCAGACCTGATATGCAATAAAGAGTTGGCAAATACAAGACTTACTGGAGCGCTTATGACGTTCTAAATTTTCCTAGTATATTTCATCAGAGCCGGAACTTGAGGAATTTTGTTTCAACTTACATTTCTTGTAAATGTTTGTGAGCATTCGGCACAGGTGAATGGCCGGGAGCTCATTGTGGTTTACTTGCAGAGAGATGGAGGAGCGAACGTTGGCGCCGGAGTCGGGAATAATGCAAGTTCATTAGACATTGAGTCCGTGCACCTGTAGTTGATAGAATGAGGCCTATGTTCTTATCGAGAATCAAGCCCCGGTTAGTGCATTCGTCATCTCACACACGTCTGCTGGGGAAAAGAGAAGACAACGTTGAGTGTAACACAAGCAAGACAACTCAAGTTTTTGGAAGAAGATTCTCACTGACGTCCTCGATGAATGATTGAGCTCGGGTGACAGAAAGTAAGACAATAGTAGTAATACCCAGGGGCAGGATCGAGTAGGCAGCTTATGACAGACTAGCATCACAACAGACAAGAATAATAGTAGCTAACACAAATGCTTTAGGTATTTTTCATGTTATTATGGTCATTATGTGGTAAATTCAGCATACATTAAACTTTCATCCCGAACATAATGGATTGGATTTATGTGCTGAGGAACCAGATATCGTGGATCCATGTTGAAACTTGAGCCTTCCGTGCCAAGTTCAGTTTGGTATCATCACTTTTAGTAGCCACCTGATATTTATGATGGAATATGTGTTACGAATATATGAGTTTAACTAATGCCGTGAAATCCAGTGGTCGACGGTCAGAACCGAATTCCGAACCAACGGTGTCGTCTATCACCAGCAAATGATGATTATCGCCCATATGAAGCCAAGAGAGTGAAATTTTCTGGAATCCTGCCTTCGGGAAATTCTCGAATCATGACACCCATAGAAGGGTCATCCCAGGCAGTTATTTCGCCCATCACTTGCCCATTGAAAGTGCAGAAATCCATGATCCTTCCAGCACTTCTTGCAATTCCACGGCTGAGCACATGAAAGTCAGTTCTCTGATGCATTGCCACTTCTCGAGTTTACATAAGAGATCTCTTACCACGAGGGAGAATGTATGGACAGCTCATCAATCTTCCTCCATCCGAGGATGAAGTTGTTTCCCGCTTGGCAGAAGCCCTTGATCCAAGTTGTGTCGCACGTCTTATCCGAGCGAGCCAACCATTCGATACATCCAACAATGCTCTGTACCTGGTTTCGATATCGCCGATTAGCCAACTATTTCCGTTACCTTTTAGGCTGCATCTTCAGGGAACTTACCTTTGCTTTGTTTCTCGGAAAGGTATTGCATCGGACTGAATTGATGTCGATTCCCTCTCTCTGATTGCCTGCTGTGGCCTCGCCGGGGCGTTTGCTGCTCTTGAAAGTCGTACGCTTTTGGAAAATCTTTCTGCTGAAGTCTACTAGGCCACCAAGTGCCCTTTTTTGCAAATTGTCCCTTCGCATCGCTGCACCATGGCCTCGAATAAATGCCGCTGCTGCTTGCTCATAGGAAAGATGGGTTCCGTTCGGGTTCTTAGCGATGTCGTCGACCCATCTTTCAAAGGTGAAGTTAGGGCGGCCCGGGCTCGGAGAAAGCCACGTTGTTGGGGTCTTTATTGGATCTATCCCTCTCGTGATCGGATTTGCACTGATGATACAAGCGAATGCTAGAGCCACCAGTACGAACAGAAATGTTCGAGGCATCATGGCGTCTGACTTGGAGATCAATAAATGGGAGTCATCCGCGGCAAACGGAATTGAAACGGGATCAGTCAACCCAGCGGATCAGCTTCAAGAAAGTGTTCAAGTGATGGGTCTTTATAGAATCGGGAGACTGCGTTTGAATTTATTTTCTAGACATGTGGACGGTGTTCAAGTCGAGTTCTAGTATAAAGAATCCCCCTTGCTTCAAACTTACTTTCAACTCATTTCTGTCTTCTTTCACAACTCTGTCATACGTGTGATCTCACGCCCAATGCGTCAATTTTAATTGTATATTTGACTTGCCAGTAGGTGTTGAATACTCCCTGCGCAGCTGTTGTTCCGATTAGTGTCATAGCAACTCACTCTGTTGTTAAGGTCCAAGGTCCTCAACCGTCTACTCACCTACTCACCTCGTTTCAGCTGCTTTCAATGAAGTGGGGTGGTTGCGGAGGGTGGCTTTCATGAGTGGCGGGTAAGCGCGTAAAAGCGAGGTACCAAAAGGCCCTCTTGTCATAGCCAAACCAGTGAGGGGCTCTAACAGGTACACAAGCATGGCTTTAGTATTGAAGATGACTGCATATTGGCAGTGCAGTCAAATAAAGGCGTGAAACAGTAGCTGAGGTAAAACAAGCTGAATCCAAGATCTCGTACACGGTATCTCTTTGAAGGTCACATACGCACTTAAGCACAGTATCGAATACCCAGTCTTTCCCCAAATGGAACTTTCTTCAAATTTTTTATTGACTCATAGGAAAACAAAACGTCGCCGGCTTGCTCTAGTAATTGGTTGCTTTTTGACGTAGTACACGTAGTATGGACCCCTTTATGCATCGCCCAACTGTACAAACATGACCGCAGCAGGTTCGTCAACACATACCTGATTCAGTGCCCCAAGAGAGAAAATAGTTTGGCAGCATCTCGATCACATCTCACAGCCCGTTTCTGCCTGGGTGCGGTGCTTCCATGGGTTTTGGCATCGAATCAAAGGCTCAGTTGAATTCGCCTCGCCCTGGCTGCAATAGCTGATTTTATGTTACACGATATTCTTCCAAGGGCTTGGCGGCAGACACATTCGAAAGTATTCCAAGTCTTGGTGAGACAACAGGTTCTGATGCTGTTCCTACTTCTAAGTTTAAAATCGCCTGATTGTCACTTGAGGCATTCCGCCCTTGCCTTACAACAAACTTGCGTTTTCAGCAACCAATTCTTTGTTCGAGAAATCCCCATTCAAAACTCACAATGGCAAGCCAGAACGTGGTTCCAGATCCAGCGTTCATGGCTTCCCCAAGCTTGCACAACAGAGATCGCAGAGGATCAATGACCGTTGTTGACAACGGTTCCACCAAGAGCTACTTGCAAACTGCAGACTTGACAGCGCCACTCAATAATGAGGCTCACGATGATCAGGGTGATTCTTCTGTTGAAGATCAACAGCAGGGCGCAAAAACGTACGCTCGCATCGCCACAGAAGACGACGATGTCAGCGAGATCGCATATCAAAGGAAGCCCGTCAGCATATGGACCATTCTGACAGATTGTGCGGTCGTCATCTTACCTTTGATGATTCTGGGCTTTCTTCTTGTGGTGTTACAACTTGATGGTTTGAATTCCAACGCAACGTCGTATGAATCTTAGCAGGATAGTATCACCCTAGTAAGATACTCATTGTACCCAAGCTGGAGGTCCTTGGCTTCGTTTCAGCGGCTGTGCGGACTTCCAAACTCATAGATGTGCCGCCCCAAAGCGACTGGTCAGACGGCTTGGATCTAACTAAAGAGATGGCACTCAAACGTGTGAGGTATGGATTTGCTCATCCGGAAGCGAGAGGGAAACGCGTAGTCGGAATCAGGCTAGAAGAAAATACGGAAAGAGTGCGCAGCTTTATAGGCAGGAACAAGGAGGCGGATTGAACGAGACAGGTTTTTCTTGTGAATTCACCTAGATTATTTAAGCTCCGCTTCAGTGTTTGTTCTGCGATCTTCCTCGGTGTATTCGGATGCCAGGCTGAAGTATCCATGGAGGTCTCGTACCTTCTGTCGCCCATATTATCTCAACAAGCACTCCGACGCGTTGAAAACCGAGTGACTTCTGAATAATTGCCTGATGCTCCAGAAGTAGAGCCTTTAGATATGCTGTCGCAGGGAAGAAGATGAAGCAGGGACTAAACTGACATTTACATCATTCAGCATAGGACTTACCTCTCGGCTATATAAACAGCTGGTAAACCACCGAAAGAGCTGGGCAACCCAAATGTGCACTGCGAGTTCCTCCGCTTCGAGACGCGGGCAAGCCATTGCACAGGGCGTCTCCCACCCAAGGAAAAGATTCGCCATAGAGAAACGCTGAGCCACGAGTTTGCATCACAGTGGACAAGTCGAACCGCGACTCCCAAGACTCCTTCTCTCGCTCTTCTGTCCCACCGTCCTCGGGGTATCCTCCACCCACATAAGACGAAATAGATCGGACGTTCCTGGCAGTTTATACTGTTCAGTCACTTCCGTCCTAACATCCGGACGGACGCGTACCCGGCTGGTAACCCCCAGTCTGAAGATGGTGCCAGCATATGAATCTGAAGATGACATCAGCCACTTTCACTTGGGGAACAGAAGCTGTTGGGCATCAAAATCAAGCTTAAATAGCGAGTACAAGCGACCATCGCCGTCAGCACCACGTCCAGGCTCTCATCATTCAAAAGCAACGTGCGGAAGAATATCTAGGGAATGGAAGCTATCCCAGATGCAGAACTTGTCATTGAACATATCCTATCGAAGTAGCTTGAACCAAGTACGAGCACTGCAACGAGCAACCGCAGTGCCCGCAAGCTGCAACGTGTGCTGAGCCCAGAGCGGAGGACTTCGACGGACAGGCGAAACGCTCGAGGTTCTGTGACGAGGCATGCTCTTAACCCCCGCCGGATCTGTTAGCGGAATACTGAACTTTAAGTTGCGACTGCTTGCGGATGATCGTGACCGTGTACCAAAGCCCCGAGTGGCAAATCAAGCACATCGAACCACCGTGTCATAGCAAGTCAAAGCAGGCTCATTCATTCTGACTGTGAATGAGAGGTAGATTGCAGGCTAGCCGCAGTCTGCACTGTCAGGTAGCTGAGAGTCTTCATCTCGAAACAGAGAGAGTTCCATCCGGCTTTCGACGAGCGGTTCTTGGACTACATCATAATACTCCATGAAGTCACTTCAACTCCACAACTCCAAGACCTTCTCATCTAGTTGAGGCGTTCCCCAATTCAAGTAAGTGCAAGTCAACACGCTCATGCTCTTCTTCTACGCCACCTTAGCAGCAGCGGGTGGTCAGCCAGCATGGACTACTTCAACATGAGACTGACCGGCTTCTACACAGTGTACTCGTTCTCAACCCCGACCGGCCGCGCGAAGAAACTTCCAACGAAAATCAAGAGCGGACCTGGTGCTATGGCGGCGAGATCAACACATGAACTAACGCGAGCAATAACACAAGAAAGGCAGGGTGATCACACCTGCCTACACCGATGGTCCAGTCTGTCCGATTCCCTACGCCGTCAGCTGAGATTGTCCTCAACTCGGTGGCCACTGCAGTTTGCCCGCCAGTATCGAGTCTCGTGAGCAGATCGAAAGGAGGCAAGGCGACACGGATGATTCACTATATTCCCTGCATGAGAAGCCAACTTTCCGACGTTGGAACATGGAAGATGTGTTTATGCACAGTGGTCGTTGGTCCCGTCCCGTCAAACGCTGGCTCGTTGGGTTGTGGTGAGTAGCCACTTCGTCATGCTGCAGATGGCAACTGCATGCAATCACCAACTGACTGCAGCTAGGTGCATGAAAAATTCAGCAGGCAGCCAACACAGTTTGTCTGCCTTGTACTACCATGTCTGCTCTAGACCGCCAACTCTACATGTCCGTTTGAAGGCTGGACCGTTGGGTTCCAGTTCCAAGCTGACAACTAACAAGACATTCCGCCTGAGACAAATGCTTCGTTGGTGGAAATTATATGCCGTCTCGACTGAGACACTTGCGTCTACGGCTGAATTTCTGGTGTTCTGTAAGAACATCGAGGAAGACATGCGTCTTGGGGATGATGTGGAAACTGGGTTTTGAATCCGTAATGACGGGATATCAACGTGAGATGGACGGTAACCGGGCAAGCGTATGGTATGCGACGTCGCGATAGGAAGAACGGTTAGCAAAAGGCAACGTCTGGAATCCAGACGTTGCCGACGATAGAGTGTGAGGATAAGGATATTTCGCGATTTGTCGTGTATGCTCCCCTTTATCCGGTCCCGCTCGTGTACATAACCAAATGATGCGACCTCGAGACGTATTTCGCCTGGGTCTTTGTTCCCCACTCAGCCCCGATCGCAAATGTGTACCCGATATATTCTATCCGCAAATCGCTCGATTATTGAAAAGATCCCACCCGTCCGTCCTGTTGATGCGCGCGACTTCGTTCAAGTTGCCCGAAAGCGATGATGCTCCTCAAGATGCCTTCTTAGCGGCAGCAGCCTCCGTCTGGCAACGAGAGCACATGCAAGCTCCTCCGAGACATCCCATCATCCATCCACGTCGGTCCTTCACCGGTAACCTGATGTCGATGTAATGGTTCAGAATCTCTTCCCCAGCCGCGACTCCTGGTTTGTCGCCCATAATCTTCTCCTCTATCGCTCGCAGCTTCACCCGACCTCCCCAGTCCCATGTGACATTCGGGTTGCAGTCGTGGTTGGCTATGCACCAGAATGGATGCACTGCCGCGACCTCTGGTCGACCGGTCCGGGGGTTCTTATGACTCGACGCGGTACCCCTGAACTTGCTGTAGAGGGTGTTGAAAACCCACAAGTCATACCTCGCCAGTTCGGCGTAAATATCAACATCCATCTTGTCGAGAATATGCAAGGGTTGCTCGACGTTGTACTTGAAGGAGAACCGGAGCGTCCAGTCGGGCGGCGGCGTAGGTCGTGGGGATATGTCGATGTTGTTGAAGTGGGATGGCACGAAGTCACCCCAGATATACTTGACTTGTGGAAGGTCAAGAGGATGGACGCCTTGGTGTTCCGCCAGAGCCAGAGACCGGACTAGAAGCAGCAGATACAGGGTTTCGTCGGCTTCTCCAGCCTCCGGGTCTTTGTTGATATCGTCCAAGGTCGTCTCGCACACTGCAGGGTGGTAGTGTTCTTGCGCCATGTCGTGGCAGAACTGCGTACAGAACACGGTATCGTAGCATTCTTCGCACTTGACCGCTGGTGGGTCCGCGTCCAGAGGAGGTAGCTCGGAGCTGCATGCATCGCATACCGGGTCTTTATGGCGATTATTCGCCGTCAAGAGCGAATATTCTTCAAGGACGGTGTCCCCAGGCGCAATGTCGACTTTGGCAAAGAGGCCCAATTGTTCGTTGGTCTCCTCGTCATCGGTACCGTCTGATTCATCATGCAGAACGGGGAGCTTCGAGACTCTGACCTCGCACTTGGGCGCAACTTCGGATAGCCCTTTATTGAGGTAATGAAGTGTTTCGGGGCCATATCGATCTGGCTCGTGGTCGTTCCAGGGGTAGACTTCCCTCCGGACCATTCCCCATTCGGGAAGAACGTTGGGGTTGATATGCTCCTTTCGCAGTCTCTGACGAGCTATTGATTTTGTCTGCTCCATTGCAGTGAGAAGCTCTTCGTTTTCAGGAGCCAAAGCAAGGCCTTTCTCGGCGAAGTCGTAGGCTGGCTTCAAGCAGGAGCAGCATAGAGAGCTGAGGGAGAGGATCTGGTAGCAGCGGACGGCGGCCAGCCTGGCGACGTGGGAAACCAGGCCTGCTTGGTCCTTGGCGTCGCCATCGATGTAGTCGCTTCGGAGATCAAGTAGGTGGCCGTGATCGAGAACCAGGGGCAAGGGGTCGAGGGGACGAGACTCCAAGGCTTCGACAGCTCGGTCGTGATACTCGAAGCTCTCGTTGAGGACCTCGTCGGTCAACAGCAGAGCTCGATAGGCATCTCCAACAGCAAGTTCTGGGTAGGCCAAATCAGAATGAACTTTTGCGCGCTCGAGGTATAGTATCAAGTCGTAAGGAAGCTCGATGAGAGCGTTTGTGAGTTGTTCGCGGCGTTCGCGCAAAGTTTGCAATCGGCGCGTGTTGTCGTCTTCCATGGGCGACTCGCAGCCGGTAGTGCTTGACGCAGACATTGTGAAGCGGAAACGGAAAGAGCGTGTACAATGAATGTCTCGTGGGTTGGGCCAGCACAGTCCGAGTCCGGGTCCAGCAGACGACAAGGTGCAGGACTCGGTGATAAAAAAGAGGAAAAGGAAGGAAAACGTCGCCCAGAGATCTCGATCTCAGCGGAAAGGGAAAAACGACACTGACGTCAGTGAGGAGAACAACGATCCTGGTTCTGCTGGGCTCAAGGTCCAAGTCAGGCGGAAGCGCTGTGGTACCTAACTGGAACACCGTCTTGGGGGACGGGACGGTGAGAAAGTGAACCCTAGAAAACCGGCACACGGCCGATGGTGTCTCAAGGATTTGGGGTTTTTCGGTTTTTTTGGTCAACGAACGGGGCAAGCCCACACAGGTCAGACCACTTCAAGGCAACCCTGCCGGGCCGGGTCCGATTGTAGTTTGAAAAAGTGCGGTGGTGAAAATTAATAACAGTGAGAATTGAAAAGGGAATAGGACGAGGGGGACAAGGGAAGAAAAAAAGAAAAAAAAAAAAAGGCTCGTCTGGAACGGTGCGTTGTCCGTATTGGTCAGGTTGCCGGGGTAAAGCACTTTAGGAAAGTAGGTAGGTAATTGAAGGAGTGTATTCGTTGGTTGTTTGGTGGTTTTGGGGCCCTGAGAACTAAGATGAAGAGGGGTCTGAGGGCCTCTGGAGTCTGGAGTGGTTTTTCCGAGTCGGACCTATTCCATTGGTGTTGAGATGGATTTGGTGATCGGACCAGTCGAAGAGGGCCTTGGATGTAAATAGCAATTCCCGTCCAACCTGGGGTGACGAGGCCGTATTGTGAGGGGTTAAAGGAAATGACAATCTCGAGACGTTAGGTTGAGGGCGAGGCAGAGGAAGAAATTTGCAACCAGACTCGTCAATTGGATTGGATTGGATATTGGGGCGGATTGGAGTCCGCTCCGGTGCGCGTTGACAACCTTGAAGTGGGGGTGTCTGGACCCTTGAAAAATGGAACTTCAGGGTCCTTTCGCGTGGAGGGGTAACTAACTGCCCAGGACGACACTGGACCTGCCACTTCCATCCTTACGACGAGAGTCTGCAACGTGTACCAAATACCTGCTGGACCTGCCTTGTTATGCTTCGTATTGTACGCCCACTGGAGACGGTACACCAGCTGCAACACTGGCAATCTACCTAATCCGTTTGCTCCTCGAGGAACTGTCCAGAGTCCAAGAGAAGAGACGTAACCAAGGCTGTAAGGTAGACAGGTACACAATACGACATTGCCCCAACTTCACGTACCACGTACCACGCGCCTCCCCGTGCATGCCTCCTCTCCATGCTTCTTCCTCCATGGGACCCCTCCCGTCGCGAATTGGGTTGGGAGCTCTCCAAGGAACATGATGACCCGTGACGTCATGATCTCATACCCAGCACCCTTCGTCCCGTCATGCTTCGTCTCGCCCTGGACCTTTTTTTATGGGCTCTGTTTCTTTTCGCATGAACCCTTGGTCGTCTATCGTGTCGCCATTTCACATGCTAGGCCTGTCACAGGTTGAGACAAGCTTCGAACGACACACGGGATAGACGCGGCCCTTGGAGCAATTGACGCCGCCGGGCTTACCATAGTACACTACAGACTCCACGTCCGTCGCCTAACGTTTTTTTAACCGCCGCCTCCCGTTTGCCCTTGCGTTGTTTCTGTAACTGTTGAATAATGCTGATCCTCGTCAGTGCCTGATCGGCCGCTACGGCAAGGCAGGGCAGGGCAGGGCAGGACGACATTGGGGCTTAAAGTGCGCTTGCGACCGGGGAGGGCTGCCAGTTTGAAGAATGAGGCTTACAAACAAGGACCCTGGCACCCTGGCCTATGGATATTGTTTACATTCAGTCCCCATCAGGAATTCAGGGTCCAGACACTCCGGACGCCGTCGTCCGTTGTGGTTGACGTTTTTGGAAATAGCTTCTCCTGCTTGCTCCGTTTATTGCTCGACCCCCAGTCCCCAACCTAATATTGGCCGGCGACGAACTAAAACATGAAAGAGAGAGAAAGAGACGCCTGCGCCTTCGCTTGCTGTTGCCTTATAGGTAGCCGGAGAAAATCCCGACATTGGTATCCGTACGTTGAAGCGTCGACTTGCAGGACGGCACACCGCTCTTGACGAGGCCCGGTATCTTCTGCAGAGTCCTGCAATATTCGACGCCTCTGACACGCATCCATCGTCGATGCAATATTTTCTGTATTGGTCCATTCGGGTGGGCAACACCGCACGCGCAACCTCTGTTACTCAGGCGGACCGTTTGTAGACAGTGGTATCGCGACGTTCCGTTTCAAAGTTGTTGCTCCCGTCCAGCTCAAGCGCGCGACGACCCGCCATCACCCCTCCCTCTCCCCCATCTAACTCGGGGCAATGACGCCAGCGTCTCCGCACCGCGCCGGGCTAGGGCTTGATGAACCCCCGCCCGCCCGGCGGTTCGTGATGGTTCCCCTGAACAGCGAATGGAGGACATCCGAGTCAGTCCGTCGCGACTACGTCATTGTCGCGATGCCTCGATGTACGGCGCAACACTAAAAATCGTCCGATGGTATATTCCGGCCAAGCTCCTTCAAGCTGCTGGCCCGAGTCAATCGAGCCGCCATCCGCTCAGGGGACTTCGCCGAGTCATGCCTGACTTTGTCAAACCCGCAACGGCGGAAATGACGCATTGGTCCCCTATTTTTTGATGCTTTCCAGAACTCAGAATTCGAGACGTGTAAAACGGCTATCCAACTGCGGGCGCGGGAAAGGCTGAACGGAATATAACGAGACATCGGAGGTAGCTTCGTGTTGGATATGCCATGCATAGGCGAGGGATCTGGTGACTGAGGTGTGGATACGTGAGCGTGTATTTCGTCAACCTGACATAATACCTGCTTTGGCGGGCACGAATGAGACATTGAACCCTGGGCCTCGTCCGCAGGAAGTACCGCTTGTGTAACGCCGTGACCAGATCGTATCTCGGTCGCGAAAGCAAAATCTCTGCGATCCATGGTCATGGATGGTTTGTGAAGGCGACATGAATCCTGAGGTCATGCGACTTGGCACTCTGGATTGACGTCTTCGCAGCTTCCATTGTCGTGACTATTGCATCGATGAAGTGGGCAGTGAGTGTTTTGACGGTGTTCCTTCTGTGAATAGCGTCAAAAATGGTATCGATCCGTTTCGCGAGTTTAGACGCGTCTCACCCGAGCTGCCGGTCTAGACTCGCTTGCCCCAGAGAAACGGTGGCACATGCCATGAGGCGAGACAACGTGGGAGTCTTGCTTGGGTCGTTTTGAGGTGCATCGCAGCGTCGATCCAGCGGGAACATGGCTGTCCTGGGTAATTTGGCGGTCGAGCACTACTGTGCATTGGAATTGCCTTGGGCAGCAAAGCCAGCCGTCTGGTCATTGGCTGGATCAGGTCGGACCAGGCTCCTAGGTTGAACAGAGCGAAAGTGATCGTCCTACCTTCAGTAGTAGCAATGAGGCGATCATGAGACGAATCAGCAGCGACATGGCATTCATGTGCAGCACCAGGCTGGCGATGTTTGCATCGGCGTGTGCTGTGGTGGTGATCCAGAGTAGGTACGAACCCCGTCCGAGGATGGAAATGCACACGGTACGGACAACCCAAGGCAAGAGGAAGCAGGCGGGCGGTTTGCTCCTGCAACTTCACCACACTTGCCAATCAAGAACGGAAATGGGAGCTATGCAGGTAGGCGCGTCCGTGGCCTGACCAACGCAACTTGATATCAAATTACTAATGGAGGCACCTACATTCCACCTGACCCTGGAATGATTGCATAGGTTGTAGACGCATTGCATTGCATGCCAAAGTAAGGTAAGGTAGGTATCCGTACCTGCTCACCGGTCTCAACTCCAGGCCAACGTGTTTTTGGCTCCGTCAGCACTACCTGCTTTATCACACGGCAGTTATTTCCCTTTGTCAAGAGATGGGGCCGAGCAGTGACGATGGCTTCCACCATTTCGGGAAGTGTCCGTCCGTCGATGCGTAAGGTAAGGTACCTTATGCAACCGCAACCATTGACATAACTGTCCAAAACAGCTTGTTGCTCTCTTGTACCATCGGTCCCGTATCTTTGCCGAGATGATAGCAACATGATCCAACATCTAACCTCCATGGCAACTCTCATGATCCTCCAGTGGCCCTCCAATCTGGCAGCTTGCGTTTCCATCAACCAGGGCCCGGGCAGCAAATGGCTTTGGACCGTGCCGCTGTCACTAAGGTAAACCAATGGCTCTAGCGGCGCTGCTTCCCGACGGCCGGCCATTTTAGTCAAGGCCCGTCCACCATCGAGCGGCGTCTACTGCCGATGCCGACTACCTTAGCACCTCAGAGTGCCACAAATCATCCCACCGAAATGGCTCCACCTCATTTGCTCACCACCGTCCCAAGACCACCACTTCCGCCAGCCACCCGATGTGCGACCTCATCCTGACGGACGGGCCCCAGTTCCGGACCAGCAACTCCTTGAGACTGTTTGCATTACTGCCGGAGACTCGGAGAATCCGCAGAGCAATGTACTGAGCTACGACACACTAGGCATATCTACCTATCTACCTACCTATCTCACGGTAAAGTATCTTAGCATCACCAGTACCTGCTAACGACGTACAGATCGATTTAGTCTGGATCTGACTCTCGCCACAAACAGACAGCTTGTGTTCACCAAGTGAGCTGTTATCAACGGCAACTCGCACCTTCAGCCGGAGTCCTCCTGGAAATACCTGAGGTACCTTGTTATCGTCTTGGGCCAAGGCATTTTCATACATAATACCGCATTGCCATTGCCCACAAGTCCACCCACAAACAACAGACGTTCCACCACTGGAAACATCGCACCCCCACCATCTCGCATCACCGGTTGTTCATCGCAGGGCTACTTTCTCTCCTTCCGCCGTTATCGATCGCAAATCGATGGTGAAACCGTACAAATTTACCTGCAGCCCGCACTCTTCCGCCCGCCCCCATCCCACGCCGTCAAATCAGTCCGTCCAACCACCAGCGACTTGCTTGCACTAGCCGTCAAACAGAATAACGGGATTCGACGACCAAAGCCCTCTCTCAATATCTGACCCAAGAAACCGAGCTGCCTGCCGCGCTGCGTCCGTGTCAGTGTACTTCCAGTTGCTCCGGAGGAAGAAAAAAAGACGAATCATTCTAGCCCCGCTATCTTTTTTTATTTTTATTTCTTTTATCCTCGCAATTCCAGGCATCTGGAAACATCCATGACCCATCCGTCGCCGCTGGATTCTTAGACCGACCCTGCCACTTCTCGGCCCTTATTACCTGTCTCCCGTGTGCCGTTCCGACTCGAGCCTTTTTCGTCTGAACCTCCAGATAAACCAAAGGTGCACCACCCGCCTGCGTCTGCCAAATCAAAAGGATCCCGCATACCTTACTTTACGCATACACACACACACACACTCCGAGTCACACGGCTTCGCCAATCATTTTCGGACAACCCGCCACCAACAATTTTCTGCACCGTTTTCCAGTCCGCTTCCGCTTCCGCCTCCCTCTTCTACTCTTCTCAATTTCGCTTCTGACAACACTTCTCCGCCCCCGCCTTCCACCTCCAAACTACCCCACCATGAGCAACAAACAGCCGAACCTCTACGCCTACCCGACGGTCAGCGAGCTCGCGCCCGCTCTGCGAGCCTACGTCATCCAAGCACAGAATGCAGGCCTGAACCGTCACGGCGCTTTCAAGGTCGCCGTTTCTGGCGGTTCACTCCCCAAGACTCTGGCGCAAGCCTTGCTCACTCCTTCCTCCGGTCCCGACGATACCGTTCACTTCGGCAAGTGGGAGATCTTCTTCGCCGACGAGCGCGCCGTTCCCCTCGACCATGAAGACTCCAACTACGCCCTCTTGAAGAAGGAGCTGCTCGAAAAGATCCCCGAGGACCTCGGCGCCCCGACCGTTCACCCTATCGACACCACCTACCTGAACGACACCCAGGAACTGGCCGATCAGTACGAGAAGACCCTCGTCACCAGCTTCGCTAGCCGCGACAGCGTGCGCCTGCCCATCTTCGACCTCCTGCTGCTCGGCTCCGGCCCCGACGGCCACACCTGCAGTCTGTTCCCCGGCCACGAGCTGCTGCGCGAGACCACGGCCTGGGTCGCCCCCATCGAGGACTCCCCCAAGCCGCCGCCGAAGCGCATCACCCTTACCCTGCCCGTCGTCAACCACGGCGTCAAGATTGCCTTTGTCGCCACCGGAGGCGGTAAGAAGGACATCATGAAGAGGATCCTCGAGCACGGCGACGGTCTCCCCTGCGCCCTGGTCAACGAGGGCGGCGGCGACCGCGTCAGCTGGTTCGTCGACAACCCGGCCGTCGAGGGAGTCAGCTTCCCTCGCCGTTCCTTCTTGTGAGCCAAGATCTTGAGTCGACGGTACTAGAAAAGAAATCCCGGAGATATGGAGGATCGATGTCGTATAAAAGAACACCCATTGCTCATTTCAAATAGACAGGGACCAGACGAACCGGCATATCTCTAGAAGGGAATACGACTGCAAAAGGGGAAAAGGGGAGACCCAAACAACAGTACCCGCAGATCCGCGGGCGTTTCTATTCACGAAAATTTACATCATTCAGGAGCGAAGCTGGACCACATATTCGTTTCTACCATTTCTTCTTGGGTTCTTTGCTCATTTTTCTCATCAAAGTCTCCCCTTCTTGGGTTTTCGCCTGTCGTTCGCCACAAAGGTCCATCCCAGTTTTGATATCCACCAACGTCAAAAACAAGTTATGATTTCACGATATGAGAGGAAGAGGGAGGAAAATCTTAGCAACTCTTCTGGACGACGAGCGGTTACGTTCGTTTGGGAGGGTCGAACAGAAACCAAAATAGAAAAGTTCCCCCATTCGCGTGGCGGCTGTTTCGAAACAGGCTCTCGTTGACACATGCTCCGTGACCATCCTTTTCGTTATTTCTGCCCATCAAGAATTCGTGGCAGGCAGGCAGGTAGGCAGATGGGTAGAATTGCTGCCTGCTTCCATGTGTTGGCTGACTGATTGGCGTGCGTGTACACACACACACACACACACACACACCTGTGGTGGGGGGAAGGGGAGACACGCCACATACCTCGCCCCCGCGCGGATGGCTGACGATCTTTGTAGGGCTGGGTCCTCCTTTTCCAGCAATTCTGAACTATTCATGTTTGTCTCACGAGGGATCGGCGCAGAGCACGTTTTGGCGACTGCCGTCTACTTACCAGAATCTCGGGACAGCAGTGAGGAAAAATGTGCAAGTTTGTCCAGGAGAACGAGAGGACCGCCTTTGGGCTCGGGGCAAGGAAATCGGAATTAATGATACAAAACAAGAAGAAAAAAAGAAGGGACTTTACTCGACTAGCTGGTCCTCCACTCGCATGTTAGCAATGGTTCAATACGCGCCCAGCTGTCTCAGGAGAAGCCCCAGGGCGGATTGACTCTGTCCAGGCCACTTGAACAAAGCAACCTCATATCGTCACGACAATGCCGAATTCCTCATTAATGGAGTCATCTCCGCCGAAGGAAGATAGGGTCTAGACACCCAAACCACAGCAGACTGCCTCACTCATAAGTCCGGTATTCCTCTTTACTTCGTATCTCGAGGGTCTCTTCTATACGACTGTTATCCCTTCACGACACGGACCTGGCCGCGGCAGTCGACCTACGGGACAAGGTCGAAGAAGGGAACAGGATGAGTTGACGGTGGCATGAGATTTGTGACCCCGGCAAGAAGTCTTTATCCAGGTGCCCTACACGCCATCCATGTGAGTACAAAGCCAGATCCGGTTACTGGGTCCCCATTTGGGACATGGGCTCTGCTGATGGTGTTGCCGTCACATTTAGTCATTGACGACGGCCTTCGTCTCGACGCCGTGCTGGGATAACGTGCCCAGCTCTGGAAGAGTCCCCGAAGAAGCATCGAAGAGCTCGGCTCGACGGTGAGCTTTTCTCGAGCCCGTCTGATCTGAACATGCCCCACGGTTCTAGGATCGAATCTGCCACTGATCGAGTTGGTGAGACCCTAGTAACATGACTGCAATCAGGCACTCGCTATCCATCAGGCCTCCATCTTGCTTGTTCGTAGAAACGGTGGGCCATCTTTCGGCCGTTTGCTGGACGCCTCTACGTCCCTGCCATGCGCCTTTGCGAACCCTATACACATCATGTGTGTTTTCCTCCGCCGTGATCATCTTGTGCAGCACCTGTTATATAAAGAAGGAGAGATGTGACCTCGGGAGGGTCGATCAACGCTTCAAGATTGGGAAAGAAGGGTCATGCGAGTTCGCGTAAACTATCTGCCTTATTTAATGAACAGCGTGTAGGGTCTGTAACGCGCCGGGCGGCGTCGAGGTAGGTTGGGTATATCCATTTGGTCCGCTCCGTATCTTTACGACGGTCCGTCTCTTCCTGGCGAGTGTTCGTGCGAAAACACCGCTGATGATTACAGACATACTGAAGCACTGCGACGCAAAGTAAGCCAAATGGTGAAGCTTCTCGAAGTACAATTGGCCTGCCGTTGAATCCAGCATTGATCGCATCAGGACAAAGTCTCAGACCATGCTGCTTCTTTCAAATCTGGCCCAGAACCACTGAGAGACAATGCGTGCTGTAGCTTTCTACGGCGTTCTTATAGAGGTCGTATTATTCAGAGTTTCCCCTTGCTAAGCGTGCTCTCAAACCTGCATTCCACAGACCTTCTCTCGTCTTCTCGAGACCATCTCAACAACCACGACCTGTTTTCCACCTCTACCTTCGTATGTACACGAGGACTGTAAATGCCACGTATATACACAACCCAACACTCTCCCCTTCCATCACCCATCGAACCCGTCAACAAGCCACCTACCTGCTCAGAGCCTTCTCCCGAATGAACAACGTAGCCACAAAAGCAAGCACCAGGAACACCGTCATGGGAACCATGGCCCCTAACGTCGCAACCTGATAACTCGCCCTGACCTCCGCCGCGACCCCGGGCTCCAGCTCCCGGATATAATCCAGGCTCTCCCTCACCCTCTCCTCGACCCTCCTCGCCTCCTCCCCGTCGCTCAGCCTCACCCTCAGCTGCGTCCGCAACACCTGCTGCAGCACCGCCGAGCACACGCTGATGCCGATGCTCGACCCCAGCGACCGGAAGAGGTACGAGCACGCCACGACGACGGCCGTGTCCTGCACCGCGGCGTTGGACAGCAAGGCCACTAGCGTGGTCGTGATGCCCGCCCCGCCGCCGAGCGCCAGCAGCGCCATGCTCGCCACCACGCCCGGCGTCGACCGCGCCCACAGCGCCGCGACAGTGGGTACCACCGCCAGGCACATCAGCCCGAAGGCCGCGACCGTGAGCGCGTAGTACCGCCCCGTCCGCTTCATGATGACGCCGCTGCCGACGGAGGCGATGACGGAGGCGACCATGGCCGGGACCAGGAACGCGCCGGCCTGCGTGGCCGAGGCGCCCTGGACGGCCTGGAAGAAGAGCGGGAGGAAGAAGATGGAGGCGATGTGGGCGGCGACGCCGAAGAAGTTGGTCAGGTAGCCCGCGAAGAGGGAGCGGTCGAAGATGATGTGTCCCGGGGCGAAGGGGTTGCTGGCGACGCGCATCTCGACGAGGACGAAGATCGCGAAGAGGGCGGGCGCGGCGGCGAGGCCGGCGATGGTGACGGTGTTGGACCAGCCGCGGTTCGAGCCGGCGTCGAGGCCGACGAGCAGGGCGATGACGGCGGCGACTAGGCACGCGGCGCCGAGGAAGTCGATCTTGGCGACCTTCTCCCGCCAGTGGCCGTGGTCCGTCTTGGGCAGGTCGAGGACGAAGTAGACGGCCAGGAAGGCGGCGACGCACAGCGGGACCTGGCCGATGAAGGACCAGCGCCAGCCCACGGAGTCGGCGAGCAGGCCGCCGAGGGGCGCGCCGGTGGAGGTGCCCGAGGCGAAGATGATGTTGATGTAGCCCTGCCAGACGCCGCGGTCACGGAGGGGCACGATGTCGGACATGAGGATGACGACGACGCTGTTCATGCCGCCGCCGCCGATGCCTGCGACGGCGCGGGCGAGGCAGAGCTGCGGGAAGGTCTGGGCGAGGCCGCAGCCCAGAGAGCCGATTGCGAAGATGGTGTAAGCGAAGAGAAGGCATTCCTTGCGGCCGAAGATGTCGGACAGTTTGCCGTAGAGGGGTTGGAAGCTTGTCAGTGTGATGAAGTAGCTGGCGTCACGTTAGCGAGTTCTTCCCGTCTTCGTTGTCCTCGGAGAGAGTCCTCGGGCACGGGAGGAGTTCGTACGCCGTTGCTAGCCAGCTGGTGTTATTTAGAGCGTGCAGCTCGCTGCCGATCTTGGCGTAGGTGGCCACGGTGAGAAGCTGGTCGACGGCGCAAAGGTAGATCTAGTAGTATTTGATGAGCGCCGGGCACGGAGGCGGGGCAATGTGAGAACCTACGCCGATACCGACGGCCGGGAGCAGCAGGTGCATTTTCTTGGCCATCTCGGGGTTGCCGTCCCGCTTGTCGTTCCGGCCGGCGCCGTCATCTTGCACGGCGCCGTCGGTGGCGGGTTCCGGGTCGACGGCTCGAAGGAGGGGAGACGTCTCCGTCGGAGCGGGGACGCCGTTCGGTGAACCGGTCATTGCGAAGAGACTGTCCGGTGAAAGGGACTGGAGAATTGACTTTGGTTCACTGAAGAAATCACCCGGGAAAAAGAAACAATCACGATGCCGTCCTTTTGAGGGCCGCACGGCTATCTTTCAGCTCCCCGGCCCCCGTTCTCCGCTCCCTCAAAGCATTGCTAATCTGCCTCCTGCATACGGTAAAGCTCCGTCTATCGGGGCTCTCGTCGGACACTTGCCCGCGATAAGCCTCTCCGGGATCGTAGCGAGGATGACGCCATTGGCGCGATAAGGCACGTGATGAGAAAACTGCCGCGGTTGAATGTGGAAGACTACATGACAACCAGTGCGTCAATGTTGAAACCATCAGGTGTAGAAAATTAAAATCAGATGCCGTGATGGCTTCACAATTTGGATGCAGAACTCTCTGCAAGTCCACGCAACGGCCAGGTCGAATAAAAATACGCCGAAAGGGAAAAAAAGAAAGACGACGGGCGGATTGAGTGGAGACGCCAGAGATCAAGAATCAGCTTGGCGTCCACTCGGATGTTCCCAAAGATCTTGACAAGGCTTCTTCTCGCTAGGTACGGATACGCGGGCTTCGACCGAATCTCTCCGAAGCCCCGGCCAAAGCGATCAATATTTCTACCATCAATCTATCGGCCGGCGGGGAAATCGGGCGACGACCGCGACGCGGGTCAAGAAAAAGGATGGAATGGGCGGATCAGAGCTCATCTTAAAATCCTGCCGGTGTGAAACAAACCGTCACGTCGCCGCCCCATCGTTCCGCGGGTGGCCCAAAAGTCATTTCAATGTTAATCTATTTTCCGTGAGGCAGGCTCCCGGAAGACGCGGGCTGTACGCGCAGATGCTGCGATGAGTGCTAATTAGGAGGCGTATCCTCGACGGGCGTAGTTTGTCAACAAGGCCTTTGTTGGTCTGGTGTTTGACTGCAACTTTTCTTTTTCGCGCCAAGAACGTTGCCCGGCTTCTTAGTTAAACGGCCGCTTGGCTAACAAGGGAATCGAGTGAGAACAGCAAGAAGGCGTCGAAGGCGTCGACATCGTCGAACATGCTGCGATGGAACTGGTCTTCCCAATTCTGGAGGAGGCGCATCGGCCTCCTTATGTCGTCCCAACTTTATGCGTCGTCTGCAAGGCGGCATTCAAAGTTCCGTCGTCATCGAGCCCAGGGGTGAGCACGGAGCTCTCGGTCTGATGTATTTGCATGGATGCGACTGGGGCATGCTTGTGAGACTTGGACGACCGAGAACTCGAAATGGCTCAAACTATCCAACCGGAACAGCGATATCCTTGCCGTTGGTAAGTCGCCTGGCGCGGGTTTGGCCTGTCCATTTGGCGGCGATGGCTGATGACTGATGAAAGTGAAGCCGGCGCACCTTTCAGGGGCAATCCGATGCTCATCAGACTTGGATTTCACCTCACGTTCCAAACAGAAGAATCCCTTTCTCTTCAGGGGTGGCAGGAACGGCAGGCCTTTGCTGCTGGGCTTAGCGAGCCGCAAAGTACCCAAACTGCCCCCGTAATTCTGATGCCGGACGGGGGTTTGCCAGGTGGGATTAGAAAGTGAGATGCGACTTCATCGACGACCCAGGCGTATGGCTCCCGGAGTCTGGTTGGCTTCCCTGGCGCAGATCGCCATTCGCCGCCATGGCCGCCTCGGAGTCTTGGAATGGCGTGAAGGCCAGCTGTCACCGCGGGATCTAGTACAAAGACAATGATGATGATTGCCAAAGAAAAAGTATGGAAAATGTCCGCCAGAGTAGTAATTAACCGTTTGTTCGCATCGCAGGCGTCACAGCGCACGGGCAAGACACGGAGGGAGGCTAGCGTCTGCCACGTCGAGAGTGGCTGAATGGCGGCCTCTGAGGTGTGTTGTGTTGAACTGCAGCGGTTCGCGGCGAACAGGTGCCGCCTCCAGGTCTGCAACGGTCCAATCCTTGATTCCCGCATTCCACGTGAAAGTTGCCGGACCAGCTCTTTTTGGTGTGAAGATTGGCTGCACTCGGACGCTGAGCTTTCAAAAACCGGCAGGTCGGCGAGTGCCTTCGTCTTGGTTCTCGTGTGTACCCAGCCCGGATTGTGATGGCGCGGAAGGATGAAGTGCAGGTTGGTGGGAGAGGCTGACTGTAAGCGCATCGGATACGACGTCGATGCGGCCATCATTACGCGGCGCGACGGGTGAGGTGCGGATGGCGCGCGCGCCCCGAGAATGGCATGCGCCGCAAACAAGTCTGTGTCAGCCTAGGGTCGGACGAGAGAGAGTTCAAGCTTCAAGATTTCGGATTGTTTGAGTCGTTGCGGCTCAGGCGCGATATTGGAGCAAGCTCCATCCTGTGCTGACATCGGTCTGGGCTCTCCATGGCGTCATGTAGGCTTCATGTGGATTTGATAATTCGAAAGCGCTCATTTTGAACGGTCTACTCGTGACAGCGAGCATTCTCGATGATTGCGACATGCGATCCGTAGTGATTAAACGTCGGCCTTGGCCAAGCATCCGTAGACCCTTTTTTTTCCGGTCTCCTTTTTTAGCGGCGGGTGGTTTCAGCCTATCGAGAATCGAGATGGGAATGCTGAGAGCAGGGCATTCGGGTGGCCAAGGACGGAAGATTGATGAGATGGGGCGACGGGAGGGTGTGGTCGCAGGATGATGTCTGTTGTCTGTCAGTGTCTCTCTGTTATTAGTGTCTTGAAGTTGACAGCAGCTGAAGCATGCGGATTGAGATTGGAGATGGAAGCGTGATTCATAGTTGCAAAAAAAGAGAGCGCATTGGTTGCGGGAGTCGGCGGACGATGCGCTTTGGAATGGCTTGCATGAGTGATTCAAACAAGAAGGAAATGATGGACAGCAGACAATGTCTGTGGTTGCGATGTCTGTGCCTGATTGTCTGGCTGTGTCAGTGGTGATGTGGAAGTGGCGTGGCTGTTGCTGTCGCCGTCGCTGTCAATGGCTGGCGAGAGGTGTCAAAGGGTGCCTGGGCCAGATGGTGACCACCCTCCCAGCTGGCGTGCTTCACCAGCCCCAGCCAGCCTCCTCGCCCCGCCTCGGCAGGTCCAGCGGTGCAGGTTCTTGGCTTCAGCAGGTGTTCCTGCTTGATCTTATTACAGGGCTGCTAATGTATGCACCTTGGAGGGTCCGGAGCCAATCTGACGGAGCCAATGACGGCCATGACCTTCAGGCTTCAGCTGGCCGTGATTTGCATCTTACCTCACAACCTGGATGCCCAACGCCGCAGGCATGCACGCTAAGAAAAGCTCTATTGCCGTACAGCGCGGCGCAGTAATAACCTGGAAGGCAGATAGATACCTTGGGCATTCGAATACACGTCCAGTACCGCGGATTTAACCTGCAAAATGGAGAGAAGAGGTACTTTCGGATATCGATGACATCCTTGCCCGTCCCGTCCGAAGACCAAATGAAAAAAAAAAAAAAAAAAAAAAAGGTTCGACGCTCGTTCGGACAAGGGTCTCCCATCGCAGGGTTCTTTACTTGTTACTTGAGACCGAAATACACCCCCCTCCCCCCCTGGTGTCCCAGATGTCATTGTTCTCATCCCCCTCTCATACTGCGCAGTGCCTCTTTCTCAGTTCCAATCAAACCAACAACTCGTCAAGTTTCTTCTCCTCAGACCTTTCCCCCCCTCCACATCCTGCAGGCACTTGCTGCTGTGCCCGTCGCGAATCCTCGTCACTCTACTCCGTACTCCGTACTCCTGCCTACCGACAGGCTCACAAGCCGCACCTCCTCCTCACACTTTACACTCTACACAACAACCTTGATGCTGGCAACTCCCAGCATCACCATGTTACCGCGCTGAACGTCGTGGCCAACTCCGAACCGCTGAGCTCCAATAGCCTTTCGCGCTTCCCTCCTTCGTCCCACGTCGTCCAGTCCCACCGGCTTTTCGACCTTCCATCGCTTTGCTTCCTTGATTCCCCTCCCTCCTTGGTGATTCCCTTCCAAGCCGATTGGTGAGAGGCCCAGGTACCGGGACACCAGAGGGGAAGACGACGCCACATCCAGAGGCAAGGTAGCATAGGAGAAAGGGGAACGGAATCATCCCAATTATAGGCAAACCCACTACCTCCTGGCAATATGCATATGGACTTCCTTCGCTCCTCCTCTAGGAAGGGGAGGTCGCGTTTCTCAAAAGCCCTACCCGTCCCTCCGCCTCCTTCTCCGCCTCCGGAGCCTGTTCAAATCCCTTCTCATCCCCCTCCCGACGACCGGCTTAAGAAGCTCCCATCGATCCCTCGTGTCCCAGTAAGGTCTCCTCAACTTAGGTCGCCCGTCATGTCGGACAAACCGTTACCCCCGCCGCAACCTCTCAACCAGTCTCTCCCGCCTCTTCCTCCCCTCCAGACGAAAGAGCTGCCCAAGATGAACATCACCCGCCGTCCGGTTGCGAAGCAGCCCGCCCCGCCACCGCAAGAAGCGGAACAACCTTCGCCAACTGGTTCTATCGGAAGTCTGCTGTCAGCATACTCGAGGAGTTCCGGCGAGTCTCTCATGAAGTCGCCGGGTGGAAGTTCATATCAGCGAGATTCGGCCCCATTGTATCCTTCTGATCAAGATGGAACAAGAGAGGCCAAGATCCTGACACCAACCTCGCCGTCCTCTGGTGACAATGAAGCATCATACTCCCACTTTGGCGCACCAAACTTCACAACCCACAAAGGCTTGCCGCCTGCACCGGGTTATCAGCGAGGGCAAGCCGCTCCTCCTCCGCCTGCAAAGTCAGGACAGGAGGCAGGTGTCAGCAGTCCAACGAGCTTTGAATCAGCTTCGTCGCCTCAACGACCGATATGGAGGAGAAGATCTGTCAAATCTGATCGCAATATAGAAGTACCTGATCTTAAACTTTCAGTTAGCCATGGCTCGACTGCAGCTTCCACACCAAACACCACACAACCGTCGTCAACCACCGCACCTCCCCCAGCGCAGCAGTTTCCCCCTCGCACGACTTCCGGCCTGCCCGGCAGGAATATTAGACCTATCCACCTTCAAAACCTCCCTCCAGCACCAGCAGAAGAAGAAATGGGCCAGGAAGCATCGCGGTTGAAGCAGAAGGTGACACGCCTCCGCGGCGAGGAAGGAGCGAACGTGGGAGCTTCACATAGCGACACGGCCCTCTCGCCCTCTCAGCGCCTGCCGACTCCGGATTACGAGAAGGAAGACGTCAAGACGCCCGTGGTTGATACTGTCGTCTCTCCCATTTCACCAGCTTCGTCCCCCGAGCCTGCCGCCGACCAAGCGAGCGCCGAGGCAAAACCGCCCATCCCGCGCAAGGCAGTCACCCAGCGCAACGTCCACAACGCCCAGAGTCTTCCCCAGCTTCGAGTCGAGCAGCCCACCACCAACAGCGAGGCTCCTCCAACCATCACCAGAGACTTTGCCGTCAGTCCCACCAGCCCACCGACACAGGGCCATTTCCCAGCTCGGACTACATCCAACCAGCAGCCGCAGCAGCCGCAGCAGCAGCAGCAGCAGCAGCAGCAACAGAGAGGCCAATGGCAACCTGCAGCTCGGGAACATGCGCCTGCCCCCGCGTTCGCGCAGCAAAACGGCCACATGCGTTCTGCCTCGAGGGACCAACGACCGGGCCAGGAACCCGTCGAGTACCGCGACATGAAGGAGCTCGACCCGCCCGCCGACCCCCGCGCCTCCTTCTTCCCCATCACCACCCCCGAGCCGCCCAGCCCGGGCATCGTCTACAACGCGCGCCCCCTCAAGGAGAGCATGTTCGACTGCTACGTCCGCCACCGAACCATGGACCGCACCCGCAACCGCAACTACGCCCTCACCTGCCAGACCTGCGGCAAGGCCGACACCGAGGACCGCTTCAAGTGCCAGTGGTGCTACGTCCGCATGTGCGCCGCGTGCTTCCACGTCTTCAATGACAACCGCAGGGATCTCAGGAAGCTCGTCGCTCACCTGGATACCGCCGCTCAGAATGGCGAGGCAGCGCATGAAGAGCAGCCGGCTGAGCAAGCGCCCGCTCAAGAGATACAGCGGCAGCAGCCTCCTCAGGTTGTCGCCGCTTGATTACCAGCATCATTATCGCATTCGCTTCTTCACACCCTTGGATTAGGGAATTACACTACAACCTTTACAGGCCCGAAGCCTGAACATCACGGATGACGGATGGGGAAAAGGAAACCAGAAAAACTTCAATTATGTGTGAGACTAGATAGAAAGAGATTGGATGGTTGATACCCTTCTCCCAGATACCACGTTTGTACATAGCCGGGTGGGGATGCCAGAGCAGAAGGAAAACAAGGCACACCCGGACTCTTTTTTCCCTTTTCATTTTCTCACCTTTTTTGTTTGGCTTGATGGATTACATGGCTCAAGATAAACTTGCTCGACGCAAGCTCTGGCATACGACGAAAGCTTGATAACGAAACGAGAGGACATTCAAAACCTAGGGGCCCCGAATCATCGGAGCCCTCGAAAATTCAATCTGATCAAACTCTGAAACTTTCCCGTATATGCGACCCCCCTCTCGTGATATGTGAGAAGAGTTACTCAATGTGTGACACAGGTAGGTATGCTTGAACACGCCATAATTACCCTCGTCGCACGACGAAAATAGCTCTGAGACTTGCTTCTAGCAGCGACACGGTGGAATGTATGTTGAGAGAGCACGAAAGAGTACGACGGCTTCAACGATGAACCAACTGCCGTGATCTCTGATTTTCCGGATGCACCAGAAATTACTTTCTACAAATCTTCTTCCTAACGATGTCGAAGCCCACGGCCTCGGGACAGCCCGCGCCCGTCGACGTCAAAAAAGATCGAAGGAGGTCCCGGCGCCGGGACGCAGGGGCTGATGCAGGCCGGCGGCTAGATTTTCGACGAGTTCAAATTCAAAAAAGCGTCGGTCGGTAGCCACGTTACCGCGATACCACTTCGCCCTGCACGTCGCAAACGGGGAAGCGAGTACCTCGCCATCTGCCTTTGCCGAAATCCCCACGACCCGCACTCGGGAGTCGGACGGACGTCCCCTGGCAACCCCCACACCACACCGCAAGTACCACCACCCACCCAACCATCCCATCACGTCCCCTGAGATCAACATCAACACCAACGCCTTCGCGCAGCAGCACCTTCACATCACGGCTTCTCAGCCGCAAATCGACAACATTCTCTCCTCGAACGCGGGGCGACCCCGCATGTAGCAACCCCTCATGTCCTCCTCCCTAGCACGCGCCCGCTCGCTGCGGAAGCCGACGCAGGGCTCCACGACGGACCTCACCTCATCATCCACCTCGACCTCCACGACCTCGTCCACCGCCGTGCCCCAGCGCAATGTCTCCCCAAGCCGCCTCCCCGCGCCCCGTCCGACCCGTCCGACCACCCGTGCCGTATCAAGCGGCAGTCTCAACGACGCCGCCGGAGCAGCAGCGGCAGCTAAGAAGAAGCCCTCGCCGCTCTCGAACCTCCTGTCCCGAACCTCCTCGACGCGCCAGACCGCACGCAAAGATGCCTCCTCCTCTTCCACAACCTCCAACGGCCCGCCGAGTGCGCCTTTGGCGAGGTCAACGGCGTCATCACTCTCCCGCACATCCTCGACGCGAGACCCCGCCGCAGGGCTGAATAGGCTTCGAAACCCAGCCGCCTCCTCGACGAGTAACCTAGCAAACACAAGCACAAGCACATCTTCAAGCCGCCCGACGACATCCAGCGGTCTCGCACAAAAGCGCACAACACCCACAGGCGGCAGCGCACCATCAGAACCCGTCCGCGGCCACACGCGCGCGAGGAGCGTCGCGACGCTGAATGGAAGCACCACACTCCGACCGCCGTCGCAATCCTCCTCCACCACATCCGCAGCCCCGAGGCCACGCCCGACCTCAATGTACGGCGCCCCGACGACCTCGAGCACTACAGCAGCGGCACCCTCCCACCTGTCGTCAAAACCCTCCATCTCATCCCTCTCGTCACGAACCCGGGCCTCGAGCACAGCCTCAAAGACCCAACCGCCCGCGAGACCGCCGGCCCGCCAACAAACAACCCCGACATCACCCACGCGCACGAAGGCTCCTCCGCCGCCCAAGCCGGTCGCCGCGACGAGGCAACAACAACAAGCCTCCCCGACCTCGCCCCCGCGCAACAAACCCCTACTCAAACCCGCCTTCACGACCCTCCAGCAGCACTACTCCCCCGCCAAGAACCTCGCCCCGAAACCCCTGACAGCGACCTACCTCGCGCCCCCCTCCCCCTCGAAACTCCCCACCAACGTCGCCCTCTCGGCAGAGACCTCCCGTCTCCAGACCGAGCTCCTCCAGCTCCACCTCCTGCACCGCGAGCTGCCCGTCGTGACGTCCCAATGGCACGCCTCGGCCCGCCAGAAACTTTCCGCCCGCCACGCCGAGCTGAACAAATCGTCCAAGGAGCTCTCCGCCCTTGAAGCCGACGCCGCCGAGAGGATCAACGTCTTCGCGCTCCACCGCTGGGCGTCGTCGTCACCCAACGGGAAAAACCGCGGCGTCCTCGAGGAAAAGATCCAGCGTCTCGACGCCCTCCTCACGGCCCTCTGGTCCCTCGACTCCCCCGGCGGCAAACACAACCGCCTCGTCCGCGCCTTCGAGCGCTGGGCCTCCTCCCTCTCCGAGCTCGAGGCCGCCCGCGCCAGGGCCGACGACGACGCCGACCCCTCGGGCCTGCTCGACGCGAACCTCGACGTCCGCTTCGGCGGCGGCCTGGACGCGCGCTGGAAGGACGAGTGCGCCGCCCTCGTCCGTCGGCTCGAGGGCTGGCAGACGCAGCTGCGGGACCTGGCGTACCACGAAGAGGAGGCCGTAGAGGAGGAGATTGACGAGGGGAAGGAAGCCCAGGCGTCGAGCTTGAAGCGCATGCTGGACGGGTGCGGGAGCCTGGTCAAGGACATGCTCGGCGAGCTGGCGGTCATGGAGGAGATCGAGGCCGCGGCGGTCGAAAGGGAGACGGAGTGGATTCGGAAAATGAACCGTCGGGGCGATGACGGAAAAAGAGATACCCCTAGGGCGGGTGCCATTTGGAGAACGATTTGACGGCACCCGGTCCTAGACCTTTTGGACGTAGCGTTTAACGTACTGATCACCACCGGGAGTAGACACCATCATCATTTCACACGAGAGTTTCTGGTTGCCGGGCCCAATAGATTGTCTTATCGTTCTGCATGCAACCCATCCTGCCCAAGGCTTCGTTTGCCCATCTAATCCTTCTTCCAGCAACATGTCAATGCCTCCCGCAACTAAGTGTACAGTCATGCTCTTCAATTTCGGCAACCCTCTTGCCCTCAGAGCACCCACCTCTGCCACGCCTCCAGCCAGCTCAGATCGCCGTCGGAGGCAAACTTCCACCACGCAGCCCCGAGGACGATGGCGGCCGTGCTCGTGGCCAGCATCCTACGGACAAAAGTCAACCTGTCAGATTTCGTGAGGAATAAGAATTAAGTAGAACAGAGAAAAACAAAAAAGACAGAGAAACCAGCGTGAGCCCGATTTCCAGCTTTTCAACGACCGGGAGAGGTGAGAAAACCTTACACCTTTCTCTTGCTGCCGAATAACCGGCTAAACAGACCACCAATCCAGTCGACGAAAAGCACGCGGAAGAAGGCCGACAGCCAGTTGCCCTTGCTGTCTGCGACGCTGTGTATGGATGAGGGGGTTCCCGGACGATCAGCGGACGACGCTCCTCCACGCTTTTTAAGCTGGCCCTTGTGGCCGTCGTCTCGGGCGGTGGACGAAGCCGCGGGGATGCTGGATTCCGCGGTATCTTCAGGGGGCTGCACAAGGATACTGGGGCTATCCGGTTGCGCAGGTCGTGACTTCGGAGAGAGGTCTCTCGAGTGCTTGCCGTTGGTGTTGCCGTTGAGATCTGGTGAATCTGATCTGGGGGACTCGGAACTCTTCTTGAACTTGGACTTGGAGCCCTTCATAACGACTCCCTCATCCTCGTCACTAGCGGGAGAGGTGAAGACGTTCGGGGTTGGGCGTATCGCAGGGCTAGGAACTCGAATAGGGCCGCCATTCTCGCGACTTGCTTCGTCCGCACCTGGCGACTCTCTGCCTTCTTCCTCGACAATAGAACCAAGGGAAGCGAGCGATCTCTCCGATACCATTGAACCATGTGACTTTCTAGGCAACTCGAGCTTCTTTCCGAGACCTGGACTAGAGGGTCCTGGAGAGATCACGGCCTCCTCATAGGGGTCCAAGCTTGTTCTCCTGGATCCAACAATGGGCGACATGGGGGTGCCGTGGAAGTGCGTGTGGTCTTCGTTGCGTCCCGTCTCGACCTTTCGGACAGCGTTCATGATACCGTCACGGTTGGATGGCAGTCTTTCCAGGGTAGGGTCGTTGAGGTCATACTTGTCCACATCGTACACGACAGTGCCATGGTCCTCCGTCTCCTTGGCCTCGTCGTCGTCGTCGCTTGGTGGTTCATAGGGACCGAGAGCTTCATGAGTGAAGAGGGGCGGCGGTCCTTCGTCGACGAGATCCTTGTCGTCGAAGTCCTTCGTCATGTTAGCCACTAGGTCAAGCGATGTAATGATCCGGCAGTGGCTCATACCTGATCAACGTCCAGCATCTTTGCAGTGTCGGCAACCTCTGCCGCAGTAGTAGCGACTTGCTCAATGGGAGTCGAGGAAAGTCGTTTTCTCTCGTCATCTTTCAGGCGGTTCAGCGGTGCCAATCGACTGGAATCGTCCTCCGCGTCAAGCTTCTTCGCAGTGTCAGCCACTTCTGCGGCGGTGTTTGCAACCTGCTCGATTGGAGTCGAAGAAAGACGTTTTCTCTCGTCGTCTTTGAGCCGGTTGAGCGGTGCCAATCGGCTCTCGTTATCCTCCGCATCAAGCTTCTTAGCGGTATCGGCAACTTCTGCGGCAGTGTCTGCAACCTGCTCGATCGGCGTCGATGACAACCGCTGGCGTTCCTCATCCTTCAGATGCTGGATGGTTCTGGGCTTCGGCTCAAGCTGAGAAGCCGAATGGGCAGCCGCAGCAGTTGAGGTATCCATATTCGCAGTGGATGTCGCGTCTTGTTCTTCTTGGGGTTTCACACCATTCAGGTTCGTAGACTCTTGAGAAGCCGGAGCTGTCAGGACGTTGTTCTGGTTTCCAGAATCGTCGGTAACTGTAAGGTCATATCATGTCAGGCAAGAACAGCTCGTGTTGAGGCGGGAATTTCGTACCCTTGGCGGCGTCTTCGTTTAAAGCCCACCAGTCACCAAGACCAACTCGAAACTTATATTGGATCTGCGAGCTTGGTGGGACCTCAACGTTCTTGTAAAACGTATGTTCTCCTCCTTCCTCGGTAGTAAAGTCCATCTCGAGAGGCTGCCATTGCGGATCGGAGAAGGACCCAGCGACGAATATGGGCGGCTGCGTGCCCGGCTGGCGATAGGTAAGGGTGACGGAAACCATTGTTGACGCTGGCTTCCGCAAGGTATGCGAAGGGTGGATGATCGGAGGTTCGTTATAGCTCGGCCAACTCGATCCTTCGATCAGTTGCCGGGCAGGCGAGTTTTGGGTTTGGGGGCTGGCTTCTACGATACGTAAGAGTCAGCTCAGGCGACGCAACTTTTTTGGAGGGAGAAAATCGAGGAGAGAAGCAGAAGAGGAAACCGTCCCCTTGAAACCCACGGCGAGGGTGGCGGGTTGGAAAGAAACGCTGACGGATGCGGTTGTCTCTGGGTGATACCTTACGATGCTAGCCGTTAGGAGAGAGCAAGCGTTGGATCACGCCGGGAAAGCAAGCAGACAAAAAAAAGGCCCAAGACCAATTCTTTGCGAGGAATTGGAAGTGGAGTCCAAGGTCTGAGTGTCTCACACAACGAAGAGAATCCGGGATTACGTATTTTGCAAGTGAAACAGACGTGAAGTTTGAGGGGACAATCTAGCGGGGGTTTAGAAGAGAAGGAAGCGATGAAAACTTACCACTACTCAGCAGATACAGGCCGTACGGACCGGAAGGCGACACCCAGATGCTACCACGGTCCAAAGTGAGGGGAGCTCAGATAGCAGAGAGATCAGAAGCCGGAGATTTGGTGTCTGGCGTGGGAGGTGCAGCAGCTAGAACAGGGAAGCTGTGGCACAGAAGGGGTTCATTGCATGATTATGCCATGGGTGCTATGTCAGTGGTTGGGGCGAGGTAAGAAAACGGGCAGGAGGAATACGGGGAGATTGGGGGAGGTGTGGTAGAGCAGTGTTTTCTTCACTAGGCACATCGGGCAGTTGGACAAGGTGCCTGCCATCTGGTGCCTATCTGAATAAGGCAAAATGAGATAGCCCAGGGAGGCATGACGATGGGCTATTCTGTTGCTATTCTTACATAACGGACAGTTCCAGACCTCCATGAGAATTGTTGATTTTCGCCAGACTTGGTTGGAGCTGACGTAAATGTGCGTACGTAGGTAGCTGTGGCATGGGACGGGATTATGATGACAAAATCTCCCTTCGCCTCTGCAAATCTGTTGACGGGCAGCTGCAACTGCAATGCAAGAAATAACACAGCTCCCTCCCCAATGATTGAGCAGCTAAAACAGTATCGGCGGCTAACAGCATCCAGGCAAGAGCTATCCGTCACAGTCTCCGTCGGCATGCCTTTTGCGTCACCATCCCTGATATGTCCCGAGCCCGGGAGTTGCGGGAACATACCCATTGGCCGCCGCTGCCCATGTTTCCAAGGTACTGGAGACTTTCCCGCAATGCACGAACCAAGAAAGCTCCACATCCGCCGGTCCATTGGTGGGTTCTTGATGGAAGGCCCAGACCGGGACCGACGTCCCCAGACACCGACACCTCCAAGCCTGGGGAAGCTATCAGCCACCTCCATCATGCCACAGCACATGCCCGTCGTGTGGAATGGACCATCATGAGTCGGTGCATAACAAGCTCATCTCGATCACTTTCCCCAACACTATCTACGCTGTAGAGCACAAATGGCTCTATCAAGCTGCATAACCGGCTTCGCCCACCTCCTCTTTTTCGGCCCCAATACTCAGCTCTTATGTCCTGCGGCATGGCAAGCTATCTTCACACCTCAAGCTTCGACCTTTCTTAAGGTCAAGCCGCCAATCACGAGGAAATGATTCTCCAAGGATTTGGCGAGAATTGGCCTCAAACCGGTTATCAACTTCTGCAAACCACGACCTTCTGCTCCCAGGTGCCGACCCTGTCGTCCCAAACCTATAGGGAATTCAAGCTAGCGATCCAGCTATCTTTACTTCATTTCATGCACTCAATTGGCTTCCACTGAACCGCAGCATTGACGTCGCTGGGCTAGTTCAAACTTCCAGCTCGATCGGCGCAAGGCGGGGTTTCCTTCCGGCAGACACACGCTTCCAGCTGGGTTAATTACTCTCAGGGAAGCTAGTTATTCTGCCAAAGGCGGTGAAGTCCTTGACCAATGATGCGCCCCACCGATAACCATTCTTATCGGAACTTCCTCGCATCTGTGCACATGCCGTTGTCCAGCCGCAGGCTTCTAGAAAAATCCACTTCGCGAAAAACACATCATCGTCATTGCATGAATTGCGACGTGGCATAGCCAAAGAACCAAGCCAGGGACTACCAGCTTCACATCACTTCTAACCGGCTCCTCCTTTCATCACATTAGCATAGATCCTACCGTTCCAAAGCTTACCTCCCGCTACGTCTTCCGTCATCATGTCTGCCCCTCCTAACCTGATCCACATCAAACGGAAGCGGGGCGACGAAGATGCGCCGGTTACCTACCTTCGTACGACGTTCCCTCTGTCTCTTCTGAGCCGAGAAACGGCAGACTGACAAACGCGAAAGAGCTCGAGCATGGATCAAAACGACAGTTGGCCGGCAGCAGCTGGGTCTACCGCCGACGCATAGCGTCTGTTAAAACCGCCTCTAGATCCGGCGCAGGCTCACTGCACCATTCCCCGACGAAGCCCGTTATCCAGACCTCCAGACCCGGCGACGAACTCCCCAGGTCGAACCACTCTCCTCACAAGGCCGCCGCCCGTCCCACACCCCCGAACGATGCGTCCCCGACAGAGGAGCCGGCTGCCGAAGCGCAGGCCGGGCCTCAGCGTCCCACGAACCCAGCGACCGAGCCCAGACGATTCCATATGTCACGCTCCGCTATGAGCTCTCCCGGCGGCGGCACGATCCTCAAAGCCGGAGGTGTTTCCAAGAAAGGCCGGTACGGAACAGCAGTCTTTGTCGAAAGGGGGAAGAAGAAGGCGGCAAAGAAGCTGTCCGTCGCCATTGACGTCAAGAATGCTGCTGCCGCCGTCTCGGAGACAGCGCCATCTGCCGACGTCGAGATGGGAGACGGCGATAAACCAGCCTCTAAGAAGCCCCTGGCCAAACGGCCCCCTCGACCCGCCGCCGCAGACGTAGAATCCCAACGCAAGCCCATGCCCAGCGTCGCGCCCACACAGGACATGAGCAAGATCGCCGCCGACATGGACCAGTGGGTTCTCCACGAGATCGGGTTGAACCTCAAGTCGATGGAGCAATCGGCCCCGCCACCGGCTGCCGCGTCGCCTTCACGCTTCAAGCCCAAGGCCCCTGTCAAGCGGTTCGCCGAGCGACATCCGGATATGGCGAAGGAGCTCGACGGCGGTAGTCGCGAGGAGTCCATGACCGACGTCAGTGATGGCGACGACGACGACGATGACTACGTGATAGAAGTGTACGAGCTGGCCCCTTCGAAGCCCGTGCTGGCCAACATCCCGCCGGAGCAGATCGGTGTGCTGCGGTTCGATACTCAGGAGGACATGGAGCTCTTTTATGGAAACGAGGATGATGATGACTCGGATTACGATGACGATGAGGACGAGAACGGTAAGATGCCCCTGAACCCTGTATCCTCCGGGGCACGACGGGGTCTTGGAGTTGGAAGCTGACATGGTCGTAGCCGAGAACCATTATACCGCAGACTACCCCGAGGACGAGGTCGACTCGGAGGACGAGTACGACCGCCACGCGTACCTCTTCCGTAACGCCAATGCCTCGGATGATGAGGAGTACGACCTGCGCGACGAAGATGAGGACGGGGACGAGGACATGTACACCATGGAGGGCGACAACCGGCGTGACGAGGACGACGTTTTTCAGGAGAAGATCCGGCGGTATATCCGCCAGCACGGGTCAAACTGAGGTTCTCGTCATGACTTTCCTCATGATATCGGAGTTGGCATCCAGAAACGCTTTTTTGGGCAATGCAGGCGGCCCATCTGTTGCATTCAGCGAAATGCATCGTCATCAATGGCAGCCGTCTCTAGCTGCGGGGCACCTTCCAAATTTCACTCCCCAGTGGTTGGATGTCTTTGGGGAGTGCAACAAGCATGTGAGCTTTTGAGTATATAAATAGCTCACGGTGCACGCTGTAAACGTTGCTAGGCAAAAAGGACAGCCCGTTTCAGAGGAATGTCATTTCCGACCAGGGAGGAATTCCTCTGATCACGCCTTTTTTAGGTGGACGATTTACGTGCTCAATTGAGATAGCCCAGGATTCCACACTCCATAAATACAATGGCAGGTCTGTTTGCCGTCGTTGTGTTTTGTTCACGCAGTCTGTGTCTGTCTTGTGTTCCGTAACTCGGAAGACGTAACAACCAAACCCAATCTCCTCGCGATATCCCTGGCCCAAATATGCCGATGGTCCGACAAAAACGTTCCCAACCAGCCCTAAAACACCGAAAAGGAGAGACGAAATGGTAGAAGATAAGGACGCCTTTCCAATGCAAGACGCCGAATTGCCCGACTCAAGTCCCGCGAGCGCGTGGGCTGGGGGCTGAGTGGACGGGGGACAATGCATCCCCAGATCTAATGGTGAAACGATGCGGCGCCCAGACGCCGGGGGATGAGTATGTACTGACAAAAAGAAAGATCATAGTAAAGTAAACGCTGAAAAGGGAAACAGATTCCTCCTTCAAACTCCAGAAGTCGACCGGCGGTGGCCAAAAGGCCTCCTCACATGATGGCACAGGACCCAACAGTCCTACCACGACGACGGCCGCCGTTGCCGCCATCCTCCTCATCGGCATGCAACATCTGGGCCTCCCGAGCCCGGCGCCTGCGACGGCGGTGTCCGGCGCCGGTAGTCCCCGCCTCCTCAGTCGCCTGCATGTACTCGCCCCATCGGCGTTCCAAACGGTTGGCGGCGGCCAGATCGCCGCGCAGCACGCGCTTCATGTGCTCGTCGACCGTCATCTGGAACTTGTAGAAGCACTTGAGGCTAATGGCCTCGCTGGAGAAGGCGAACTTGCCAATCTCGGACATGGAGGGCTTTGTCTGGGCGTTACGGAAAAGGACCTCGCGGATGCCGGTCCAAGTGACATTCTGGCAGTCGTAGACGACCATGTGGAGACCGATCTTCGGCTTTGGCTTCTTTGCGTTGCTCTGGGAGCGGTTGTACACCATGTACGCCGCCTCGGCGAGGACGAGGTCGCTAATACGGGTGTTGTCGAGGTCGATACTCTTGAGGTTGACGCAGTTCTTCACGATTGGGAGTACGCCGCTGTCGCCCAGGTTCTCGCAGTAGCTGATGGATAGATGCTCCAACCAGGGGGCGCATGGTGCCTTGGCCAGGTGTTCCGAAAGCAGACTGTTGGTGAGATCTCCGAGATCTTCCATCTCAAGATGTGTGAGGCGCGGGGTGGATGCAAAGATGGGCTCAAGTGCTGCGTCGGTTAACGCGGTGCAACCGGATAGCCGCAGGCCTTGTAGGTCCGGAATATTGTATCCCAGCGCCTTCACTCCTTGGGTCGTGAGACGGGCGCATCGACTGAGGTCCAAGTAACGCCATTTCCTTGGTGGTACAACAGGCCGATCTGTGAGGATGTCGATTTCAGGGTCTTCGCCATGGATGATGATCTTCAAGGCGCGGTCATTTAGCTCGGCGCAGCCATTCAAAACCAGCCTCTCCAAGTTATTGGTCCTGTAAATTGTCTCGGCGACCTCCAAGTTGTCGAAACCCCTCACTTCCCCAGCTCTGAGATCCTTCAACTTTGAGCATCCTTCTAGTACGGCCTTGATTCCTCGTGCATCCATGTGTACACACCACGAGACATTAAACATCTCCAGCTGTGGGCACGACTCGGCGATAATTTTGCAGGACATATTGGTCACTGCGGTCAGCCCCGTCAAGTTGAGGTTAGCAAGCTTGTCGTTGCTCCTCAGCAGGCTGTGTAGAGTGTTCCGTTGGAAGTTGCGGCATCCTTCGAGGGTGGCATTGACCAAGTTCTTGCAAGCCTTCACAACAACTTCGGCCCGTTTGTAGTGTTCGACCTGGACGCAACCTCTCAGGTTGAGATCCTTGATGAAAGGTCCAGCAGCCACAATAATCCTCGCCAGTGATTCGGCTGGTATGGTCTGGTAAAATTCGGTTGCATCGAAGCTCGTCCAGAGCTGTCCGTCGAAGCAGATCTTGTGGAATATCTTGCTCACACGTGAAGTCCGCACCAGCTCCTTGGGTGTGAGATAGGAAAAAATATGAACTCGCATTTCGTGTGGCATATTTTCCCAAAAGCTGAAGTCGCGCTTGGGAACAGCCGGGTTCGCGGTCTGCGCCTTATTCGTGGTCCTCAGGTCACCGGGAAGCCCGATGGACTGGGGGCCAGCAGACGGTGTAATAGGTACGGCATTATCGACTCGACGAATAGCAAAGCGGCCGTCGATGCCCTCGAATTGAATAACTTCGCTGGACGGCGTCGGCGGTACAGAACTCGAAGTACTCGCACACCCGGATGCTGTCGCGCCTGCGGGGAAGTAAGAGTCGCCAGCAAAAGAGCTCCCGGCAGTTGAAGGACCGGCCAAGCTCACGCAGGAGATGCTCGCACGTCCTCGCTGAGGATTGCTCTGTGATCGGGCACGGCCATTCCGTGGCAGCGATGGGGAAGAAGACATCCTCTGAATACCACAGAGGACTCGGTGTCGGCCCTTGGTTTTATTTGTTGGTTCAGAGAGGCCGGGGCCTTGTTCGTCAACAACCTCCATGGGAGCCGACCCCATGGAGAACCCGTTGGTGTCGGCCATTGTTGAAAGTCGTGACAAAGTTGCTGGGCGGGAATACATTCAAAATACCTGGGCAACAACACAAAACGGTGATTGAGCCGCAACAACAAAGACCGATTCCAATACTGTTGAGTCCAAATTCGGGTTGCGCAGTATGAGTACCAACACGGCGTTTGTGGCGCGGGGCAGTGAGAAGTGAACTGAGGTGGAATTGGAGGTCGGCAGATCCACTCGACCCTTTCGAGGGCAAAGCGCTCGGAGTAGCCGGACGGTCCTATTTCATAGTCGGTTTGTCGAAGCAAAGTGGGAGGACAGAATAAAGAAGCTTGAAGACGGGCCAAGTCTCTAAGGAAAAAGATGAGACATGAAAGCGCGAAGAACCGGGAGGAAAAAGTTGCGTTCTTGAGTATTGGAGGGGGTTCTCAGCACCCGAGCGGAGGTGTGGGCAGGCCAAGGGACCAGGTGCACCACCTGGGATGGGGGATCTGCTATCAGAACGGGTGTGAGCCGGCTATCGATAGTGGAGGTCAGCAGATAGCGGGGTGTGGAGCCTCAGAAGGCTGGAGGAAGGAAGACCTACGGGAAGGGGCGGAGCACATGGCACACCGAAGCTCAAGATATCATAGCAGCTTGTTCTTGCGACGAGGTCACACGAGCAGTGGATGAGTGATGAGGTAGTGGTGAACGTGAGTTGTAGGTGATAAGATGGGATCCGGAAGACGGCTGAGGAGAAAGAGTCCACCGAGCAGGATGGAAGAAGAGAAGACGGCAGCAAACCGCAGAGTGGGAAACACCGCAAAACCACACCCAAGACGGCCTCGCCTGGCACACTGCAGGGTAAGGGAAGCTGAAGCTTAAAACGCGCTCAGAAACTGACGGGATGCACAAAACGGCCTTCGCACCCCCTTCAAGTCGGCGAAACAGGGTCCCTCCTTATCGATGGGCACCGATGGATCCCGGTTCGCCTTTGCTCCCACCAGTCAGAAGTGCTAAACAGCATTGGCACCTGCTCTAGTTTATGGATCATTGGATCTGAAAGGTGGCCACCGGCCAGAAGAAAGGGCGCCCTTCGCCCTCGGTTTCTCGGCTGCTTTTAGGCAAAGCCATGGACAGAAAAATGCCGCCGAAAAGATGCAAGCCCACCGTCTTTACCTGCCGTTTTGGCATGAAGCCTATGTACAGATACCTTGGCTGTAAGGGTTTGAAATGCTGGCCAGAGGCACGGGTACAGGCCGAGGCGAGAATACAAAAAATCTGGAAGCAGAACCCTTGATCAACATGCAAAATAGCCAGTTGCAGACCAAGACTGGACTGGACCTCGCCTTGCCGTAGGCAGAGGCGAGACAGAGACAGTTGGGATGTGGTGGATGTCAACACCACAAAGTGAATCCTCTACGGCGTCTCAGTGGCCAAAAGCAACATCCACCCAAACTGCGGGGCCCGTGGCCCGGCGAAAGAGCGGGCAGGTGGGGGCAGGGACGAGGGGGGGAAACACTGAAGAGCGAGGGGAGGGGTCCCAGTGCACCTGTCCGCCCGGAGTGCAGGACTCAAAGCCGCCTCCGCTTGCTCCAATCGTTCCGAGCGTTTCCAGAAATTAGTGGGACGGAAACGATGCTGACCCCTCCACTGCAGCCAGTCAGATCTCTGCTGACTGACACCACAAACACCGACCGAGAACATGACATGAGCAGCAGGACAACCACTCAACCGCCATGTGCCCTTGCCCGACTCAATCATCCAACAAGTCGCCATGTTCTATCTATGGCACCATCAGAAGCTTCCTTCCCGTCATCCACGCAGTCAACTGATGCAAATCGAGCGCCGAAAATGCAAGGCACGGCAACGAAAGGGATCAAAGCCTCGACAAAACTTGAAGCCTTCCACTACCAATACCGAATGCGACGTTGTTGCTTGGAGAATGGACGACCCTCTCGCGGCTGGAACGCCACGTCCGTTTACGCAGTAAGGTAGGTACGAATACTTTCCGTCGGTACGAACACACATCCTCACCGCAGGGTCCTCCCAATGTCTGACTGCTGTAAGCGGGCAGAAGCAGGGACCTGAGCATTCGATAATGCAGAACCAACAAATCCGATGCACACTCTGTGTCCGTATTCTCGGCTCGCTAGCGCCGCAGTTGGTTCCTTGGATTCTTACTGCATCCGCACTCAACCAAAACCCCGCCTCTTCTCCAAAATTTACCAGCCTTTCTAACCGCCGGTTCGATTTCCCGCTAGCTCGTTGCGCGGTCGTGGCGTATATTGTTTCCGAGCACAGCCAACGGAAATATCACAGTCCTGCCAATTGCTTCGAGCCCGCCTACGTCTGAAATCGCCAGCTGCGACCTGACCGACGGCGTGACACCGGCTGTCCGGTCCCAATAGATCCACTCGAAACTGTCGGGAAACAGACTGACTCGTCACGGTTCGCTTGGCGGGACGATTGTTTCTCTGTTCCAAGGTTTGGGCTGATGGAGAGCAGGAAACGATTCGCCTCAATGGGGCTCTTGTGCGCGATATTTCCTGTCGACGTTGACTTTGAGATGGTGTTCCAAGCCAACGGGCAGCGAATGGGAACCGAATGTTCGTGTCCGAGGCACTTTTGGGTTCCGCCCTTCTGAGTGCCTCACTTTTCCGCAATCGAAACCCCCTGCAGGAGAAGAACAGTTCTCCTCATATGGAACCCGAATTCGAACCTTTTGGCGGGGTGGGTTGACAATCCCGTCTCCATGTTCGGTCGACGACCTAGAACGATCGAAACCGTATTTCCAACCTTTCGACATACGAAGATCTTCGCCGCCTCTCTTTCTTCTGGTCTTGAGCACTTTCTCTGCCACGTCGCAAACGTTGCACATCTCTGGCGGCTGCATTCCGGGTTGCTTGCCCGTAACCGCCGGGAAATCCGACTTTGTCAGTCTGTTCATCTGAAGCCTAGATGAAGCTGGCATTGCGTCGCCTCAAACCCGCGCACAAAGCCCTGTTCTGTCCCTGACAACCGGATCTGCAGAGTCGCAACCGCTCGGCCGATCTTTAGACAGATTCATCAATGCAATTTTCTGCGACTGTGTCGTCTCGCACTTTGCTATCTTGCGTCTCTGATCTCGTCCATACTCCCGCTTACACGGACTTGCTAGTCGGCTGATCTTGCTCACGCCGAAGGTCGGGTATCCTGTACTACGACCACGACGTATCAGGCGACTCAGGTACGAGAGATAAGAATGCGGCGGTGAGCCATGCGACACCATTATTTGGAGAATCCGGGAGCGAATGACGATATTCACTGCCAGATACGAATGACGGTCTGCTGAGACCGCGTTTCGACGTTGGTTGCAAATGGCATAAGTGCTTGTCTTGCAGCAAACATGTTTCCTGATCCTGTGGTCTGTTGTCTTATTTGAGTCATTGAGGCAGCCGCTTAAAGGAGACATTCGCTGTTTCGTTTCGCTTTCAGCAGTTTGACCAAGGAGCAGTCGACCATGGCATCCTCGTTCTCCTGGCAGCTGGATTACGCGCGATTGTCGGTTGAAACTCCTAAACTAGTGTCTCGTCGATGCTGAACAAAGCTGAGCACTTTCTATTAGACCCAACGTTTGGAGGTGATCACCGACTCTGGCGAGATGGGAGTGGATGGACCTTCAGTTGGGAAAACTGTGAGTTGTCGACAAGAATCTCACATGCCATCCAGACGTTCGGAAACTCTGATCGCATCGCGATAAGATAAGGGGACTGTCAATGCGGTCCAGGCCTGGCGAAGTCGCAGCTGTGTATGGGTCACCACCGGCGTAATACGTGCCTACCCATGGCAATATGTCGAGCAACTAAGGCTGCTCGTTAGTCATTCTCTCGAGAGCCCTCCAGTGCCGATTTAGCACCACATCAGTACTGCTGGTAGGAGAGACGCCGCCGGGAATTTCTCCAAGTTTCTCAGAGAGCACTACAGCAACCGGTCGGTATGTCGATTGCGGGGTTAGGCCGACGACCGTGGACAAGCGCATATCCCGCCAAAAAAGATCATCGTCAATCGGACGTTGAGCGTGTCCGTGCCGTTTTTTGCTCGTGGCCAGGTGAGGCGGTAAGACGGTCTGGCACGGTGACCCTCACCTACACTTCAGATATCGTGCTTTCAGAACCCAGCCTCTGAGAAATATCCAAGATCCAGCCGTGCTTTGATTGTGACGATTTTCAAGTTATAGAACCCCAACTCTCTTGAAGATGTAAATGATGGTATTGTCACCGAGAAACAGTAGTCATCATGGGCTGGTGAGGTGCGGTCTGTCCTGTCGGTGAGAGAATGGGTCTCACAGACTCTCACTGCGCTCCTCACTTCCTACTTGAAATCCTTTGGCGTTCTGGTTTCTTGAACAGACTTTTGAGCAGATGGACTGTGTGGTGGTTGGCCGGTGTGCCAAGGACGTCGTCGTTAGAACATTCCTTGCTGGAGAGTTTGTTTACTTGAGTTGGCTTCTCGTGACTTTTCCAACATCAACCGTGAACTTGGTTCTGCCGGATGAAGATCAAAATTGTCCGTAAGTCCATGAAACAGCGTCAGGTATTCGTAGAACAGGTTCATTGCCGTTGTCCAGTAAATAAATGGCTTCAGCAAGTGACCTCAACGAAAATCAATCGTACTTAGGAAGATGCGCGGCTTCCAGGAGCAAGTGTTACCGGGCTTGGCTGCGGTATTGTGACGTATGTATCTGTATCCCGGAGGATATGCGATCCCGATTTGTTTTTTAATCAAGCGGCCCCCGGGAAGATCGATTGTGTTGGCGCCGTTGAACATGGACGAGCAGGATCCACAATCGGCCGTCCAGAGAGTCCAGCTGGCTGCTTCACGTGTCGCACTGCGTCAGGCATCTTGGGAAAACAGCGATGCTTTCAGTGGACTGTTTTCCAGCTGGTCCCCCACTTCGCATCCCTCTCAGAGTGAATACCGCATGACGACCCCCCAATCAGTTCCGTTGCTGTAAGTCCAGCCTGGAACGGATGCTGTGCGCCCACCAGAAATTGCGGTGATGTGCCGAAATTTGGGGGTAAAGTCTGTGGAAGGAAAGAAGTGGAAGGGTTTTGCTGTAGAGAAACATAAGTTGTTGGCTGGATACACGCGCACCATACACGCATATGGTGACTGTGCAAGTGCAAGGTGGAGGGAGCGATGGACGGATGCATCTCAAAATTTTCGATCAACAGAAAGGCAAGAGTGGATTTCGACCCTTTTGCCCTCCCGGTGCCTCCAGTGTCCCGTCCGTCGCCCTCTTTTTTTCCCATCCAGCCTAATTTTTTGTTTTGTTTTCTGAAAAAAATAAAACCACTCACCAAACATTCCAACCTCTTCCGCAAAAAGCTTCCTGAGTGACGCAGAGCTTTGAACTGTTCTCCGTACAGCAACCAACACGCCTCGTCCTCATCCTCCGCCGCCTCCGCCGCCGCCGTCTTCGTCCGTGATTTGCACGCCCGCTCTTGCTTCGAGCTCCCAGATTCGTCGTTGTTTTGGCTTGACAAGGGGAACTTCAGTGTTCCAACAGTCGAAGCCGCCCCTCTCTTTCAGACAAGCATCTGCGACAACACTCACAGTGGCGCTGGACTGAACCGTCCTGGGTCCCCGGCTCCCTTACCTCACCACTCACCTCTCACCTCACCTGTCACTCTGACTCTCACTGTCCAGCCCGTCTTAGGTCATCTTGAACCCTTTACGACCCTCCTTCCAAGCACGCCCAGAGACACACGTGGTGGTTTTCGGCGTGTTCGACCAGCCACTCACTTGCGCGCACTTTTCCACGCACTGCTCAATCAACGCGCTTCTCAACGGCACAGAGCAGAGTGAGAGCGCGCAGGATTTAGAGAGGCCTTGGACAAACTGCAAAGTGCGGTGCAAGCAAGCAAAGCAAGCAGCTGGTTCCGGCATCAGCATCGGCACTGACTGACATTGGCATTCGCACTGGCACTGGCATTGGCCATTGGCTTCCAGGCATTGACATTGGCGCTGGCTCTTGAGGTGGCACTAGCACGGCAACGACTCACGTTCCCTTTCCTGGTCCTTGACCCTTCTTTCGAGTGAGTGAGAATTGGGGCGCTCCAAAATCCAGAATCCAGACGGGATCCAGAAACACAGAACGGGAACACACCTCTTGGACCACCGTGGGCTGCTTCTGTCTGCTTCTGCTTCCGCTTCTGCTTCTGCCTCTACTTCCGCAACAGCCCGGCTCAGCTCTCAACCCCAAATTTCAGCCTGCTTATCGTCGGATCATTCCATCGATCCATCGATCCTTCCCTTCCGGCCCTGCCTCACCGTGCCTCGCTTTGCTTTGCCCTGTTTTGCGCTGCTCTCCGCCTTACAGGTTGGGCCGCTAGCTTGAGCAGCAACGGCAATAGCAACAGAGAAGAAGCGCAGAGAAAACGTTCTTTTGCAGACGGCACTCAATAACCAGCGAAACTCTCTTCTCTTACTCATCCATCCCTGCGGCAAACCTTGGTCGCCAACCCGGCCGATCTGCCTAACCTAGACTTCACCTCACCTACCTACCTTACCTTACCTACTCCCGGGACCTAGGTATCTTGGGCAGTTCCAATTGTACCTTAACTGCGACAGCCACCGTCGTACCGCTCCTCCAAGCCCGGCACTCTCTCCACCACTCAACAACGGCTCTTCCATTCGCTCCCGTCTCCCACGTCCACCAGAGCAGACCGACGACCCCGATCGAGACCTACCAGAACAGACCGACCGACCGTCCACCTTTGCTGTATCTCGACCCCGCCGAATCCGAACCTGCATCGTCGAATCCGCCTCCTGCCCGCATTTATCCCGCCATCTTATCCGAGTTGACTTGCCATTTCTTTTTCAATTATGCTACAGACGCATGGGGGACCTCACGACAATGGTACGTGTTGCATGTCGCACCCACGCAAACCCAGATCGAGGAGCATACCGACCTGACCAAAACACTTCTTGCTGCAGGCACCGACACACATCATGAAGAGCCGCGCGGAAGGAGTAGAGTCCCGACAACCCAACTGCAGCTTCCCAAGAACCGAAGTACTGGCAACCTCGCCGTCATAACCGATGAACCGGGCCGCGGTCGAATGCGCTTTTCCTTTGATGCCGGCTCCATTGCCGAGAACGATGCGATGAAAAGGTTCGTCTTTTCAACTTTGAATACACCTGAATTATTCCCCAAAACACATTGTCGGGTCGGCGAGCCTCAGGATAGAAAGAGCCATGCTGGGCCGCCAAGAGAGTCCCGACTTGTAGAGTACCCCTCAAATGGCCCTTGCGAGCCTCTCACGCGCGAAAACCCGCGTGGGCGCATCTCCAGCAAAGGGATACGAAGGAGCTAGTTCAGGCGGCTGGGTTTTTGCGGATTCAACAAATCATGAGCAGATCGAAAGAGCTGGCTGCAAACATTTTCAAGAGTATTAGTTGAGGCGGTGGACCTGACGGACGTCACGGGTGCTAGTGTACCACCCGAGCTGTCACTGGGTGGCGGTTGCACCATCACATGGCACAACCTCATAATCGGGCAAGGCATCGTGTTGCTGACCAGCCTTCTTAGCCACAGGTCCTCCATCGTAACAGACCACGACCATGGCCTCGGTCTGTCTGGATTGCGTCGAATTCGACAACAACCCTCATCGCGAGCTCCAACAATACCGTCCACCTCGAACCCAGCCTCTAGAAGCTCTTCCATCGGATTATCGAGATCAACCTCCATGACAACCCTGATGGCAAATGCACCCGGGATGTCCTTCAGCTCGCACCCGTCATCTCCCAACTTCTCCGAAGACCTATCTCGCTTCCCCTCCGAATCGTTGCACTCGTTCTCCTTTGCCCACCAATCTGAAGAATACATACACAACCGCCAGAATGTCCTCAAGAGATCTATAGAATTCATGAAAGACCGGATGGGATGGTCCGTTTCGTCTTCAGATGTCGCACTTGCGAGTGCTCAAGCGCGAGCGGCTGGAGATGTCGAGACACAGAATATGCTGGACTTGCTAGCCAGGGCACAGCTCGTTGGCGCCGGCAACCTCCCGTCCACCGACCAGACCCTCTTGGGTCCCCTCACAGGGCCTGCGCAAGTCTCTGGAGAGAACCTATTCGATGCCAACTTCATTCCCCGTACCTCGAGTCCCGAGCCGTTCCATCCATCGCCGAGCGAATCTCCAACCACGACACAGTCCAAAGCATCATTTGCGATACGGGATGTGCCACCGAAGAAGAAGAAGGATAAGGAGCAGAAGCAACAAAAAGAACAAGAAACGTCAAACGATGCGGAATCTGAGAGCTCAAGTAGAACGCCAACGAACGAAAGCGGGACGACCAACAAGACCTCACCACCGCCGTCTCGGAGACTCAGTTTGAAGCGCACATTGACGGATACGCTCCCCGTCTCTGTTCATCAACAGTTGATCGACACCATGGCACAACCGTACTTGGCAGCTCACGAAGCCCTCGCGTCACCTACCTCCGCTCACCCTTTGTCCGCAGGAAACATGCCGAGCGCGCTGGGTGCGGCTGTACACGGCCATTCGACAAGATGGGTTCCGGCGGCACAGGCAATTTTCACGACGGAATCCAAACCGCCGTGGACAATTATCGCTGCCAACGATTTGGCTTGTTTGGTGTTTGGTGTCACGAAAGCCGAAGTTCGAAAGATGGGTATCCTTGAGGTTGTCCAAGAAGAACGGCGAGCCTGGTTAGAAAAGAAGCTGTTACAGATGGAGCCTGAAGACAGCATCAGAGAGGCTGAAGATTTGCCGGCGGCAGCTCCTGCGCCAACATCTTCAACCTCATCACTACTGGGTGGCCGGGGTGGGATAACGGCCCAGCTACTGAGCAAACCCAACTCCAGATCACAACCTCCGAAAGTTGTCCAGCGAAAGGCACAAACTGTTCACAGCGGAGACCCCAATCCGCCAAAGCTGAGAGGAGGTTCACGGCATCAGAGCAGCAGGTCCAGAGGTGTCTTGCTGTGTGGTGACGTGGTGCCAATCCAGAAGCGAAACGGTGCAACTGGCTCCGCAAGTTTGTGGGTAAAGGAGAAGCGGGTTGGCTTGATTTGGGTCCTGGAGGAAATTCACGAAGACGTGGCCAACATCACACTCGACGACGACGGCATCATCCAGAAGATTTCGGGTGCTACGGCACCGATATGGGGCTTTGAGTCCCTCAGGCCTGGAGTGGATGTCGGCAAGTTGATCCCGCGCATTCCCCGCCAAGGTATCGATCCCCGTACAGGCGAGGTCGACTTCGCCCAGATTGCGAGGCGCAAGTTTTTCACATGTCCAAACTCAGCCAAAGTCAACATTCCATGCACGGTCGAGCAGGTCCAGGGTAAGACTGAGCTGCGCGTCTCGAGCTTCCCTCACATTGCAGGGATCATCGTCGTTGACCCAGAGAATCTCAAAATCCAAAGCTCAAACTCGGTATTCTGCGGCGCCCTGTTTGGATACGAAAAGCCCGACGGCATGCCAATCGACTCACTGATACCGAATTTCGAGAAGATCCTCCACATCTTGACGGGAGAGGATGGCGTGCAGCTGCAAGATGGAATTGTGGTACCCGAGCATAGTTTCCGCCGGGCATCGGCCATCTTGGGCTTGCGGGAAAACCGACCAGACGCCGCGGCAACCTTTTTGCGACCAGAGGGGCTGCCTGGAAAACACAGAGATGGTTCAGAACTGAAGATCGATGTCCAGATGAGAGTCGTCAGAAGTGCGAAGCAATCCACCGTAATCCAGGAGACTGTCATCGAAGATGAGGATGAAGATAAGGGTGGATCGCAACAGGATGGTTCCTTCTCTATTCCTCATTCAGAAGTTGTCTTTGCTCTCTGGATCACCTATTCTAGGCACCTGCACGCCAGTAGATCTAATCTCGGCGTGACGTCGGAATCAGCCTCTGGAACGACAACTCCCTTACATCAGCCATCCCCCGGGCAGACGCCCGCACATACGCCACTGGAGATTAGCTCGGATTCCGATGAGCCCAAGTCTAAAGAACCGTCGTCGACTGCATCCGCCATCACCAAACAGCTCAAGGAGGTCGCTATGACGGCTGCCGCGAAGCTCACTGGTGCACACCGATCTGTTGACAAGAAGCAGGAGCAGCCCTCAGTCCCAAAAGTCGTCGAGCCGGCACACAAAAAGACCATCGATGACTTTCAGATCATCGAGGATATGGGCCAGGGTGCCTACGGCCAGGTGAAGTTGGCCAAGTACAAGACAAGTCAGAAGAAGGTGGTTCTGAAGTACGTGACCAAGCGGCGCATCCTCGTCGACACGTGGACGAGAGATCGCAAGCTGGGCACGGTGCCTTTGGAAATCCATGTTCTCGACTATCTGCGTAGGCCTGATCTCAAGCACCCCAACATTGTCGACATGGAGGATTTCTTCGAGGACGACGTGAACTACTACATCGAGATGGCACCCCATGGCCTGCCGGGAATGGATCTCTTCGACTACATTGAGCTTCGGAGCAACATGGAGGAGGCCGAGTGTCGCAGTATTTTCGTCCAGGTCGCCAAGGCCATTGGGCATCTTCACACGAAGGCGCTAGTGGTTCACCGGGACATCAAGGACGAGAACGTCATCTTAGACGGCGAGGGCAACATCAAGTTGATCGACTTCGGAAGTGCGGCGTATATCAAGAACGGGCCCTTTGACGTCTTCGTGGGCACGATTGGTGAGTGTCGTCTACTGACTTGCCTGGTGGCTAGCTAACGAAGATGCAGATTACGCGGCACCCGAGGTTCTCGCCGGCAAACCCTACGGCGGCAAAGAGCAAGATGTGTGGGCGCTCGGCATTCTGCTGTACACGATTATCTACAAGGAGAATCCGTTTTACAGCATCGACGAGATCATGGACCGAGACCTCCGGGTGCCTTGGACGATGAGTGATGAGAGCATAGATCTGGTGCGGTGTATGCTGAATCGGGATGTAGAAGCGAGATACGACATAAACCAGGTCCTCGCTCACCCCTGGTGCCAGGAGGATGATGTCGAGTAAAAGGACTCGACGGTTTTACGGGTGACGATGGAAACGAATGACTGCGGGGCGCGGTGTAGCGGCCTGTAGAAGGGCACGATAACAATTTGGTCAAGATACCCCAAGAGCAATCTTGAACAGCACGGCCGTCGTCAGACAGCGGCGGCCGGGTGTGCTTAGAGAGAGCCATTTGACGCAAGCAAGAAACGACGTGTTTTTCTTTCTTTGAGTTCGAATGTGATGAGTGCCGGAATCGGGAGCCCGTGTATGGAGGATGGCATGATGATGGAATTGGGGGGGATGAAAGGAAAAGGACGATGAATGGTGCTCTTGTCATTAGGGGTTTTTGCATGGTGCTCTCTGGTGCTCGCATTTCAGCGGAAGACGGGGTGATTAGAAAGAATGGGTGCGTGCGGCTGGGCAAACGAGTCTGGGACGGCGTAGTTTAGGGGAAATATAAAATATCAAGTATTTGAATAGGACCAGCGAGGTAGCGAGGAAATTGTGAGCGCATCTTTTTGCGTGAAGACTGGAGTATGTGAATGGTGACAACGGTGGGCTTGGACTTGTACGATGTCTGTCCCATCGATGTTCGTCATTGTTTTCTGCAGTACCAAGTCGATTGGAGGTCTCTGATTACGCCACGTACATGGTCAACATGCACATTAGCCAGCCTGTGACGTTGACACGTATGTCAACGATCCGCCGTCGCGAACTCATCACGAACCTGATCCTCCCTGTCTCAACCTGGCAGGCCAAGTCGCCTCGTCAGTAGCAGGGTACGAACACCAGCGTCAACGGAGGATACGAGGCCCGTTGTAGCCCACTCTTTTTCTATCTGTAAGGGGCCAGACGTCCATGTGGTTGGAGTAGCTATCTAAACTATACGCAAAATCACAGAATCCAAGACGCCTATTTCAGTGTACCTTCTGATAATATTCATTCAGCCATCCACAGCTGTGTTCTGCGGCGAGGTTCTTCACGCGCTGCCCTCAGACCGGTGGCAATACATTTATAACCCGCCGTGTTGCGGCTATGCATTTCGTTGAGCCTGGGCACACGTGGGAGGAGGTGATCATGTGTCCTAGTTTTCTGTCATTATTCGACAGGCAATAGACGCAGAGCGTTGAGGGACGAGAAGAATACGGGGAAGAGGGGTTTTGAAAAAGGGGTAGCTACTTTCTCGACGTGCTCTGGGTGTAGATGGCAGATGCGTTTCTGGAATACTGGCGGGAGGTCACTGCGTGGCAGTATCAACGATCACGCGCAGAACGGCTGCTGGGGAGTATGAGTCTCTGTCGTATGTCTGTCTTGATATAGCTGTCTTGTAGAATGAACCTAGGCTTGGAGACGTTCGGTGATGATGATACATGCTGGCTCCGTGATCTCATCTGCTGACGTGTACAGCCGGTGTCTTATGGAGTATATATTGACCAGGAGGTGACGGTAGCGACGTGGCTTCTTGAGCACAAGGGTTTTAACACTAAATGCAGAATTTGGCAACCTGGAACGCTTTGATCCGCCTAAGGTGTTGACTGTTCTTCCGAGTCTTGCGTGCTGGGAACACTCGCTGTCAGTAGGTCCCTCTGCACGACGAACGGATGTATGACGTCTCGGACTTACTGGGTATGCCATTCTTCAGTCCTGTTGTTGTCCTGTCATGTCTTGGTCTTATTCAGTCAAGTATTCAGTTGTAAGGATCGGTGGCTGTTTCCTACTCAATAAGGCCAATGGACGGATGCCGCCGGTCCGGAAGAAGCAAGCAGTCTGCTTTGATATCATCCTTGTCGAGTTCACCTCGACCGAATGCACCATTGTTGTGCATGGCTTTAATAGATAGCACCCACTCAGCAATATATAGAGATGAGCAGCAGAGTTGGATGACGTCGCAGCCAGATGTCTACGCAATTGAATGATAGCGCCTGCAACATCAGGTCTGCATCCAACACGCCACTCGAGTCTGACTGCAAACAAAGTAAACAGTAGCCGGGACGGCTGTTCCGTAACTTGGGGGTTTACTCTGGTGACGAACAAGTTTCGTTCCATATAACTAGCCACTCTAGTCGTCACAAGTTTTCATCGTCAAACTAGCTATTTATGCGCGGTCAAATGCCAGATCCGTTTCTCCATCGGTGATGTCTGGTCGAGGCTTCTCTGGTAATCCCAGAGGTCCTCTGCGTTGTGTGTTATTGTTTACGCATTCGCGATTTGGGGGAGAAAATAACAGGGCGCGTCGGATAAGATGCGTGAAGATGCCCACGTTGCCTGCCTGTGGGTTGGGTAAGTTGTCGTCTCCTCTCGTCGTTCTGGTGTTATTCACCAGGTCATACTCTCAAGACCAAGAGCGTTGACGGACGAAACGTTTATGTTGATGATGACGACTCTGATGGCAAGTTCGGCCTGGTACAGGCAGAGGCATGCCATGGACCAGCACCTCGCGCAAATGAGGGATATCGTGACAGGAATGTCACAGGCCAGGCTCCTGCCCAGGTCCAGGCTTCGGTCCTGCTGTCAGGACAAGTTCCCGCACAGAGGCAGCATCTAATATATCTTCCAGGAGGAGTTTCATTGCATTTAAGCCAGTTGATTTAGGTAGAATGACAATCAGAGAACCCACAAGAGCTACAAAAAGAAACACGCTTAACGAACTCAATCATGTGTCAACTTGATGAATTCTTGTGGTCATTGTTCGTCAGTTGAAACGGTCTTCATAGTCTCGGTGCTTTCATCGGAAGCCCTTCGGCGCTGAAAGCTCAAATCATCACGGCACGGCACATTCGCATCTGTTGATGATTAAAGATATCTTCGATTGAATAGGCCGGGGACAGCATGGGCCAGAGACACTGAAATGAGAACGACGGTCTAAGGGTGTTCGACATGCGACTCATTCTCGCCGTCAGCCATGGCATGACAAGCCTCCTAGTGTATATTCGATTAGAGACTGCCACCGCAACTTTTAGTCGCTTGCTTTCAGCATGATTTCAGGCTTACATTATTTACATTTAAGCCTTCAAGAATGTGATGGGTTTGTGATGGCCTAAATTTCCGGACAGCAGAGTAGAGAGGGCCTCTGATAACAAGAACAGAACAGGGGGTGGCTTGGGACGGGGTTCTGGAAGTCTTCTTATTAAAATATACTCCTCCGGTGAGAGCCATTTGATGTGGTGGTGGCAGCGATACGCCATTCTCACGGGTTCAAGTTATTGGACTAGTAGCCGGGTGGCATCGTGGCCGCTCTCATTATATATATCAAATGAGATGATTCCCGTCTTTTCAAATGAGCCCACCAGAGAATACGGACGTGGGCTATCTCTTTCCCTAGATGTCAGCCTTTGGAACAGCACGATTCCAGCTAGAAACCCGAGATCATCGCTCAACCGAACCTGGCATAGAGAGGAAATCCACCAGGAGGGACTACAGCTCCCTGGTCTGAATCTGGTCAGTATTAGACAATAGACGACGGCAGTCTTGGATGACGGTGGAGGGATCGCTAGTGTGATGCCGTATCCACCACGACCTCCTGCAACATCGCAGCCGCTCGTGCTATCGTGAGTCTCGGGAAGAAGGGGGCACGAATACCACATGCATACCTATTGAAACATGGATTACTGTCAGAGACAGAGAACGGGGTTTTGGGTATTCTCAGTCTATCCGTCTAGTGAACCTTGTCCATTGAAACTGTTGCAATCTACAACGAACGTTGTCGCAGTCTCGCAGTGCTTGACTATGCGTGGCTTACCGGATCGACGACACGTGAAAAACGCGAGATGCTATAAACACTGGGATATAATAGAAAAAGATACGTAACGAAGCACAGAGAGCACTCGAACTTTCACCTTTGGAATGCTCCATCAATGTGTATCGAGCTACCTATTGAACCGTCACTGGCCAACACAGCCCTAGAGTTCGAATCCCCATCGGCCATGAAGATATCTATACAAAGATGGAGGACACTCTCAAATTATAAAGATTTCACAGCATCGTGGGCTTCGATGTATTGACGTTTCCTTCACCCTGTTTGCCCTGTTTGCCCTGTTCGCCCTGTTCGCTCTGCACTTGGCCATCTAGGCAAGACCGCCTCGGCAAGGACACAGTCAATTCGACATCCCACCGAACGGTTGGTGTGTATTCACATCACAATACGAGGACAGGAATGACAGCCGATGAAGCTAGAAAACCCAGGTGTCCGGTTCTTCCAATCTGTCATGCGGAGCTCGCCGCCGACTGCCATTGAAGGCGCGGTTAAGTACCCCGTCCGCTGTCAACGCCAAGATGCGCAATCGGCATGCGAATTCTCCTTTCCCGCAGTGATCCAGTCCAGAGAAATCAACATCAAAGACTGCGTCTTCTAGTTATTGATAGGACTAACGGGGTATGAGGCATTGGGAAAGGGTACCAGGCTTGCGGCAACGCATGCCACAGACTGGACGAATCTTCCTGATACCACGACTAACTTAAAGCAACTTGGAATCAAATGAGCATGTTTTACTGACAAGGCCACGCATGTGAACATATCTAATTCACCCATAGTCACAGCATGACGTGGGCATCGGCAGAAGGCAATTCCATGATCAGTCTTCTCTCGCGAAGGACCAGAACGTGCTTCGTTGATACACTTGCATAATAAGTTCAAGAGTCCAAGAGACAAGAAAACAGAACCTCGACTTATATTGGGCTCAGAACCATTAAACCCGAGACCGAACTCAGGGGCGAGCTCCTTCTTACCTCAGCTTGATGGCGCGTAAGGACATTCCACCCAGAATCAACCGACTTCTTTACTTCCAAGCTCTTTTCTTTGCTTCATTTGGCTTTCGAATCGAGCGGCAGCGGAAGTGATGCCACTAATATCACGAAGATGACTTTTTCCACGCCCCAAAACACCGCAAAGGGATACCAAGACATCAACTCAAGCTGTAGAAAGACCATGAAGTCTATGCAAGTCATCGACACTGGATCAGGACCGCTTCCAATCCAGGGCATGAGGGAATACGAATCGACCGATGTGACCAAGAAGGAGAACGACTCCGTTTCACTGGCAACTCTGAACGGCGATGAGAGCGGTGGCGACCACTACGACGCCGAGAACGACGACGGCAGGAAGTCTCTCGATGATAACGAGAAGAGTACTGATGATGTAGGACAGAAGGGTTGCGAGAAGTGCAGATCTCGACACAAGTTGCAACGACAACCAACTTCGTTGTCGCAAAGTCTTCCATGCTGTAAAGTCAACACCGCCCGGCCGCACACATCCTCGTGAAACAAAGCAAGTCTTCTGAGCAGCCCTTCCCAACTGAACGACCGATCCGGCACACACATGCTGAGCTCAGTAAGCCAAGAGCACAATATATCCGGGACCCTAACAACCGACGGAAGACCTCACGAGCGGCGAAACACCCGAGCCAGACATGTTTCATACGAATGCTCTGGACACCGAAGCTTCGGCTTGCCGTCACTGGCGCTCTACTAATTCTGTCCATTTTGCTGATGCAATGCAATATAACGAAAGCGACGAAAGCCAAGAAAAGCAGCTTCACGTGTGGACGAAGTCGAGTTGACTTTTCGGTTTAACGTTGGTGGGTGCGGAAGGCGGGCGGTTGAGGCCCGGAAACCCAAATAATCTGATGTGATACCCGGATGAGTTCCAGAATAAAGCTTCCTCTGAACCTACTGTAGACGTAGTCGATCTGTCGACGGTGAATCTAACGGCTTGTAAATCTTTCGAAGAAGCTGAAGGCGTCCTCCGTACTGGATGCTTTCGGGCTGGATGAACGGACAATGGTGCAGAGCTGCATCTCGGTACGACTCTGGATATGAGCCCGATGACCCTAGTTCCAAGAAAACCCGGGTCGGCTTCAGTGTCAACGGAGACAGAACATTGCGATCAAGCAGGCGAGGACCAACCGTCACTTGCTCCTCGCCCCGTGTTCGTCCGAAATAGTTGGACACTCGTGGGCGACCAGAAGTCGAATCTAACCATGGCGAAGACCCTGCGAATGTTTGTGTTTGCACAATCGATAGCGTGCAAAGGTCTACCACAGAAACTAAAGACTTGGTACGCCAAAAAGTGCTCGCTTAGTGCAATATCTGCCGGATTATAGACGGGGCCTTTGTTTCTCGGAAACATTGCCGATGGAATCGGAGCCTCTTTTAAGGCCCATTGCGTGCTCGTTGAGGTTCCGGTCCCCGACTGACATGACAGCCGACCCAGATCGTTGCAACATCGTCCCGGCTGGCTCGACCGAAGTGCAACTCACGTCCGGAAGAGAGCACTTATTAGTAACGCCAGATGGGTATCCCCTGGTTTGGATGCTCACTGACGATGGCTGAAGCACGACTGTCAGCCTTCGAGGGACGTGCGGCCAACCCCTGATTAGATGGAATTGGACTTCCGTAAACCTCACAACCGAGTTACAAAACGCATACTGATTAGTCCTTGAAGAACGAATCAAGAGGCTTCGTCTGTAGGTCAGTGCTAATGAATCGCGTCCGCAGCTGTTTTCTCGAGATCAGAATTTGGGTTCAACCGTGCTCATGTCTTGCCAGCGATGTAGTTGCCAACTTCGGAGCATAAAAAAGGGGTACAACACCATCTTCGAATCTTAGTGCAAAAATAGCTCGCAGCCGTCAAACCTGTCCATCTAAACCCATCTGATCACTGTCACAGAAGAATACCTTTATGAGAAAGCGTTGTAATCTCGTCCGGTCCCTCAAACAGGGATATCCTATTGGTTTTGTCACTGGGTGGCAGCGCACTTGGGTCGCATCCTGCCATGGGGCCTAGAAAGATACGAGTAACTCAGCAGCTGTCACTTCTGACGCTACGGACACCAGCAAACTCCGGTTCGCTGGATGTAAAGGAACTTGTTGGTGATCGGCGCATACAAAGTTCGAAGGAAGGATGAATTCAATCCGCGGAGGAGCAAGCTTTCGCTCAAGTGTCGCACGAGGAAGAAAAGGTGTTGTATGCGCTGTTTGGAGTGATTAATAAGTGGAACTCCTCTTGAGACAGAGGGTTAATTGATATCAATTCGTAGACTCGCGGGAGGGGGCATAATTATTTAATAGTGGTTATAGTTCTAGGTAGCTCCCCCTATAAGGAAATAGCTAGGTTATTTAATATAGTCTATTATTAACTAATATTACTACTAAAACTAATATTATACTTACTTATTAACTACTTTTTAACCCCTTTTTAACTACTATTTTACTTAATACCTATTTAAGATCTATTTAGTATTAATTATCTCTATTAATCCCCCTAAATTATCTTCTTCTTTTTTTTAAGGCTTAAGCTATATATTACTAAAGCTAATTTATAGCTATTATTAGTAATATCCTATATAAATCCTCTAGTAGGCTAATAGCTTAAAGGGCTATAAAGAGGATATAATTATGAGGGGTTATTTAACTAAAGTAGAAGTAGTAATATATATAATATAATACTTAATAATACCTCTAGATATATTATTAATTTAATTATAATACTTAGATCTATATAAAAGTACTAACTATATTTATAACTATTTTATTTATATTACTTAGTAATAATATATAGTATAAAAAGTAATAGATTTACTAAATATAATATATAATTAATATAATAATTACTTAGAGAGTATATATATTTATAAAGTTAAATATAGCTTTATTATTATACTTTATTATATAATTTATAAAGTAATAAGAGTAATTTATAGTTATAATATTAAATAAAAAATAAATAGTATTTATATAGTTATTTAAGTTATTAAAATATTACTTAAAGAAGATAATTTAAGATAAAGAAGAAAAAAAATAGAAATCACTCTTCTTTTATATATTATACTCTATTTATAAGAGAGGTATTTAGGATTATAATAGTTAAAGCTATTTATAATAAAAAGTATATATACCTATTAGATTTTAGTAATTTTTCTTTATATTAAACTAAAGTAAATCTTCTTATATAAGTACTAAGTATAATATTAAGTTTATTTATCTTATAGTTTACCTATCTTTTATTACTAAGCCCTATAAGGGTTTGCCTTGCTATAAGTACCTCAGTAGTTATAGTTCCAGCGCCGTGAATGCCTGGCCGGCATCTGCGCCGGGGATTTTGAACAATACGATGTCTTGTTTGCGATCCCTGGTCTTGTGCGGCCCCAGGTTTGAGGGTGATCGGCGAAACTAGTGGCTTCATCCCATAATGAAAGTAGATAACGACAAGGTTGCTGACTATGCCTCACTCCTCGACAGTCATGACTGAAAGAACACGACCAAAACAACAACAGGCAAGATGGGTTGCCTGAAGAAGACCGGTGGATGTCTCAGCTGTTTTGCATAATGTAGGAAGTCTTGTTGATGACTTGCAGCCCCCTTGCAACTGCGTCTTTGAGGGTCGGCATTCCGCAATATCCATTTCGCTGTTTAAACAGACCCACCATCAACTTCAGGTCGCCCGAAGCTGTGGAGCGGCAGGCGAAGAGCTCAAGCCTCGTCCCGTGCCGGTTCGAGGTGCAAGAAAATTAGCTGTTGGGCACTGAGGGCGTTGACACTGACAAAAGCAGTTTGGCAGGCAGCTGCCAGCCGATTGGGTTGGATTCTCACCCCCACGAGCCGAATGGCAGCCCCGGCGGCGTGTGTTGGGGGTCTGAGGACGAGCAGGTAATATCATCTCGCGTCTCTGCGTGTATTCGATGCCGGGGCGAATGCGAGTCGAGGATCGTCGTGTTATTCTGGTGCCAGCCAGCCCCCTATTTTACCGGTCGAAGGAGGAAATTCCGTTGTCCTCGAGTCTTGGTCGATAGGCCTTTCCTATCTTCCGAGCATGTAGGTAGAGTTGTAATGTCTCTTGTTCTCGAGCCGCAGCGATGTTCCATGTTTGAGACAGGCACGCGTGAGAAGCCTGTGACCTCGTTGGTATCCCGCAGGAGTCGAGTCCGGGGCAGCACTAAGGCGACTAACGGTGGTGGTTTGACCGAAGGTGCCGTCTGGCTCTCACATCGAGGACAAGCCATCCCCTATTCCTGCTGGACGGACCAGCCTCCTGTGAGTAGTCTAGCTGCAAATGGCTTGCTGGACCCCTGAAGGTATTGCCCGAGAGCCGTGCCACCCTGACCTCGCAGCTCATTTGTCCAGATTAAGGTGCTGGCTTCCCTGCAGCTTCTCCACCAGACGGCTTGGCCTTTTTGTTTTCTGAACGGTGGATATTCCGGCTCTTGACTGCGTGTTTGGTGGGAGAGAAGTCCAAAGCCAGCGTTCCGCCGGTTCCCCGAGTTGAATAGAGAGAAAGCTGATCGGGCCTCGCGATATGCGGTGATAGCCAATGCCGTTCTCGGGAGTGCTTGCTGTTGCAGCGCGAAGGATCGAAACATCGACGAGTGATCAATGGCTGGCACTCTGGCTAGTATGGGCCGGGATCCGTTTAGCAGAGGCGATGTCGTCGATGATAGGGCGGCGGACTGAAGGCGGTGTGCTGCTGGTTGGGCTCACCAACGAGCAGTTCTGGGGAATATGTTTGCAGTGACGAGTGATGGTGGCAAGCGCGCCTACGGCCCGCAGCACGTATCCACGCTGCATTTCTGTATTCGTTGATGTTCAAGGTGTGGTCGTTGAAAAGTGTGCAGCTGTACGAATAGCTGGCCAAGGTGCGGGAGCCGTCACCACATGGGCAGCACTGCAGCAGCAACGAGCCAGGGCCTGACAAGGAAAGACCAGCCAGCGGTGGTGCCAATTATTCAGGTAGGTCGTCCAATGTGAAATGTGCTCTGCGTTCTGCATGTACAGCGGGATAGGACAGGGTTGGCATGCTTCCGAATATGCGCACAAGCAGCGCAGACGAGGTTAAACGAAGTAGTTCTCGAGAAACAGGTGGCGGCGCGAAACGTCGGGTGTAAGTGATGAGAAAGGTAGTCGCAGTGGCGGAAGCAAAGATGTAGATGGAATGTAGACGGAGAGGAGAGTTGGGGTCGGGACATCTGACGAGGCATTCCGACAACGAGGTCCAACAGGTTGGTAGATGTATTCGTACATGGCAAGACGGCCATATGGCCTCATATCGCAACAACTGCCCACTGACCGCTTCTGCTTCCTTGTAGAGTGACGGGCTTTCGGGTCAGGTAGAACTGGAGACTGGAGTCGGAAGAGAAGGAAAGAAAAGGGCCCAAGCAAGCTCTAGCCTTGTCATGACAGGATGATAGACGCAAAGGAGCTCCATCCACCTCAGCAAGCTCCAGCGCCAGTGCCCAACACGCAACTGTGGTCACCGACGACTGCGAATCCTGAGGACACCATCGAAAGCTCCCCCGCGGTTTCCTTCGTTTTTTTTTTCTTATTAATTACTTTTTTGCTTCCTTAGCTCTGTCCCATCTGGCCTTTCCCGTCGTCCAGTCCCGTCCCGTCTTGTCTTGCTCCAAGTTGACTACTACCTACTATTCTCTTTCTTCTTGCCTGGATCCGATCGACTGGTTGGAACAGACTTTACCTTTTGAGGCAGACCAGACACACCCTACGAGGAAGTCTTCTCCTGCCCCCCCTCGCTCACTCCCGCATTTGTTCACGACACTCCTTCCTCCTTTCTAATCCGATACTAATCAAATACTTTCGCACTCTTCCCCCTCTCTCTAATCTCTATTGCTCCTGCTCCTTCTCTCACCTACCTTACCTTTTCAACCATCTCATACCTACGAGCGCCAGCATCATCGTTCTCGTCCTCTCCTTGAAATTCTCGATTCGACCCGTCAGACGACCTCTTATACGTCCGCTCTCTACCGACCTGCAGCCACGCACGCACGACTTTTACCCCCAAAATCTTGTGTCACTAATACTACACGCCTCACCCGAACACAACGACGGCCGACGAATCCCATTTCACTGACCAGACGAACGAACGCACACCACATACAAACCTACCGGCGACTCTGATGGACAACCCTGACGGACGAACCGTGTCTCATACACTGATAATTCCTAATTAAAGAGAGCAACGAGCTGGAGAAACGGCTACCCATTTGCACACAATCGCACTCGGAAGACCAAAAAAAGAGAAGGATTGGGCAGAAACCGTTACGTCTCTAGGGAAGTCGATCCCGAACATCAACAGAAGAGAAGCAACGAGCATTCCGAGTCACAAGTCTGCTGCATTCCAGAGGAACAAAAAAAAAGCAATAACCCTGGTCAACCCAACAGAAAATAACGATAACGGTCTTGTCGACGACGGAGCTGGAGCTGCTGCTGACGCACATACCACTCAGCGCCCCTGGTGCCAGAAATCGAGCTTAGGTGGGTGGATTCCACTCTGACAGGCCTCGACACTGGTGGACTGGGGTCGGTCAGAAACAGACAGCGAAAAGGGTCCCCTGGCAAACAGCACAGCCAGCACAAGCACAACACAGCGAGAGAGAGAGCGCGCGCGCCCCAGACGGAAACCTGGAAAAAAAGACGGGAAGAGAGAGAAAAAAAAAGCACAAGCCCTGGCCAGACGCGATTTGCAGCAGCGCAAGCGAACGAAAGCGGACTCCAGAGACGCGAACATGGCTACGGCAGGTTTCGAAGCTGCGGGCCATGCCCCGACATTGAATCCCACATTGTCTTCCTCTGCTTCAGCATCCGCATCCGCGTCCGCGTCCGCGTCCCCTTCTTCTTCGCTATCTTCGCAAAGTATTGCTTTCCACACTTCGCCAGTTTCCGCGACATCTTCAGCAGACTCGCCAAACTCGCCTCATCTTGCCCACGCCCATCGCCAAAACCACAACTCGTCTAAACTTCCAGCCTTTCGATTCGCCGATTTCAAGAACCAATCCCCACGATTAGCGCTCCCCTCTTTGCTGCAGCACATCCCGCCATCGCCTGTATCGCCTAAATCGGGCTCCGACGAAAATCACTTGGCCACTCCAATTGTTACTGACATCGGCATCGGCATTACCACGGGCACTGCCACTGACACTGCCAACCACGCCGTCGCTACCACAACCACCACCACCACCACCGCCGACAACACCACCCCAACAACAACCGTAACAGCAACGTCAGAGCAGCCACACCAGCAGAACGACACCAGCCCGCACCAACAATCCCGCCCGACCTCACTCCGGCTTCACCACGATCGCCGGCCCTCCTATCGCCAATTATCCCCCCGAATTTCTAGCCCCATCGACGAATTGCCCGAACCGCCTCCAAGGCTTAGTCCGCGATCGCGAGCCTCGACATATCAGATCGCTTCACATTCCACCCCGGCAACCCCAGCCATCTCACCCAGACGGCCGGCTTCGTTCCCCGATTCTCCCGTCATCGTACAGTCCTCCAAGGTCGGCGTCGCAGAGTCCAAAACATCTGCTCTTACGAGGTTGCACATCCGCAGGACGGCCACATCGCGATCGCGCGAGTCAAATGTTATTGATATCCAGTCACCGCCTCTAGACACCCATCACCCGCATCCTCCCGACGCAAACGACGACGTCCTTTCCCCGACCAGCGGAACCAAAAGGGACTCGACCAACGGCCAACGCGAATTATTACTGCCCAAAACATTACAGGATTCGAGTCCGACAGATGAAAACCGGAAATCGGTAACGTCGCGACCGCCCGTCTCTTTCAAAGCCCCTTCGAACAGCGCCTCTACCACATCTGTTCGCGTGGCCCCCATCCGATCCTTTCGATCATCTGGGTCTCGTCGAAGCCTGGGACTCGACAGCAGCACGTCCACCATGCGGTCCTTTGACTTTGGCGATGAATTCGCGGACTCGAACCAGCGCGACCGCACCTTGCGCGCCCTCGAGGGCAGAATCGACGATGATTTCCGTCGAATGACTCCACCACACTCGGCTACCCAGACCGATGCCGACGACACCACCGGTGACGTATTCATGAAAATCGCGAGACAAGAGCCAACACGTCGCGGCTCCGGAGATGTTGCGCCAGTGGAAGACTCAAGTGCCATAGTAAGTTTTAGCCCTCTCCACGTCTGCGTTGCTGTTTCGGGATGCCGTTTAGCGCGGTACAGACGACCGTGCCCTACGATGGATTCGTCTGTTCGCCGTGATATCGAACCATCTCTCCGTATTTTAGTGAATTATCCCGCTCTCGCTACCTTTGCCTATGCCATACCCCATTTGTCTCCTAGTCGGCGCCTAGCGCAACTTATTTCATTCAGGTTCGAACGGCGCTAGTCGTGGCGTTTTGTACGCGAGGATAGAGTTTTGCTACGGACAACCGGGACCTAACTGACATTGACAAACAGGCCCGTGTCACCAGGTTCTCCCACCGCCGACCACTGTCCGCCGCCGTGCCATTATCTTATCACCCTACCTCCCCGCCCCAAATCAGTCGTCGTCTCTCCGACCAACAAGAGACCTCCAAGAAGCGGGCACGGCAACCGTCGGAAGACGAAAGCGCCGCAGAACCGATGGCTCGCGCGCTGGCGTACCGTCCCGGTTTGACTCGAGACCGCCCTTCATCCGTTCACCCTGCTGAGGACTTGAGTCGCTCCAAGACCTTCCACTCTTCCGCGCGCTCCTCCGTCTCCTCCGCAAACACGCCCCGTTCGTTCACCTTTCAGGGGCACGATTCATCAGACGCGTCTCCTTATGCTCGCAGACGTCCGTCTCTGACCGACAGCAACACGGGGTTCTCTGCCCGCAGTCCAGCTTACAGGCAGTCGAACCTGTCTTACGGTCAAACTCGCACCTATAACTCTTCGCCTCTGGTGCCGAAAATGGAAACGCCGCGTATCGAAACGCAGCCAGATACTGCGAAGGAGGGCACAGAGTCGACGGCGACGGCATCAACAACGGCACCTTCCACGGTCTGGGACGAACTTGACGATTTGAAATCCCGGATTCATCGATTGGAGCTGACAGGCAAGTTGCCTGCTACTTCTGGCGCCGCAATGTCACGAGCATCCGACGAGCGACCGCCTACCGCGACGAACACGACCATGTCCTCCTCACCAAAGAGAACGTCCGGCAGCAATCACCCGAAGTCTGATGTCCTGAGTACCGCTTCATCACAGCGCGAGCAGCCCATCCTTCTCTCCGCCGTTAGCAAGTCCAAGCCGTTCCTTAGCGACGAGGTGGCACGAGCTCTGGAGACAGCAGCTACCGAAGCACTGGCGCTTGCCAATATGATGGGCACGGCAGGCCAACCGGGCCCGATTTCAAGCGGGGCCAGCAGTATTGGCGTGGGTACCAACCTGACGGATCGTCAACTGCGGCGCAAGGCCGATAGTATTTGTCGGAGTTTGACTGAACTTGTTCTGGCCTTGAGCGAAGAAAATGCGCGGGACAAGACCCTTCAACTCAGCGTACCCACACCAAAGGACACAACCACTCCTTCCACGCCAACGATCAACAAGACGTTCACGGGAGGCACTGGTTCTTCCGCGGCCTCAGGAGCGACTGCCCAACCGAGACCTAGCATAGAGCAGCAGACTCTTCCGAAGCCCACGGCCATTATTACCAGCCCGAGGGCTTTATCCAAGTATGAGGAGAGACGCAACACCATGCTCAACTCCAGTGCCTTGCCGAGCCCAAGATTCGCTTTGCCACCAGGCACGATTCCCTCTACTCCGGGAGACGGCAACAAGACTGCCCACCGCAAATCGTCTTTGTTCATTGGCCGTGCCCGCCGTGGAGTGAGCGAAGAGCCTGAGGATGGACGCAGATCATCAATGCTCCTGAGAACTCGCCGCGCCGGTACTGAGGAGCCGGAAGATTCTCGCGAGAACGCTCGTCAGGAACCCCGGCAAGAAACTGGCCGTCAAACCTCACTGCTCCGAACGCGCCGGGGAACCGTTGGCGAGGACGACGAAGAATCATTCCGCTTCCGCGCCCCATCGAGGGCTACGACGGAACTCCAGACACCTGCTCGGGCTGTGTCTCACACCTACCACCCTAACACTGCGGCAAATGAAGTATCGTCTCCCGCCTCCTCGGCCCTTCCGCGCAGACGATTTGGAGTGTCGACTCTTACCTCCCGCCTAGTCGCACCCTCCACACCATCTCTTACAACTCGTCGGTATCTGGAGAGGACACCAGAGCGCGAACTCCCCAGCTCGACCGAGAAATCAGAAGAACGCGCACCACCGACCACTGCACAGCCGCGACACTTTTCGCTCAGTCACACGTCCTTGCTGAACAGGGCGAGCAGTATAAACCGCAGACCAAACCGCGACAGCACGATAACGAATACATCGACAGCTGCTCAGGCGGGCAGCTATCGATAACGTCTTGACGAATGACACTCATACGGATGGATGAATGTACCATTAGATCTTTTTTCTCGCGCTGGCGTCATTCCTCTTTGGCATATGTTATACCGCATGGGCTCGGCTATTGTCACTTTTGTACTTGTATGACAACTACGACAAACGGCCGATTGACTGTTGGACTCGCCCCTTTTTGGGATGCTTGAGCATTTGTATATGAAGAAATCCGTACGGAGAAACAGAACTTTCCCAGTGGCCTGAGGGCTCTGGTCTCAGTCAAAGGTTGCTCTTTGGTCCATTGATGGGTGATTCTGACTAGCGTTTGATTCCCAGGCAGACAGTGATGTTCTGATCGAGGTGTTTGGGTTTTATGTTGGGAAAAAAAGATAGAACAGCCAAAAGTTAATGTATTGTTTGCTATTCCTCCGCTGATGCTGTATTGTTTGCGACTTGTTGGCGATGTGATCAGATGTATCAATTAGGTTCTGTCAAACGCAACAAGCCGTCGCTGTGTACGCCCACGGCCTATTCTCCCGATATTTTAGGATGATGGCTCGGCAGGATGATAACTCGGATCCGTGCGGAAAAGGGAAAGAAAAAATTGTTTCCTTATTCTCCGAGATGCTGGTTGGGCTCTTTGACAGATTTGACTCACCGGCGACGGTTGAGGCTTGACACATGGCAGGAGGGGCGGCGAGCCAGTTACACACACAGTTTCCCCATGATTTTTTTTATTTTTTTCGGCGGGGATCGGTCGGCCCTTCCTCCGACATCACAACGTCGGGTCCCGGTTGCTTTATATTCACAAATACACCTCCCATGAAGACGGGCGTTTTCGGCCTTTGTACCAGCAAAAGTCTCCTCCTCATTCTCTCTGTGCGGGGAACACGCCAAACAGCGTTTGCAGCAAACTTCGCCACCAAAGCGCGAGAGGTAGCCGGGCGCAACACGGCTCAGCAAAAGACCGCTTCACATCGTCGGCTTATACCATCTTCATCCTTGCAATCCACGCCGCAAGAGAAGATCAGGTTCGCAGACATGGCTGACGGGTTCGACGAGACTGCGGCTGCCGCCATCGAGGATAGGGCGCAGCAGGGACGCAGAGGTGGTGGAGGTGGAGGTCGTAAAGGCGGACGTGGAGGCGGCGGCGGCGGCGGCGGCGGCGGGGGACAGAACAGAGATGTGCTCGTTTCCAAGGCGCTTTCGAAGCTGCTAAGGCATCAGGCTGAGAACGCGGGGATCCAGCTTGAGGAGGGCGGGTGGGCGCCGTTGGATAAGGTGGTGAGTTTGATCTGCCGATGAGAATGGAGATGAGACGAGAGAGGATGCTGGCCTTCGCTCATCGACATCTTCAATCATGATCATGGATGAATGTATACTAAATTTGAACAGCTCGCATACGGCCCCATCCGCTCCCTAAAGGTCACCTTCCAGGACATCCAAGCCGCCGTCTCCACCTCGGACAAGCAGCGCTTCGCCCTCAAGCCAAACGAGACGACCAACCCGTCCCTCGACGAGACCACGGAGGACCCCTCGCACTGGCTCATCCGCGCCAACCAGGGCCACAGCATCAAGCTCGACTCGGCGGCGCTGCTCACCCCCGTCACCCTGGAGAACGTGCCGGAGGTGGTCGTCCACGGGACCTACTTTGCCTTCTGGAAGCGCATCGAGGAGTCGGGCGGGCTGAAGCGCATGGGGCGGAACCACGTGCACTTCGCGACGGGGCTGCCCGGGGACGAGAGGGGCGTCGTCAGCGGGATGAGGAGGGACGCGGAGGTGCTTGTGTATGTTGACGTCGAGAGGGCGTTGAGGGAGGAGGAGGGGATGAAGTGGTGGGTTAGCGAGAACGGGGTCGTGCTGACGGAGGGAGATGCCGATGGGGTTGTGCCGTGTCGGTTGTTCAAGGAGGTTAGGGGACGAGAGGGGGGAGTCGGGGTTTTGTGGGAGGATGGGGAGAAGGTTGCGGAGTTGCCTGAGGGTTTGAAGATGAGGACGCCGCCTGGGAAGGGAGGGCGTGGTGGAAGGGGAGGAAGGGGAAGGGGAGGGAGGTCGTGAAGTTGAGTTGAACTCCATGGTGTTATGAGCGGTATTTTCGTGCCTCTTCTACTCGAGGGAGAAGTATGTTCCAGGAGCTGCGGCTCCACTACAAGTTGCTTCTTGCATGAGCGAAACGTGTTTAGAGAAGAGTGATAGAGTAACGGCACAGAAGTCTTCAATACTAGCAATTTGCCGGTGTTCGCATGAGGACTCTTGCCTCAATAGATGGCACCAGCTGGAATCCGTCACGTTTACATCGCTCGGTGGGGGAAACTTGTATGTTCTCATTGCCTGAGCTAACCAAGTGTGCCTACCCTCCAGTACTGCGCCGAAATCAAATGGTCACTTTCTTACCCCCTTCCTTATCCACCTCTTCGTACGCGAGTAACCAACACCCTACGACCCAAGCACACTCCTACTCTTCTGGCTTCGTTTGTCCTGCTCGGTATGCATCCACGCCAAGATCTCCTCGGCCATCTTCTCTCTCGCGCCCCTTTTAGTGAAAGCCTTGGTGACTTTCCCCAGCCCGGGCGGGATGCGCGGGTTATCGTCAAAGTCGGCCGTGCCGTTCCAGAAGTCGGCGCCCGGGAGTGTCGGGTCTTCCCTCAGGACATAACGAGGGATGGGCAGGTTCAGGCGGTTGGCGAGCTGTTCCACGCGCTTCGTCGAGGGCAGGTCGGATGGGGAGAGGGGCCGAATGGCGGCGCCCGCGTTCGGCGTCGTGGCGGTGGAGGAGTTTGCGGACGCCAGTAGGGAGTTCGGGTTGGACGATGACGAAGGTGATGGGGAGTCCTTTAGCGGGGACGACGTCCTTGGGTTCTTCGCGGGTTTTTGCTTTGGTGAGGGCGACTGCTTGGGTTTGGGAGACACTGAAGCGAGAGGTGCCGTCGGCTGGGGTTCCTGTTTCACCGGGATGTCACCGGGCACGCCAGCCGGGGGTGAGCTCGACGGAGCCCGCTTCGCCGGGACGTGTAAGACGGCCGGAGCGGGAGCGGGAGCGAGGAGGGGGGCGGGGACGGCTCGCGGGGGCGCAGATCCGAAGGCGAGGGGGAACTTGGGCAGCTCGCCGCTAGGGAGCATCTGCCCGTTGTCCATGAGCCAGTCGCATGCGCACTTTGCGGCGAACTGCTTCGCGTCCTGCTTGCGGGTGAAGTCGGGGCTCTTAGGCGCGCCGTCCTCGACCCCGTGACCGGGACGCGGGAACCTGTCGCCCGTGGTGTCGAAGGTGACGAAGCAGGCCCAGCGCAGCTCGGGGGCTTTGCCCAGGCGCGGGTCCTGGCGGGGTTCGTCTGTAAAGATCACCCTTTGATTGCGGACTTGAAGGAAGTCTGGTGTGTCTTGTCAGTTTTGGTTGGTCCGGTGTGATGTTTCTGGATGCGCGACTTACGGTTGAGAGTGCCGATCCAGTTCTGGGTTCCGAGGGTCGGTTCCGGGCGCGTTGGCGGTCGGAGCAGAATGGCGATTGCTGTGGCCTGTTCTTCGGAGAGGGGAGCGGGATGTCCATGTTGAGCTTCGTAGGTTTCCTTCTCGGCGACCCAGGCCTTGAGGGCTGCCCAGTCCACGCGCGGCGCATTTGCTGCCATGGCGGATTTGGAAGTGAGGGGCACGAGCAGTCGCAGTCGGAGTTGAGCGCAGCGGCAGATGGCTAGAATATCAACGCGCGCTGTCGCAGGTAGAGCTTATGCTTGTGTAAGAAAGTCGAAGTCGTCTCGTGAGGATGCTTTGGCAGATATGGCGTCTGAAGTATGTCCGTTGGCAGCTGAGTCGAGGGATTGAGATGAGAAGTAGGAAAGGAGACGTCCGGGAATGAATGGTGGGGTGGTGTTTCTCCGGCGCGCTGGCTCTTCATGCTGGAGGCCTGCGAAGCGCCTGACTACATTACTGGCTTGCCGTCAACCTCGACCAAGGCGCGAAGTCAAAAGTAATCCCCAGCAAGTCATTCGTCTTTTGTGGAAGTTTGCCCAAACATGTTTGCTGTAGTCGCATTATTTTGAGTTGGCTGGACTTGGGATGGGATGAAAGATGATCGGCACAGGCCGATGTCTTGATTCTTAGCCGATTGGTCCTTTTCGCACCTGCCAAGCGCAACCTTGCTGTCAGTCCTCCACGGTTATTTTTTCCTTGCAACTACTCATCGCTACCTCTATAATTACACTTGCTGTTACCTAGTAACTCATTTCTCAAACACACCTTATCTTGACCACAAAATTCGCCATAAGTCAGAAAAAAGCCTTCGTCTTCTACAATATTCGTTAGTTACAACTCCACACCTGAAGTACGGCAGTCTAGGTAGTGGCACTTGATGGGATAGTGCGTACTGGAGAACTCTGTTGTCGATGCGAAGCTTCTCACAAAGATGATGTACTTGTGTCACCACAGTGCTTCTTCGCGTTGAAAATTATGTTAGAGAGGTTTCTTTCTATTTGTCCGAAACTCCAATCTATTTAAAGTTGCAATGAGGAGTCTCGAGGCGGCTCCTTCATCCCGTACAACACTACTTCAAGTATCTAGTGTTAAAGCCGTCGCCCATGCACCTGAACTATCTATCCAGTGTGCTCCTAAATACTTCTGGAGGGAAGGGTCTGGATGTTGCGCATGGGAAGCACTGCTGTGCTCGCTAACTAAATACGTGTCCAGATCCAGACTTCAATCTTGCAACTGTGAAAGCCTAGGTGAGCCCTTTCTCTTCGACGTGAGAAATGGAAACCTCGGCTTCCTTGAACTTCCGAACAGGAACCTTCTGCTCAAACAGAATATCCATTTCTGCGGTTGTCCTTCCCTTGGACTCCGGGACCATGAAGTATGTGAAAACAAATCCGATAACGCCAGCCCCGGCCCAGAAGAATCCGGATAGCGCGTTCCAGTTCCACGCAGTGGGGTTGAGCATGAATGGTGTGATCGTGCCGGCGACAATGTTGATGACAGAATAAGTGTTCCGTGCAACCACGACCGACTTACTCCGCAGGAGTGAAGATGGAATCTCAGCAACCATCACAAATGTAACCGGCAGCACTAGAAGGTTGGCTACGAAGCCGTCCACGGCAAGGAGAGACCCAATGCCCCATAATAGTGCTGCAGACGATGACTTCCGTAGTTGAGCGCCCATACCGCCGATGGCCGCGAAGAGAGCCACGGTGATGAGAGTGCCCCAGAGATACATCTGTCTGCGGCCTACGTATGTCATCACGACCAACTATGTGTTGGTGTTAGCTATGCATCCTTGAACTGCACCGTTCATATCCAGAAGACTTACGGCACCGAGGACTCCAAGTACAGAGAGTACTAAAGCAATGATGGTCATATTGAATGACTGGTCGACAGGGAGACCGGCTTGCAGGAAGAAGTACGTCATGTATCCTCGCACTGGTGCGCCGGTCAATACCTGCATAACATAAACACCCATGACGATGGTGGTTCTGCGGAGATTGACCCCTTTGAAACAGGCGAGATAGCTCGTGCCCGACTCGACATTCCGCTCGTGATGAGTGGTGAAGACCATCAACGAAACAAGTTTCTGAATATCGATACCCATGTCCCCAGAAGTCAAACTCGCAACTGCGGCTTCGGCCTCGTCTCGGCGATTCTGACGCACTAACCACCAGGGCGACTCTGGTGACAGATAGACTGCGATGATCACCACAAGTGGCCAGAACCATCTGTGCTCCTGTCAGCTTATGCCTCTTACTGTAGATAGAAGAAGCCTTACTGAAGAGAAAACGGGATCCGGTAAGTCCATGGACTGGGCAAATGCAGAGTACCGCGAAAGATCACCGCATTGAGAAGCTGTCCCAGAGCCTACGTCTATCAGATTTGACCTCCGTGAGATACATTGACTTACTGACCCAGGCTAGCGAATAGAAACTAGTGAGATAAGGGCGAAGTGCGTTGGGCATGATCTCGGTGACATACACTGTGGTCACAGTCTGAAATATTCCTAAGGGAAAAGCTTCGCAATGTTAGTTTCACACTTGAACGTGTTTGCACGACCACTTACCCATGAAGAAATTGGCAACAGCCAAAACTTGGAGACTGGGCGCGAAAAAGAAAATGAAGATGATCGGTGGCATGGAAAGCAAAGCGGCCGCCATCGTTTTCCGGAACCCAAACCTCTCAGCGAGGTATCCGCCCAAGAACATTCCTAGGATAGATGTAACGCCCGTGATGGCGCCCATGCCGCTTTGCCATGATGCAGAAATTTGATAAGATCCATCGGGTAGTCGAGCACCATAGTCCTGCTGGAAAGCAGGCACCGCGTAGAGTGATCCCATGATCTTGGTGTCGAAGCCCTCCATAACAAGCGCGAGGGAAACGAAGGCGCCGAGCCAAACAGCCTTGGAGTATAGTTTCAAGGCGCGTCGAGGGCTCAAGGAGTGCTCCCAAGCTATGGCAGCTTCAGCCTCTGCAACAAGACTGTCCGACATGGCCTCGGACTTCTGCATGGTGATCGAGGTTGAAGCACTAGGCGACTGATATGCGCTTTTCAGAGAAACTCAGTTGTTCAAACAAATCACAATGAGTTGGAAACACTTGATAAGTAGATTTGGTACATCACGATCTAGGCTTTTTAAAAGATGGTATCAACTACATCTAAGTTGAAAAGCTGGGGGTTCGATGAAGACAACAACAGAAAATCCAGCCAATTGGCATGGAATACACTTGCACACGCACACTCGTTAGCATTTGCCGATGGACCCGCTCGAAGATGTCTGGAGAGGATGAATATACACAAGTCCGTAGACAGACGGGTAAAGATGGAGTCGTTCGCTAAGCTCGGCATGACTCGCTTGGAGATAACAGGATCTTGCTCTTTATCTTGAAGCGAAACCGAGTCTTGACTTCTGTTTTTCTCAGTGTCTGTCTAGGATCCTGTTTACATCCTTCAGGAGGACATTGTGGAGTTCTCCCTGAGCTACAACTAGCCCTCTGTTTCGATTCAGATCCCTCCCAGCGCCAAAGTCCACGGCCTTCCCATCCAAGTCCGTTACCTTCCCACCAAGCTCGGTAAAAATAAGCTGCGCGCCTGCATGATCCCAGATGCACATCTTGAAATCTGGACTCGCCGGAATCAAGAAGTGGGCGCTGCCACCCCCAACAATTAGAGCGGCATAGCGGATATGCGAAGACCACAGGTCAATGTCTGGAAATTTCGCCTTGAACCTGTGCGCCAGCTCCGCAATCACATCGTGGCGGCTGACATCGCTAGCGGCGCAGTCGACAATATGAAGGCGTTTGGTCGGTGCGAGGATGCGTAGAGGGAAAGCATCGCCAAGACCGCCAGAAGTCATTGTCCGGATCGCAGTGCCTTGGCCTCGAACGGCCGTGAGCATGATACCCAAGCCTTCCCGAGCGATGTTCTCTTCCGAGACTCGGGTCATGTCAGGGCTGATGTTTGGACATCCCAGCACACCAACAACCTGCTTCCCGTTCTCGATAAGAGACAAAGAAACGGCATACTGCTGCCCTTTCAAGAAGGTTGCAGTCCCGTCAATGGGGTCCATAACCCAGAACCGCCCTTTGTTGCCTCCTATGCCATTCCCACCAAGGTCGATCAGACTCAGCATCTCGTCAACGGACGATGGCTTGGGTAGTAAAGCCCCTTCATTGTTCCGGTCCGCCACATCTGTTGCTGACAATACTAGGTCGTAAACCTTGTTGCAGAGTGTTTGGTCGGCTCTCAGGGCGGTAGAATCCTCTTCCCCTAGAAAGGCATCGTTTGGGAAGGCATCGCGAAGAGCCCCAACGAGAAGGGCCTGCGCTGCGAAGTCGGCAATGGTGACCGGGGAGTTGTCGTTCTTGGAGATCTCGCTGACTATAGACTGCACCGATTTGGTGAGAATTGAGGCTCGGAGAACGGCCAATTCCGCGAGATGCTGCTCACAAGCGAATGGATTCGTCATGGTGAAGAAACGGTAGCAAATCTTTTTAACGCTTAGTAGAAGGGCGCGACAGAGATGCGAGTGTCGGACCGAGATTCTCTTGATATATCGGCTCTACATACAAGATATTAGTTCGGCCGTAGGTCTAAAGTAGTTTTTGAGTCCTCACAAAGACAAGTCCGGAATGCTTACAGCACTTGAAGAAGATAGCTATCTTCCATTGCCCCCTCAGTCAAACTGAATGCGAGACGAAAACTCATCTGTGCGCTGTCTCACCCTTTCCAAGAAATTCTCGCTTCGGACATTTTTCAGTCTTCAATTCTCCCGACATTGTTCTCCGTTATTACTAGGTGACATCTCGGTGGTTGCCAGTAACAGTGAAGCGCGACGCTTAAAGATAAGATGAGCTCGGCTAGAGATAAGGTAATGCATGGTGTCCCTTGAAATGCCGTGGCGAGACATGGTCCATCGATCCACAAGCGACGTTATGATCAATCCCATAACTAAAAGCCATAAGCACTGTTTTGAGATGCCGTACCCGTGCAAAGACTGTGGCAATTTAGCCGATTTCTATGTGGGCTCCCAGTTCGAAGAGCTTTATGAATATCATTTGACACCTCACCAAAACCACAAAGTACAATGACCAACCCCTTGAGGACGACATCCCAGTCAATCAGGATTGCAGGACATCGGGGCTACAGTTCCGGCGCCCCTGAAAACACCCTGAGCGCTTTCCGGAAGGCCTGGGAGGTTGGCGGCAATGGAGTTACTTGCGAGACTGACCTCGCGCTGACCAGAGATGGCGAATTGATCCTGATCCATGACGAGACTGTGGACCGCACTACAAACGGCCACGGCCTTGTCTGCAACATGGACTATTCCGACATCGCCAAACTTGATGCTGGCCTTTGGTTTGACAACGCGTTCGAGGGGGAAAGAATACCATTGCTGAGGGATGCTTTACGTCTTGCACGTGAGCTTGGCATCATCTATCAGCTGGAGCTCAAGATCTACAATCGAAACGACGAAATATTCCCGAAGTTGAGAGCGTTGATCGACGAGTTACAATGCGCCGACCTTCTGCAATTCTCTTCGTTCGACTTCGCTCAGCTCAGAGCCATCAAGAAGGCGATCCCCAGTGTTCCGACAGTCGCTATTTCGCATTCGAGATTCATCGACCCTGCTGCGGTGGCGCGAGAAGCAAACGTGGATGCGGTCAATCTTGAGATACAGCACTTCCCGAGCGGCGAGGCTCATCAGCTTCACGAGGAGGGCTTTGCCGTCTTCTTGCATGTACCGGCCCCCGAGAGGCTTGCGAAACTGAAATCTTATGGGGTGGATGTCGAGGCACAAGTCATACAATGGGTTCGTGAGGGGTTGTTGGATCAGCTCATCAGTGACGACGTGGCACAAGTGGTCAGGATCTTAGATCAGGCTCATGTTAAAACATAATCATTGTTGAGCATCGTAAAGAGACGCCCATTGTCAACAGCAAAACTTGAAACTTCAACGCAAGATGCTAATAAGAAATTGTTGTTGTGGAATGTCCGGCATCCAATGTAACTAACGATGGTGAGCTCAATGCTTCAGGGAACCTATGTTTTCAACACTATTTACTTAGAAAGAAGTACTTCATCCAAATTAGCTTCAGGGAAGCAATACGTATGGAGGCATCATGTGTCAATGCTGTCCTAACCGCAATGGGTGAAAACTACCTTACGAAAGATGAAAATAGTACGTTTCCCCACAGCACATCACCCAATAACGATGTCCAAATCTATCACATGGGAAGGACGATCGTTCTGAGCCTCTGGTTGAAATGTTGTTTTATCTCGTGCACCAATTCCTCAGAAAAGGAAGCCTGTCTCTTCAACAGCACCGTAAACCATCCATCTATATTCACTGTCATTCAAATTTTTTTTAAAGAAAGTTAGACATACTTCATCATTTTTTATACCTCTTTCGTTTTCATTCGTAAGCGTGCCTACGATGGAATCACCTCATCCTGGCGAAACGAGCAGTACACCCGTCTCGCACCACGGAAAAGCACCATCGTCTTCGCCAAAGGCGCGCTACAGAGGCCGTGTTCGAACCGGATGTCTCGTTTGCAGAACCCGGAAGATAAAATGCGATGAGCAACGCCCTAGTTGTCAAAAGTGCACCAGATTGAACAAGACATGCGTCTACAAAGCTCCAAGCAGATTTGAACCACATCAAACGATAAGGGACACTAGTACTGGTTCCGCGGGCAGCAAACAAGATCATACCAGCATGGACACAAACCTCGAGAGCGCATTTGTGCATACCGAAACTAGAGGCTATCCAGTCCATGAGCAATCTGAAGAAAACGCCGCGGAAAATGTCGTCAACCAAAGTTCCCAGACGGATTTGAGGATCCCCGACGATATCGAGCATACAGATTCAGGCATTATAATGTGTGCCAATGCCGACGAGTCACCCTCAAGCCAACAATCCAATCCCTTGTGTCAAGGGAACAATATGGGTCTCGCCGAAACTCCTTCCGAGCGCCTTCAGCGGACGTCCGACCTTATATATATAAGCACAACCATGGATTGGTTAGCCGCGGCAGAAGGTTTTACCCCGTCCTCATTCAGCTACTTCATCAACGTGGTGGATTGTCCCCTGATCTCGCCTTTCGACTACTTGAATTGGAAACGATTCAAAACATATGTCGCCGATCTTGGTCTGCGTCATTTTCCAGTATCAGAAGCCCTTCTTGCTATCTAAGTTCTATATAGAGCTCAAGTGGATCGCTTACTAATGACCTACGCATTGTTAGTTTACTAAAACTTATTAAGTAATAGTTATAGCTAGCAATATAGTATATTAAATATTAATTAATATATAACTAGCTAAAAGGGGCTAAGTTAGCCTAAATACTAGAAAAAAAGGAGGGTATATATATTTAATATAAAAAAGTTATATTTAGATAGAAATCTATAAATAGATTTATTAAGTTAGTATTTATATTAGTTAAGTAGTATAGGGTTTAATATACCCCTTTAGTGTTATAACCCATTAGGCATAACTAATGAAGAACGCCCTACTAGGATACTAAGTAGTTATAATAATACTTTTATATATAGGATTATAGGAATAGGGAGGACTCCTCAAAATAGAAGAACTATAGATAAGTTATATAACTAGGGAAGTATAAGCACTAATAAGATAAGATATAAGCTACTTATAGTATAGACTATAAGTGCTTACCTTAAGTAACTACTAAGTAATTACTTAATAAGTAATTAAGGTAAGAAGCTAGGAGGATAAGACTTATATATAGGATAGACTTAAGTCTACTTAAGGATAGACTTCTATAGCTCTTTAGTAATTAACTTATAATTATTACTTATAATACTTTTAGCTATACCTAAGTAATAATTACTCTATAACTCTTATTAAGGACTTACCTAATTACTAAGCCCTTCAAAGACCTATAATTACTTAACTAGACCTATAGAATAACTAATAACTATTACTATTATTATTACCTAACTTACTATTAATATAAACCCTATTATTAGTTAGCTAGCTATAACACTATATTATTTAGCTAAATTAGATATTAAAGCTATAATAAGCTTTATTATATTAAATCTATTAATTAATAGCTTAAATAGTATATTAAATAATATATATAATAAGAGTTTATTATTAAAAATTACTTAGACTTATAACTATTAAGTAATAGTTATAGCTAATAGTATAGTATATTAAATATTAATTAATATATAATTAGCTAAAAAGGGCTAAGTTAGCTTAAATACTAGAAAAAAGGAAGGTATATATACCTAATATAAATAAGCTATATTTAGGTGGGAATCTATAAGTAGATTTATTAAGTTAGTGCTTATACTAGTTAAGTAGTATAGGGTCTAATAAAACTTAGTTGCCACCTTTGAGACGATATCTGCTGACGTCGATATTGACTTTGACATCGTTCTCGTCGTTGCCTTCATTCTTTGTTTATGTGTGGCGACCCTACCGAATGAGGACAGTTCTTGTTTTACAGTGTTGGATGGGGCTTTCGCAACAAGACTGGAGGCCTGGTTACTGAGCGGTCATCAAACACCCGTTTCTTTACGAATTTGTGCTTGGCTGCAACTCCTGAACACAACCACTAAGCGGCCGGGAAGTGCTGGGTTGTTGTCAGAGCCAATTCTCAGTCTTTTATACGACCATGTAAAACAGGTTCCTATTCTTTCGGAACTAGACCGCGACGCCCACCCGGAACACTCTCTACACAACGCTGTCGCCGCACCGGTCTTCGACTTCTATTTGAAACTTCAGAGGATGTCGAATCGAGTCGCGGATGTCACGCATTACCGCCGATCACGCAACACACCCGAAGACCAGGCAGAAGTTGTCGAACTAATGGGTGCATTGAAGACGGAGCTCTCCAGCTTGTGGGAAAGTCGGCCAGCCCTACTGCGGTTACAACCAGATACGATTCGTGACCACTTCTCTCTTCAGCTTTCCGGTCCACTCATCTCGTTGGCCGCAATCTGCATTGCAGCCTTCCATACCGAGATCATCGTGATCGGCCGTATCCTGGGGGACCCCCCTTTTCCATCACAAGAGACTCAGCAAGCTCTTAAGGAAATCCGGGACATCTGCGACGGAGACTGGAATGTCTCAACGGGCGGTACAGTCAATGCAGGATATGTTCGGCCGCTATTTGTTTATGCACTCGAGAGCTTCGACAGTAACGATACCCAGTGGGCAGCAGAACGCTTGAGGCGCATCAAACATCCTATCAGTCGAACCAACTTTCTTGCGTCTTTCGTCGAGGCTCATGGGGAGGCACAAAGAACTCAAGCGAGAAGAGTGACGATGAAATATTTTTGCTACCAGACCTTCGGAGTTCCGCTACCATACATGTAACCAGAACTGGATGCTGGCTTCTCTATATAGTGCTCTGGAGAAGCTAGGTACATTCTACATAGCTTGAAAGGGCTGCGGAGGCCTGCTGGAAATACTGGACTTCTGTAGAGTCCCGTTGGGTAATTAGCCACGCCGGCAGTTCCTGTCATCATACATTCAATTCCAACCATGAAAGGCGCGATTTACTTGAGCATCAATAACACGAGCCTAGGCGAGAGCAGCGATGCTCCAACTACCTAAGTATTCGACCAGAAACAATAACCGTGGAGCAGTGCGATGCTTCCCTCCTCAAATTCATAAATATTCTTTCTAAATGCACTTACACCAGTGAAGAAAAAGTTACTCAATGTTGCTAAATAAACATCGCCAGAACAACGAGCACAAGCGGATTAATGCGAAGGGTAGTACAGCGACATCTCTTCAACCACATGGAGCGCTCCAACGTCGATAACTCTGTTCTGTGAGAAGTCTGTCGCGGGTTCGTAAAAGCCAGTCCCTTAGAACACATCAGAATGCCTGCAACGTGCAATCCGTATGAGAGCATTCGCTTTATCATATTGAGTCTCAGATATCGAAACCCGAGTATGTCTCCCAATATCGCGAAAGTGGGTGCGCGAGGTTCCCCAAGCCAAGGCATACTGAAGAGTGGTTGAAAATCAACCACCATGTCTCATTGGTTGACAGAACGGCCAAAACCTGCAGGCCAGCTCGTTTCTTCTCACTGCAGCATCCTCGGCCAGTAACAATGGAGACATCTGTTGCTGCGCTGTCAGTCTGGAGTATACCCATCAGTGGCGCAGCTTACGACACGTGAACCTGGTTCTGTGATTATTCCAGCCTGATCTTCGATTTCCCCTCTTCTCGCAATCATCGAGTCCATCAGTTCCAGCCCAGACATGGCTGAACCCGTTGGCATCACCGGCACCGCTGCCGGGTTGGTGTCATTGGGCTTGCAGCTCCACGGCGAAATCTCCAAGTACATCGACGCCGTCAAGGGAAGAAGAAGAGAACTTGATGCGGCCAAACGGAGTGCGGACACGCTACAGAAGTGCCTCACTGCCATTGACGAGATCATCGATTCAGTTACAGCCCAGTCAACAGCGAGCGAAGCAGTTGAGACCTGTCGAATTTCCTGCGAAGATGAAATCAACGCTTTGAAAGCGTTAGTCGAACGCTTGATAGGACCGCTTGCGCCCGCTGATACTCTGTCGGCGAAGGTCAAGGAGAAAAGCCGGCAACTTACTTACCCTTTCCGTCGAGGCGACGTTCTCGAGCTTGAAAAGAGGCTGGAATCTACCAACAATAGACTTCAGACAGCATTACACACTTTGGAACTGTATATGATGACCAAACCCATTTGCCTATGCACGATGCTAATAGATTATGCTACTCTAGGAATATTTTGAGAAGCACTCAGGACCTTGTCACTGCCGTACACTCGAACGTTCAAGCTGTCAGGTTGGCAACTGATCGCAGTGGTGTTACGTTGGCTACGATTGCAAACACAGTCAGCAACATCGAAAGCTCGTCTGGCCACTTGGAGCATCTCATTCCTGAGATTCGAAACCAGACTACTCGGACATTCCTTTTGGTATCTCAGCAGGCCCACGCTCTATCACAAACCAGCCAAGTTTCGATCCGCGTCGCAGAGACCGCGCAACAAGCAGAAAGCCGATTCGATAGAACCGACGAGATTCTTTTGCAACTCGTAAAAGGACAACGAGAGATGAATCAACAGATGCTACAGCTTGTTGCGAGACCTTCTCATCTCCGAAGTCTTTGTGATCAGTTTCCCAAAGAGAGTCCAGCAGGTCTGACAAGACCTGGCGATACTGGTTCTCTCGGCCGGAGAAGGGCGGATTACAAATATCGACCTTGCCCTTGTACAAGACGACGTAAGCTGCAGCGGAACGAAAGAACGTTCGGTCCATTGTTTCTTGAGACCGAGTACTCTGAAACGACACATCATGCAACCTACTGTCGTTTGTCTCGAATCACACCGCCTGAACAACAGAGCAAGAGAGGATTCGGTATCACGATTCCAGCATTGCAGAGCATCTTGGACAAAGCGATTCGCATATCTCTTTCCTTGAACACGGGCACAGGTGGTTTATCATTCAGCCAGAGCCTATCGTGGGTCGCTACCGTAGACTCTGCGCGATCTCCCGCTTTCAGACTTTTGAGGCTTACGTGCAGGGCGCTTCACCCATTTGGTCACTCCTTATCACGGGATCAAAGCCTCAAAGTCATAAATTCATGTCTCAATCGATTAGCCTGGTGTTACGAGCAAAGAATAGCATCCCCTGCAGATGTGCAGCAGGACGGCCTTAATTTACTTGCTGTCGTAGTGCCAAATATCCAGGTATGACGACATGACTTTCTACCACAGCTTGAGATACTAATTTGGGGTAAAGCCAGGCGCCATACGACGGTCCGTCTCTGTGCGTTTTGTACGACGGCTTTTGGAGTTGGGTATACCCGTGAACACTAGTCTCGCCTTCAACAGTGACGAGTGAGTACCCTTGCCTTCAAATGGCGATGAAGTTGATTATGAATCGATGGAGAGCATGTAACCAAGCATTTGAAAGTGACGAAACATTAGTTCTATTCTGTCCTTCATCATGAAATATTACAGAGCGACCGATCCCAAGCAAGCGTATGGACTATCAGCAGCTCTAAAAGCTTCAGGGGCTGATTGTGTACGACTTGGCGTCGAGAATGCTGGTTACGTCGAGGTCATTGACGCGTTCCAATTGCTGAAGACATTTCCAGACTACGCTGAGAGTGGGTGCTTTCGAAGCTAATACGATGCGTCGCTGACTCCGGTCTTTGCAGTGCTCAACGTGGGATCACTCGCGATGGCCATCTTGCGACAAGACTTGCCAGCCGTAAGAGAGTTGGTGGAGAAATACCCGTCATCTCTCTGGGAAAAAGACAACGATGGACTCACAGCAATCCATACAGCTGTCCTAGTGGGCAACAACCAAATTTTAGGACTAATCCTAAGATTCAGCAACGCGGACCTTGTCAATACCACAGACTCGTCAGATCGCTATCCAATTGACTACGCCATGGGAGCTGGTTTCCACGAAGCATGCCAGTTGTCTAATGATCAACATTGCAGCGGCTGCGAGACGGTGGAAGCCTTACTTCAGTCGGGTAGCGCCTTGACTGCATCTTCTCTTCGAACAGGACTCGGTATGTATCACTCGGACGTGGTAAACCTCTCAAAAGCTATTAGACATATAGTATTGAGGTATCTGAAAGAAAGGAGGATGAAGCTTCAGTATCTTGCGACGAGAAGGTTGCCACGGAAGGACTGTTGCGGACTGGGCTTCTCGCCATTGCGTGTGTTAGACAGGCACGCCATTCAAACTCAAAGACTTCTCGAAACTACGCTGGGCAAAGTTCCCCCAGAACTCATAGTCTTTGATGGAAAGACAGATATCGAAGATTTTGGAAATGGAAAGACAGTATATGCTTACATTTGGGATAGGAAAACCGCTCAGTACGCTTGGGAGCTCGGATTTGATGATATTGGCCGCGATGCAGTCGACGGGTTCGACCAACTTGTACGAAGAGAGAGCGCCATCGTTGGAGTGGAAATGAGGAGAGGCGTAGTCGCATATGCCTCTTGGCTCGTTCGCCATGGTCTCAAGCTCAAAGTCGTGGTTGAGGTTGCTGATGCTGGAGATTCAAAAACAACATACTCACACTATCTAATGGCATTCTTGGGGGGCAACATACACATCGGATATGAGAAGCTCACATTAAGACCCGAGGTCTCGAGTGCTGTCTTCTCCGAACCGGTCAAGGATGGGTGCTTGTGCGGATGCGCCTCTGGAGGCTGTAGTCCGCTAGCAAAGTTTTTGCGTCGGTCAGGACATGACTGTTCCAGATGGAGGTCCAGCTTTGATAGGCATGGAAGCTCATTTGAGGTTTGCCGATTCATTTTCGGTATGATTCCCCGAAAAGAGCGCTCCAGTGATCAGTACAGTTGGATATATCGTGGTATCCTAAGACATTTCACATTTGCTGTGTTGGGTTTACGGCACACTTGCTGCGGACCCACATTGGGGCGGCGGCAGGGAATGGATGATGAGAATGTCGAAGAGATCCGGAATGAAGAGAAGGACGGATTATTACTGTTGGAGACACTCGTTGCAGAATTTGAGGTCAGATGTGGACGCAACTCCAATCTGGTTCGATTTCTGAAGGAATATTGGGAACCCAGGATGGAGCAGGTGATAAAGGACATCGATAGAAGGAGACTGACGAAACTTGAGATTCGAACGGCAGAGCAGCTTGGCGTTGTCTGGCACTCGGACGGAGATTCTGTGGTATCCGACACTTACTCTCATGGCAGCTTGGACTTTGAGGACGCTATGAAGAGAATGGATGATATTGCCCCGGATCCTAGGCGGCGGCCTTGATATCCATGGTATTGGCTTGGAGATGTTAGAATCGTACCTTTCTCCTGTTCGCAGGCCTAAATACAGAATGAGCATACTTTGTTTCAGTAGGTAGTTAATTTCCTCAGTCTCATCCTCGAAATCCACCTGCGGCCAGCATCCTCTAAACCCGGAAGGAAAGAAGCTTACCAACCGCACAGCAGCGTACGCAACCTATCCTCAAAGGCATGGTCCTGTGCCAATATGAAGAGGCATTCATTGCTTGCACCCTTCCATAATTACGATGAGAGAGCCCAACACAGCCAGAAAAACACATTTTCTTTAGACGCCAGCTTTAATTAAAGAAGCCAGTTCCATCATCCTCATCTTCCTGCTCCTTGGGAGCATGCCACTTCCTCGCCTTGCCACCATCCTTCCAGTTTACCGCTCTGTCCTTGTGGTGATGGTGGTGCTGCTCGGCGGGGAACCTGTCCTTCGATTTATTTGCCGCAGGGAAATTCTTCTTCGTCGACCGCTTGGGCGCGGCATCGGTGTCTGTCGGCGACTTGCGGTCGCGTAATCTGTAAAGCGCCGACTCACCGCCCGGGAGTGTTTTCTCGATCGTCGCCCACATCTTGGGGCGTTCGGCGTGGAGGGCGCGAAGGGCCTTGGGCTGCTTGAAGGGCTTCTCGTCCGATTTCTCCTCCTTCGTCTCGTCGTCGTCGCCGTCTTTGCTGGCGTCCTTGTCCTTGTTGGGGTACAGGCTCTCGTAGCGCTCCATGAGGGGGAAGAAACGGGCGTAGGCGACGTCGACTTCGGCTACGTGGGCCTCGGCCTCGAGGCGCTTCTTCTCTTCTTCGTCCGTGGACTGTGCGATCTTCTTGCGGAGTTGTTTGAGGAGTCGCTCTGCCTTTTTGCGCTCTGGTAGTTTGAGGGTTAGTTGGTAGGCCTTTTACTGCTGGCGGATTATACTGAAGGCAGACTTACCAAAGAAACGGACCATGTGGTACTTCTGAATCATCTGGCTCCTCTTCTTCTTGAAGTCGTGCTCCTCTACCCTCTCCGACAGCGCCTCCAGCTCCTGCTCCAGGTCATTCCGCACCGTAGCCGGCACCTCTTTGCCGCTCTGCAGAAGTCTCCTGATTGTTCTTGCGCGCGTCTTATTCCATGCTGTTGTGCCCTCCTTAGCCTTGTGCTTCCTCTTCGTTGCGTCGGGGCCGGTCTTGGAGCGTTTTGAGGCGTGCTCTTCGTTGTTTTCGGAGGACGGAGAGTCGTGACGCGCGGGGGTGTCTTCCATCGCGACGTCCGCAACTTCGGAATGTGATCGTTTCGCGCCCATGGTGTCGTGATTTGGGGAAGGACTGGCCGTGCAGTGTTTTGTTCCTAGCTGGAATGGAAGAAATGTTGACGATGGCTTCGCGAACTGGACTTTGGCTCAAAAAATTGGATCGTTATCGTGCTTTGAAGGGTGCCGACCCCACATGATGCTGCTTATCAGTCCACTTTGGGACTAGCGTGGTCAGTGAGCCGCCCAGACCAATTGCAGACCCCAATTACAACTGCTCACTGAGTTCAAAGCTACCCAGAGCTCACTGAGTTTAGAAATATATCTATATCGAACCTCATCCTGCGCCAGAAATCATCTTTGCGACAGCTCACATACTGCACTCATTTCGAGACTTAGGACGGTTTATCGAGAATACGAGGCGAATCAACGCAAGGAATCTCATCAAAGCCCCTTATAAAGCTTCATCTTATCCGGAATTGCGGCCTAATCTAGTAGGTCGTCTCTCGCAACCTCGTGTGCATTGTGCCCTGGGACTGAGCAACCTGATTTTGGGTTTGAGCGACGAACGTGAGGCGACAGTCCGAAATAGACGGGAAATCACAACGCCTAAGTTCAGGCGCGTGCGGTCATCATGGACCGCCCGGAGCCTGGACTGATCAAATGGTCGCAGATCCCGGGCTATGACAGCTTTATCCACATCAACTTGCAGCACCGCGTCGTGCAGCTGTACGAACCGAACGGTCTCGCTCAAAGGAGCCGGTTCGACTACACCAGACTCTCGAAGCACGATGATTTCCCGACGCTCACCACGTACGATTGGTCGCCCACGGTGCCGGGCCTGCTGGCCGTGGGAACCCAGACTGGCGTCGTCAACTTGCTGAGGATGGACGATAATTCCAACGCCTACATCGAGTTGGGTCTCAAGATGACGCGAACGTGTCAGGCGGTTGCGTTCAATACCGAGGGTCTTCTGGCGGTTGGTCTGGATCGCGTGCGAATGGATCAGTGTCTTCACATCTGGGACGTCAATCGTATTTCGACAATGAATAAGTCGACAAAGGGATTTTCCACAGACATGGCAGGCTTCTCGGATCCAGCATATCGATTAGAGCCAAGTGTTTCCGTGTCAAGTGTCAAGTTCTTCGAGGACAACCCCAAGACACTAGTCGTTGGAATCAAAGCTCAAGGGTTGCGCATCCACGATCTTCGAGGTATGTATTTACGTCTTTCCGCAGAGACTTCTCAGGCTAACGTGAATATTACAGAGGCAGGCAGCGGTGTAGTCACGTTCCAGACCAAGTGCAACAACAACTTGGCCATAGACTACGCAGACCAGAACTACTTTGCCTCTTCCGCGCTGGACCAGCCGGGTATCATGATCTGGGACCGACGTGCGACATCTCGTCCGGTTGCGTCTCACTCGTATCTTGGAGCGGTTGACGAGGACGAGCTTCCCTGGGGCGGTGCTCTCAGACTTGACAGAGTTGTTGATTCGGATGACGACCCGACTTTGAGCGAGAGCAAGCACTCGATTGTTCGCTCTCTGCGGTACTGTCGCGACCACCGCGGTCTTTTGGCCGTGTTGTCGCGTACTGGGCAGCTCAAGGTTTTGAAGACGAATAAAGAGCTGACGTCCCGTGATATGGCGCTTGAAGGAAGTCCGGAGCTTCTGGAAGTACACAAATCTTACGACCTGGACGTTCAATACGGAGACAGCGGCAAGAAAAATGACCGGATTGTTTCGTTTGATTGGGTTACACTAGATTCACCAGTGCTGCAACCGCGACTTGTAGTATTGCGAGCAAACGGGACGTTCGAGATTCTGGAGCAGCCTTCATATACCTCTGACTATCTCTATAAGCTAACACCATGGCAAGCACCGCACCGAGGCCTCGAAGGTATGTATTCCTGTGTTTTGATGGAGGATATCGTGCTAACTCGAAGTAGAGGATGGACCCTACCATAGTGTAATGGAGTTCGAGCCATCGCAGTGCTCCGACATGCTGGGGCCGTTGTTTGTTGAACAGGCTCTCTCTGACATTCCCATATTTGGACCTGACAAAATAGACGTCCAGTCTATTGTTGAGAAGACATTGCAGGCAAGGCACTCTGCGGCACACTTGAACAGCAGGCTTGTGGGCAATGCAGATCAGTCTCCGTCATCTTCAGACAAATCGAAGACCGTCGCAGAGAGGATGCGGGCTTTGAGGTCAGATCTCAAAGACAAGGCGAGAGATACGGAAACAAATGGCGCAGAGGGATCGTCTTTGGAAGAGTCTATCAGCTCCCTGGCCCAGCTATCCCTATCCAGGGAGGGGCCTGTGTCCTGTCGTCACATGCATGAGTCTCTACTCTCGCTTCCCCTGAAGGCTCATAACCTGTCGACAGAAGCGCAATGTCTGCTGGACCACGTCATGCTTCTGCGAGCGAAGGAGAAATACTTGTTCGACTGCAACGTCAACCGGTCTGTGGTTTCGGATGACCCATGGCTGAGATATATGTGGGATTGGATCGCAGGCAAGTCTTCTCGATAACTTGGTCCTCCTAAACTAACAATGTGTAGACGCCGAAGATGCTGCGCAAGATGGAGGCATGAAACTTTCCCCACTGGACCTGAGCTATATGGGTGTATGCACAATCTGGTGTAATGATCTAGGTATGCGATCCATGGTCTCAGGGTGGTGCTTCAGCTAATGCCATCTAGGACAAAAACCGTCATCAAGACTACCAGAAGCATCCCCCATGCCCGAGATTACGCTTTGGGAGAAGTGTATTGGCAGTATTTGCAAGAGACGTAAACTGCCAAAGTACGAAGGGACACATACGAAGAAACCATTCCACCGCCAACTATGCTTGGATATTTGCGAATGGGGAGACACAGCAGCACACGAGGCGAGGGGAGCTACGCATGATCCCGGGCAGGATTATCCTACTACGACGCATACTATGGCGGCTGCTCGGGCTCTGTTCAAGGGCGAAACGCAAGAAGCAATTCGGATTCTCAGAACGGCCAGTGTCACGCACCCGGAGCTTCTCTTCGTCTCGCTCGCGCTACAGCTCATCGGAAAGAGCGACAACAAGCTCAACAAGGAGCAACTGGACTTTGACGAAGCGGTTGCTTCGAAAACGGACCCGTATCTCAGGGCAATTTCGTCGCTAATTGCTACGGGCGACTGGTTTGCGATCGCGAACCAGAAATCACTTCCTCTTTCGGATCGTGCCTACGTGGCCGTGAGGAACTTTAATGACGATCAACTCACCAAGTGGTTGCACGAACAAGTCTCAATGGCAGTGGAAACGGGAGATATCGAGGGAATCGTCCTCACGGGCATCACGGATAGTCTGGTGGACATTTTCGCCAAATACGTCCAAAAGTTCAACGACTTCCAGACTGCGACGCTGGTCATGTCGATATGCGCGCCGCGATACATTGACGACTACCGGTGCCTGGCCTGGAGGAATGCATATCGGGCATACCTGCAACGGCACAAGGCCTTCCTCCAACGAACCAAATTCGAAGTCGAGAGCACGAAGAAGAGCAAGCGTGGGGGGCGTCCAACGATCAAGCCGCCATCACGGCAAATTGCCTTGCGGTGCGTCTACTGTGACGCCGAGACGACTCTCGCAGGGCAAGGGGGGGCTGGCTCGGGACCACCTCCCGGGGCACCCGACTCGCGGAACCCGCTCATGGCGACGAGCATCAATGCGGGAATCAGCTGTCCCAACTGCGGGCGTCACCTTCCGCGGTGCGTCGTGTGCCTGGAGGTGGTGGGCGTTCCGAGATCAGACCGGCCGGAGCACAACGGAGAGCCGGAAATATGGATGGCGGCCAACTTCCCGACGTTCTGCCTCAAGTGCGAGCATGTGCTTCACCTGGACCACGCCAGGATGTGGTTTACGAGACACGTCGAGTGCCCGGTGCCAGAGTGTCGATGCCGATGCAACTTCAGGGCGAACCCGGAGCTGAACTACCACTAATGACGACTGGAGGACGGGAAGAGGGGGGGTGTTCGCGCCGGGTCGGTTTGTTTGTTGTCCTGTCCTGTCGTGTTGACGTTGACACGAGGGTGAGGCGAGGCGGCCTTGGGCTTATCTGCCAGTGTTCTAGATGAGCTGTCTGCTATTTTGATGGAATACTTATGACATGATTATGTATGCGCGCTGCAGAATCACAGTTCCCCGGTGTAGAGGGTGTCGCGGAGATTTGCAACCCCTGCCGTACAGCTTCCAGCATGTATCCTCGAAGTACCTCGAATTCGAGCCTGACGGGGCGCTGAGCAGCCATGACAGCCGCGAATTCGAGTGTCAAGAGGGTGGTGGGCTGTCACATTCTGATCGGTCATATGCACCGGACAATGTTCCAGGTCGTGGGAATCTTCACCGGCTGGCAATAATGCTACGTCCTGCTGCCGGGCGCATCCTTTTACGGTGTCCCGGTCAAGCGTCCTGGCACACTTGGCTGCCCGAGATGCAATTTTCGCGTGGCGCTGAAGGAACGGGGCCCACACGGACTCGGGGTGGTCTTCCGCGGCCCTTGTATTCCCAAGGTATTCCCGCCCTGCTGACACCTTGACACCCACTAAGAGATGGAGATGGGATGGCCGTTGCACCTGTCGTCGACGGGGGACGGGGACCGTTGTTTGCCTCGGCTGGGTGACTGCAGTTGGTTGGAGACGAATGGAATAGCGCAGCGCACGGGGAACCCTCGGGTGGCCCGCGCTTTAGAGGCAGTTTGGACTACATCTTCAACTAACCGTCGCAGGGGAGGAGGGGGGCTGTTGCGTTGGTGCCTTCCTTTCCCGAGCAACAACCTAAGCAACTTCTCCTCTTCTCACATCCTGCCAGCCAGCCTGCGCAACTTCTCTTACCTACCTATCCGTACCTTGTTCTCGGCTGAACCAACACGGGATTGTGACGGATACAGGATCATCAGAAACGCAAAGGACCCATTTCTGCCATCTATTTCCCCTCCTTTCGTCCTCTCAAAACCTCTCAACCAGCCGGGGTTCAATATTGCAACGCGGCCGCCGTCATGTCATTGGAAACAATTTACATCACCCGCCATGGAGTAAGTCTTGGTCACTCCCATCACTCTCTTCACACCTCTTTTCTTCGTATCCGGCTCCGTCTCCGTCCCATTCCCCATTCCCCATTCCCCATTCCTATCCCCCTCCTCTTCCTCGTCTAGGGCTCCGCCTCGGGGCCCAAAAGTCCCAATGAGGGATAAGGATGCTGTGCGACCAGCCATGACGAGTTTCCTCCTTGGGGGCAACAGATTCTTCAACCCCTTTCGCTCCGCGATACCCTAGGCCTAGTCCGGTCCTGGTCCCCGAACTCGACGATCTCGGCCCAAGCTGTGCCTGTGAGCAGGCTTCGTGTGTTGGCATTGTTGGTTCGACGAAATTATTCTGACAATAGCCTTGGCGTTTACCAGTTCCGTTCCAACTGGCTTGTCGACCCTTCCACGGGAAGCTACTCGGCCTCCATCCCATCTCCAACAGGGATACCTTCAGATCCGGCCCTGACAGCACACGGCGTCGACCAGGCTAAGGAACTGGGTGCTCACCTTCTTACTGTCGAGCCTCCAATCGAGGCCGTGTATTCCAGCCCCTACTATCGCTGCCTGCAAACCATCACGCCCTTTGTTTCCCTCAAGGAAGATGAGATCAACCGTCTTCGCGAGAAAGACGTGGGCGCTACGAGCGATGCCACAATCATTCGCCCCGAGCATGGTCTTTGCGAGTGGTACGGAGCCGCCCCGTTTGAGCACCCAACGCCGGCCTCGCCGGATGTGCTGAAGCCCATGTTTCGTCACCTCGACTCGACGTATCAGAGCCGCGTGTTTCCCGCCCGCAAAGGCGAGACAATCGCTCAATTGCACGACCGCGTCGCCGCCGCCGTTCAAGCCATCATTGAACAATGCGACGCCGAGGGCAAGCGCGCCGTGGTCCTGTGCTCGCACGCAGCCTCCATCATCGCTCTCGGTCGGGTACTCACCGGTGTCATGCCCGATAACATTGATGCCGAAGACTTCCGAGCCTTCACCTGCGGGCTGAGTGTCTATCGGAGAAAATCACCGTCTTCTTCGGAACGAGCGTCAGGAACCAACGGTAGGATTTGAATCCCTACGTCATCATCAGGCAACGGTTTCTTCAACTAACAACCAACAGGTCCTGGTCCTGGTTCCAGTCCTGGTGCTGAAGCGGATTCCTCTTCTTGGAGAAATGGTCGGGGAGTTGGAGGTGGGTGGGTTTGTGAGGTGGACAGCGATTGCAGCTTCTTGAGCGGAGGCGAAGAGAGGGGATGGTAAGATGGAATTCCCGCTCCCGTCGCGATTCTGCCAATGAGCGGGGGACCTCAGACTCACCACCCAGTGAACACCCATGCTGATATCCAGTGTCCACTGGTGGTGACTGGCGACTGGGTCCCTCCGAGGCCCGTCTCTTTCTTGTTCCCCGTCCCTCGTCAAGGGACTTTACCAAGTCTGTGCTCCTCCGATGGCTGACGACCCAACTTTCTATCCACAGGAGATTCTCGGGCGACGAGTCCTTTTCCACGGCCGAAAAGTCGTCGCAGTTGGACGCCGGAGTTGCGCTCGGCGTGGTGGTGGAAGGAAAAGTAAGACACGACAAGGCCTCTCCCCACAGAGCTGCAGGTCATCATCGCCTCTAGGAACAGGTTAATTGGCGGCGCGCTTCGTCATTCGCATTTCTTTTTCTCATAGGAGGCGAGGAGTTGGGCCTTCTCACGGGTCGCATTGTCGCTCTGATGGTCGAGGCTGCGACAGGTTCTAGTTTCTGCGATCTGGCCAGAGACCGATCCGCACCACCCGCCTTGCGGCCGATACACGATGGCAGCTAATGCCGGATAGACTTGCCTAGCTGCTGCGGGATGCATCATCTGCATGTTTTTGGCACGGACTGCGTAGCATCAAATCTGCGAGCCAGTCAGCGCAGCGGCTAGCCCCGAATCCATGACAGACAGACCCCTGTCGATTTCATCTTACAGCTGCCACACCATTTCATCGCTTCTGTGTCCGACTTCAACGCTCTCTCGTCGCTTCGCTTTTGAATGCTCTTTCATCACACGAACCGCCCGCGGAAACCTTCGCTCCAACGATTCATCTCTGTGGATCGTTATCGACCAAGATTGGCGGCTTCGGCTGAAGATATCGTCTCGTATGAGAAATACAGCCATTGGCGCCCGATGTCTATCCTGTGTCATGAGCACATGCAAGACGACTGACGTGCTTGTATCGTGCGTTTCGCCGCTTCTGCTGCCTGGGTGGCTCGATCCCTTGACATCTTGGCTTCCGAAGAGTTGTCGCGGGGCTCATTGGCGAATCCTTGATCGGCTGATTTCTTATCACTCTGCAGCTCAACAACACGTCCGCCCCTACCCGCCACTTTTCAGCCTCGCTCAGTGCTGAGCCCCTCTTTGAGCCCCAGGAGATCCGCATACACAAAAGAACTGGTAGCAACAAAAAGGACTGAGATTTGGTGTGACGCTCTGTTGAAGAAAGCCCGCTTGGCATCCGTGCCGTGGTCATACATCTCCACCGGACGAATTCCGCCCAATGTGGCACGAGCAGTTGAAAATGCCTTCACTACTGGCGACGACAACATCAACAACTAACTACGCTATTGTCCCCTGACTCGATATTTTACTTCGACTAGGGATCCTGTCCGCCTGGAAGCTTGAAGAGCGACGACTTGGGGTCCGATCTGTGCCCGGATGCGTCTTCCGATCAGCTTGCCAGGTGTCTTTGCCGAGACCCCAGTCATCATCTTCCGCTCTGTCTCGACCATCGCTCCCTAGCGGTGAAGGTTGACACTATTTGACTCAGCTGCTCAACGACAAGCGTTCCTGTTGAGATGGCAGGTCCACGGGGCGTGCCATCAGTGGACACTTCAGCCTCGAACGACGCAACACCATCTTCATGCCAAGCTGCAGTTCATCATGAGTTCATGTTCATGATCATCTCCAGTTATGTCAAAAGAGCGGTGGCCGTAGGCAGCCAGACGCAAAAGGTAGGAGGGTCGGATACGCGCTCACCGATCTTCTCACGAGAGGCTGTCGCCATGGACCAGGCCTCCAGCAATCGTCGACCTGACATGTGTACAATGCAGGATGGGAGGCGCGATGAATCCGCATGTGCCTCTCTCGAAGGGAAAGGAAAGTACAACCTGGAGCCTACTGCAGAGTTGCGATGATGGAGGGGCGTGTGTGGCCTCAGCCAACCTCACTACAGCCTCAAGGTATGTCGAATGGCGGAAGACGTATCCGTACGGGCTCGCCAGCGACGATTGCTTAATTGGGCGGCGTGCTGCTGTCGATCCTGGCGACAAGCCGGCCGGAAGCTTGTCTGTTTCGGATTTTGACGACGGACATTGGCCTGACGGGCTTTGCAGACAGGTTCCAAAAGGAAACGCAGAAAAAGAATAACGGATAGCCACACAAACGCAGGGCGAAGTCTTTTGGGTGGTATTATTGACAACAGCGCAGCCGCCGGTTTAGCATAAGCATCTGCAGTTGTCAAAGTTAGGAAACCCAACATATTGCGGTGGCCACAATCAAGTCCGAAAACGGCGCACAACGGTCCTCATTCAGACCGTGCTCGAGGCATCGTCAGGCACAACCGCCGACCCTCGTGGCTTGCGTTCCGTTGTCAACGCCTCTGCCGCTTCCAGCAAGTGATTCGCGTCGAAGCATTCATTCAACGCGGGGTGGTGACACCGCCGCCCAAACAACCAGCGAGCAGCCCAAGTTTCAGGCCCGGCTGAGCAAAAGGCGACGTAACCGTGAGCTGTTGCGAACCTCGTCATTCGCACCGAGCGATTCGCTGTGATGAAGAAGGCTGCGAGATTAGCAACCGACATACGATAGTCGAGTTCGCGGAATCAACAACACACCAAAACCATTCCAGGTTGTTCAACCAGGACGCAGCGGCGGCAAGGGTCCGACACTGTTACTCGGACTCTTAAAGCGTTGTCATCACCGCTGGTCTGGCCAAGTCGTCAGAGCGGTAAAGCGGTAAAGGACAGGAGAGACGTGCGAAGAAACGAAGAAGAAAAGAAAGCATAATGCATCCTGGCGAACGCTTCCTGCAACTCATACTCGCCCAGCCGTCATCGCGTGGCTTTGACAAAGGGAGGATGATCCCTGAATTTGACAGCGCGCTTGGGATAGATCTGAAGAGTCCAGACGAGACACAGGCACAACAAGGTGCCTTTCTGGGAATGGAATAAGAAAACCTGGGGTCCCGTTGGCCAGACGGTGAGCCGGCCGGCAACAGGTTCGCAGACGCAAGCAGACGCAACTGCAGGCGCGGAGGGCGGGCGACAGTGGACGAGTAAATGGAGCTCGGCGGGTGAGTTGCAGTCGCACAAGAAGACCGTTACATGCTATGCGTGCTTCTTCTTTCCTGTGTGTGGTGTGGAGAGGTCCGGGTCGGGGTGTCGGGGGTCTTCAGTAAGACAAATTCCGCCGTCCGCCCATCTGGCCATCGAAATCTGCGGCGGCGACGCTTTCTTATTCCTACGACTCGAATCATGGTGAAGATCCAGATGCGCTCATGGCGACCTTGGGCAAATTGCGCTACAACCGAACTGAGCCCTGGGACACCCCTCCCCCCCTGGTCAGCGTCGACCTAACCGTACCCAACCTTGCCCAGCCTTGGCCTTGCAGAGATTCCCCTCCACCACCACCACCGCAGCGACTTCGCCAGCAGCGGCGTGTCTTTCCTTCGCCCACCCTCGTCGGGCGGTCCCCGCAAGAATCGAACGGGATGGTCGAGGACACTGGACTCTAGGGGCCAGACAGTAGGACGGCCCCACAAACCGTCTTCCCAGACCCTTGACGGGGTGCGGTAAGGCGGCTGCAGTCGACGACTACCGCGTGGCCATCCATCAGCGGCCATTCATCGATCCCTCCTCCATCAGCGGGACCGATGGGTGGTGTGTCTCTTCTCAAATCACAATTGCATCTCAGACAAAAACATGAGTTGTTACGAGGAGGGTTTAGTTCGACCTGCGAGATTTCGGCTACGGGTGTGTGCGGTGAAGAGACCGCAGTCCGAGAGAGGAGGAGAAACGAGAGAAAGAGAGAGAGAGGAGGCCGGTGAAGGGTGTTTCCATTCCGCGGCGCGATTGCAGAATCACACCGACTCTGGAAGCTGAAAGGGCAGGCCACGCTGCAAACACATGGGATTTCACATTGTATGGGTGGGATGGATGGCCATGACATGGCTCTCGTATGAAACGGCGACGACTACAATGGAAAGCAAAAAGGCAAGCAAACTCGACAGATACCACCCGTTTTGTGCACGGTTGGGAAGAAAGCGAGGGCCAGGGCCGTGTCTGCTATTATTATGACACTCGCTTCCAGAAATCCGGGACGACGATAGAGATACTCCAACCGGATTATGACCCTCATCTTCGACTTGGACCTGGGCTGGGGCCCCGACGAGAGCCAATGACAACATCGTGTTGGTCCAACAGCAAATGAAGGCTTGAGGTCACACAAGGCAAAGCAGCAGCACAACACAGCACACAACAAGCTGATTTATGCCTGTCTGGCCTGGCTTTTCCAACTCACCCTTGCCAACTACCTATTCTCAGTCACCCTCACTCTCTCTCACTATCTCATCACACATTGACACACTTCAACTCTCCTACCGGCTGGCACACACATCTCCACCCATTCCTTATCCCCACACCCACCTGTCTCCAATCAATCAAGCAAAAAAATCAGAGACCACATCGTTCGTTATTCGTCTCTGCTACGTCCGGAAGACTGTGGGACTCGCTGCTTAGGTTGACCTTTTTGGCCCCCTCGACGACAGTACGGAGCATTCGTACACGACCATCATTACGACCTCACGCACCAGTTGTGACGCGCAGCTCGATCTAAGACTAGCGCCCCCGGAGGAGAATATCGTCGACTGTGCAGCAGGTCCCGAATACTACCAACCCGCGCGCACCCACCACTATCCGCCTCTCCATTCTCCGTACTACAGAGCATTATCTGTACAGTACTCTTCCTCTCCCCATATGCACCGTCATCTCGACTATTTCAGAGTCCGAAAACTCGACTGGGGAATACCTCTCCCTTGCAAACCTGCCAGTCCCCCACCTGCGGGCGCAAGTCTCCATCCACACCTCCCCGTCTCACAATATCACTAACATGCCATGCCTGCTGCCCTCCCCAATCCTCGTCATTCCCAAACAGGTACAGAGCCTTGTTTGCTACCCGCCTCCCATAGTGCCAACCCATGTCCCCTCATTCAAAAGAAGGTGGCGTGCCGTGAGGTGTTCACTTACATACAGATACGCATATTGCACAATTAGTTGAGTGAACCGAGGGCAGGAGGGGGCCTATCCTCTCCCCAGATGACGACCGGGATCGTGTCCCAAGAGGAGGGGCACTCGGCGCCAGCCATGGACTCGGACAGATTGGGCGACTTGCAGGATACATGCCATGGATCTACCCTCTGGCTGCGTCTGCACACTGCCTAGTACCGAGGAAAATAAGAAACGGCTTTTCGCTGTCAAGAAGCCTCCAGGCGGAGCCCGATCTCCCTAAGCCCTTGCTTAAAGCTATAACCCATAACCTTGCCCGTCTTCACCTCAGACCCCCCGTCGCCTGCGAACCGGGGTCCTTGCCTTGCCTTGCCTGGACCTTGTCCTTTCTTTCCCAGGAGTAGATTGAGAGGGAAGGATTAAGAAGAACGTATAACAGAGACACCAGATCCATCGCGGACGGGTAGAAGTTGATAATCAGGGTCTGACCCGTTGTCGATGACTCGTCTCGTCTCTCCTCACCCCCGATCAACATCATCAACAACATATCTCGGCCCCCAATCTGTCCTTCACTATTCTTCATCGATAAGATCTTCGCTGGTGCAAGGCTATTCGTCGCCTCTGTCCTCGTCTTCGATCACCTATTCGACCTAAGGATATCAGTCCTTCATCATCATCAACATCAGACAACATGTTTGTTGGCTTACAAGAACACCGACAGCACAGCATGGAGAGACTTCCGCCGCCGACTAGTTTAACACAAGCCCGCAACGACGACGTTCCTCGCGTCCTTCCTAGTCTCTCCTCCTTCGGCTTCGACGACAGGATGGACGTCGATGTCCGTTACGATTCGAAGCCCGCGGGAGGCCAGCGTCACGATGTGGAAGTCGCAACCACCTTGGCCTCCATGGCCTCCTTCAACATCAAATCACCCACCCTCCCCTCACCCACGCAGAGTTTCTCGTCAGTAAAGTCAGAAGGTAGGGTCCTCTCCGTCTCACATCCGCTCACCTGGACAAAGGGGCTCACACGCCAGTCTCAGGCATGACGAGGTCAGCCAACTCCCAGTTCTCCTCGCCAGAACCCAGATCACCAGATCTCCCTTCAGTAAACACGCAACTCTCCTTTTCTAAGGACGCCAGCAGCAGCAATAGCAGTTCTCAAATCATCACACTTCCGAGACTCCGTGAACTGGACCTCCGCCTCCCAGAACCAGAGTTCCCCCCTCCGCCACCAAACTCGGCAACCTTCATGAGCCCCCTCTCCGGCGGGCCTAGAAGGACGAGCCTCGAGTCCATCAACTCCTTCCCAGAAACCCGCATCGATATCTCCTCGCCCACCGCCTACCGCATGCCGATCCCTCCCATGGCCTACCCAGATGCTCTCCCCTCGCCAACCCACCGTGGAGGAGGCCACCCCCTCTCCCCGCCCGTCGGCCGCCGCCTCACCCAGAGATTCCCCGTCACCCTCCGCACCGGCTCGTCCCCATCCCGCCGTCCCCGCCGCTCGCCCACCGGCTCCCGCTGCAACGTCAAGTACACCATCCAGCAGGTCGACTTCATCGACTACTTCCGCGTCGACCACCACCTCTCCTGGAAGGAGGTCGAGGCCAAGTACGCCTCCGTCTTCCCCGAGGACGCCGCCAAGGGCCACAAGCGCGGCCCCCAGGGGCTCCAGGGCGTCTACTACCGCAAGAACAAGCAGATCCCCGCCACGGACCAGAACAACCTCTTCATCTTCGACGAGGACGACAACCCGCGCACCTTCCAGTGCGACGTTCGCGAGCAGGGCAAGAAGATGAACAACTCCATCGGCCTGTTGGCCATGCACCCCGAGCGCGCCATCAACTACTCATGGGTCTCGGACGAGCACAAGAGGCAGTTTGAGAAAGTTGGTATGTAGTCTCTCGCTAGCTCCCCCTAAATGGACCCAATGACTAACGGAAGCAGGTCGTGCGAGACAAGCACAGCTCGACGCCGCGGAGCAGCGCAAGAAGCGCAGACGAGCTATTCAGAACAGCCGGCTCTGACCTCGCCTACCCTTCTTTTATTCTTTCTCATCGTTTCTCTTGTTCATCATGATATCCAAACATTTTCCATTCCATCTTCTTTCCTTCATGCTTCCGTCTGTTTTGCAAAAACCATACACCGGGAAACTTACAAAAAGAGGAAAAGACGAACAAAGCATTTCACAAAAAAGGAATACACAAAAATCTGGTCATTTTAGTGTGTAATCTTTAAAAGTCACATTCCCCCCTATCTCGGGGGCAAAAGCAAAAACAAAACAAGAGGGCGGTTCCGCGTGTGTACGATGCTTCGAGCTTAGGAGGAGTCCCGGGGGGGAAGCGAGTGGGCTGGGTCGGGGGGGTTTCTCTTTTTCGATTCTACTATCTTGTCATCATTATCATTATCCATCCATCTTGCTCTTTTTTCGGAACCACAGAGACGACGAGGATGCACAGGGAACATGGGGTTTTCACGGACGGAATGAAACGGAGTTGAACACAACAACACACACATACACATACACATACACATCATGTTTGGGCGGACTCGGTCGGGTTGGGGGGTGTCATGGGCAAAACGGGAGATACCAGGCGCGCGCGTTGGGTTGGGGAGCCCCCTGGAGTGAAGGGATGGGGTTTGAAAGGTTTTTTCTTTTCTCTGTCATTCTCTTTTTTTATCAGGCTCCCAAAAACCATAAACCACGGTGTTGATTTTTTTTTTTTTTTTTTTCTTAAGCTCGTCATGATATACGAAGAAAGGCTTGTTCGTTTTGCCATTTGGGGTCTCGCTTTGGGTGGCAGGCGACGGGAGACGGTGGTTGATGCGGGAGGACTACCTCCCCCATCAACCCGCTTGTACATGTCATTGTCCCGGCTAGGACATATATCTAGCCCTTCTGTATATAGAAACAGTCTTCTCTACGTCCTAGACGTGTCTCACAACAGGGTACGGGCGAACGGGGGAAAAGGGGGGAGATAATAGTAGATTTTAGACGAATACGGCAAGTGCGCTGAACATGTGCACCAGTGCCAGTTGAACGGAACAGAAACATGAGCGGCATTGTTCTTCGTGAGGCATTGCAATCTGGAGATCCGCTCTATCGGGTCTCTGGTGGCAGTTTGGGGGTCGAGAGGGGGCGCAGATCTTCATGCCGTTGCTTTGATATCGACGTCTGTGCCCTATTGTGCTGTCCATTGTCTCCGGTCACTGAGACCGGGAAAGGGTGGGAAGGGGAGTTTGTCAAGGTTCAAGGGGGTTCAGGGCCACGTGCCATGGGGTAAGAGGCGAGGCTGCATTCTGGCTTGGGTTATTTGCTGAAGAGAGAGGATGTTTGTCAGGAGGGAGCAGGTGTTGGTGGTGGTAGCATCAAATGGCATGGCGTAGCAAACCGCTGCCGCGAGATACATGGATATTGGGGCGCAGACTTGACCATGATCGGGCCGTGCAGAACTGTTGTGCGAGTCTCGTAGGGGAGATGCAGGTGGTTATGAATAGCATCATGAAACCGGATGCATGAGGGCTGTTTCTGGGGGATGAATGTTGGGTGGCTTGGGCGTGATGGATGCGTGGTGAGGCTGGCTGGAGGGGGCTCTGAGGATGGCATCTAGGGCCTGAACTTGGGCCCGATCCTCCTGAGGCTTGGAGCGGCGAGTATCATGGCGGGCTGTGATGTTGTGGTCGTGACGTTTGCCCATCTCGCCAAGTCTGGTGATGGGGGCAGGCAAGCTAACCTTGGCATTCTTTTCTAATTGGGAGGAGGGGCGTGTGCTGGAGAAAGAGACCGACAAGCCGAAGAGAAAGGAGGAAGTTCTTGTCCGACGGCTTGTCTTGTTTTCTCGATGCAGGAACACTCTTCGACTCCACGTTGAGCACTCCACGTTGAGCGGGTGGCTGGCTATTGTTGTTGAATCTCAGGGGGGGGGGGGGGGGGGGGG